GCACATGTAAACGTCGAATGTATTGTTACAATGAGGAAACTGGTTGAATACCCGAAACACCGGACACTGTAAACACCTCGTTGTCCAAGGTCATCGGGTCTAGGATTCACTGATTAATATTAAGTGCATCTAAATAGATCTACCAAGTCAGACTTTTGTTATCAAGGAATACCACAAAGAACGCATACACGTAAATATTTTCAGATCAAATGTTCTCGAGTATTTTTCCTTGAAATTGCCACATCGTGACGTCAAAATCAAACTCTGACGGAAGTTCAAGAACCCTTTCCGATGAAGTATTGTAGCCTTAATAAAATGTTAACTATAGAATACGCGATATTGTTCCCGCAAAAACACCTATTCCATCAGACGTTAAAACTGTTAAAAATGTATTCCGTCTTTACGTATTGCAGAGTTTTCTTCTCTTGTGAAAAGGTATTGACTGTTACGTCATTATAAGTTAGCAACTGTGGTTCATACATGTACCGTCATAAATGTGAAGAACATCAATTTCGATCCTTTACTATAGGCGTTTGTCTGATTTGGCCCTATTATACATTACCCCAAATGTAGTAAGTGACATAGAATGAAAGTTTTAGATATATATGTAGTGTCATCACTTGCTGCATCGTTAACTCTCGAACAGTTTATACATAGCCACCGATTCCAATCAGTCGGCCGCCTTGTCAGGACAATCTTTTTTCTACAATTCAGGTCATCTAAAGTTATGACCAAATTGTCATCAAAATATGGAACTCCTGGAGACCGAGTTGATTCGGGAAAAGGTTTGATTTTTAAAGGGCTTCACAGCAGTTGATTTGTCTAATTTAATGTGCTGTTATATGGCGGAATTGATCCACAGATCGCGTGGGCTCTACCCTGGAAAGGTATATAACGTGTCCAATTTAAAGGCAATAGCGCAAAATAAAAAACTTTACTTGCTGGTAAATTTGTCACGGAAAATTGAAGACCATGCAATAAAGCGCGGAACTGATGCCGTGTCACTTAAAAGAAACCGTATAAGTCGGGTGTGGGTTCCATTTTGGTCTAAGTGTTTGCCTTTTATGTACCGCTACAGGAAACCCCCGCAATGCGACTTTTACGACACCGGTATATGGCTTTCTATAAAAGACATCCCAGCTATTTCAACTGCAGTGGATCTCTATTGGAGAACGATGCAGCTAACACACGTTTAATGGCACAGGATGGGCAATAAATGAACGGTGTTGTCTATATAACACAGCCTACACCCGAGTGAAGGAGATTGTCGGGAGAAAATTTGTTGCGAAAGGTCAACAGCTTCAGCAACCAACGTACGATTCTACAACGTTCTACAACGCCAAGTATCTTTACTTGGCCGACACAGCACGTGTCAAATACACGCGTGGTGTCGATCGTTAAATATTTATTTCAAACTTATTCGAATACCAAAATACATATTCTATCGAAATGTTTGGGACATGTTGTCCAAAAATCAATATTGTTGAGCTATAAAAAACGTCGTTAAACCGCCGAAGTGGTAGAATTTTAACACGTTTGAAACTTGCCGTCAGTCGGGTAATCAATAATGCTAATATATTTCAAGGGAAATAACTCGAACACAAGTCAAGCATGACCAGTTAAGAATGAGCGGAAATTCATAATACAGAGATAATATATTTTTGACGAAACCATCTGTCGACATTTTACAGCTGTCACCTTTTGTCGTCATTAGCTTAACGAAGATGTGAAGTACACCTGTCACAAGAGAAACTTGACGCCACATGAAAATCGAATAATTACATACCAGTTTAAGTGACAAATGTCTTCAGTCTGGCGCCTCCTTGGTTTTAGATTACACTTCGTGCAGTATTGATAACCTACCAACGTTAAATTGGTAATCAGCGTATGTGTTTAGTACTGACGTCATAATAGTTGTTGAACATATGGAATCGCGTCATTAATCCCCGATATACCGGCAGTCGTCACCTATCTGTGTAGATAGTATCGCTATCGGAGGCTGGTACAGACGTACACTAGACAGTACTCTGTAAAGACGAGGCGATTGAAGATGGCTATCCCTGTGTCTTGTCACCAGCCTGTCGTCAATCATAGCAGCCTATTCAGTAAACTCAAAATCTGGTTATTGACAGAGATGATAGGGGAGATGAGATTGCTAGAGAAAATCGTGATTGATCTTTCTGAAATGCATTGCAACATCACTTTTTGTATAGCTGATCTCGTGCATTAACTATCTATCATTGAGGACCGACTGTTTTCAATATTTACCACCAAACGTTCCCAAATAGGTGTAGTTGACTACTTGAATGACTATCTAAACATGCCCGCCAGCATTATATCATGCAAGAAGGTATTTATTCTCAAGAAAATTGACGTGACGCATATATCCTTGTCGCTACTTCAACACAGAAAGGTCTTAGCGGAGTCGCAATGGCGGACAAGTTGAACGTGACAAAGAAAACTGGCCGTGCGCCGGGGTGGTTGTAACGATGTTCAGCTCACAAAGGTCTGATTAAATAGCATCAGGTGATAAATCGGTGCCAAGATGGACACATTGTAAATCATGGCATCGTATGGAAGGTATCAAATTGTATTATCTACTCTTAGAACAAATGGCACGTCCAACGGTAGTAAAGCATGCTTATTGACCATCAGTGTCGCGAGGAAATGGATGTGCCAATTGAACATTACAGTGATTTATAAACCCTTAGACTGAAAGCTTCAACGGGGTCACAATATAGATTATTGTAGGCGCTAATTGTAGGCGTTCACTATTGGTGCTTATTGGTGGCGCATCACGTTTAATTAGTGTCATTCAGTTTTTGCTGGAGTCGAGAAGCGCACTGCACATAAAATACTGAAACTTGATAACTTATTTGAACACAAAGGATGTCTCGCCAATACGTTCCAGTTTACTTGTAAATTATTGCGTTTTCATGAGACTTTGTCCAACTGTCTTTCCCCAAAACACATTTGCCCATATATCATGGAGGCAAAGTATCTTTTAAGTGAATCAAAACTGTCGTTCGGAGAGACTCGGTAATGTAATATTCAGTATGCTCCCAGTTTTACTGGTAACTTTGAATAATTGCTGTGATCGAGTTGAAGCTAATTAACAATCAGCTATTTATACTATTAGAATTAAACGGGTGTTTTTTTTTCAAGAAACCATCTTACCTAGTAATGTGCTGACTAAGGAGTCGGGGACGAATTCATTTTATTTTTAAAACAATCGAATGTATTTCGATGCAGCTTTTGGTACATATAATGGTACGAATATTAAGTGGCACACTTGTAAATACGTTTTCGGCCTCCATAACGAAAAAATAAAAAAATGTAAAAAAGGATAAGTAGTTACATAATTATAATATCATACGTGTACTATCTTGAACATAATTTTAAAATATCTGTTTTCAGAGTTGTTGAACAAAAACCCGAATAAAGGAGGATGAGTCTTTTTTTTTTTTTTTTTTGGTATTAAGGAAGGCATATATTCTCTCATATAATTTAGTGTTTGGTTTATTAAGTATGTGTATGTATTATCAATAATTATCGTGTACTAAAATAAATTAACTAATTCAAAACTAACAGTGAACTTACCAAATTCAGTTTCACGTAACGGTACAATTTCTAACCGGTACAATTTCTAACCGGTACAATTTCTAACCGGTACAATTTCTAACCAATTTCTAACCGGTACAATTTCTAACCGGTACAATTTACTAGAAGTGGTACCTTTCGCCTCATTCTTCTTTCGCGTGCTACCTTTTACCATATAATAGGATTACGGTTGTATCAACAAGTGCCTTAGGTAGTAGGCCCCGGGGACGGGATCAAGACAGTAAAATGTACGAAGGCTGCTCGGCGGAAGACAATTTGGACGGCTCCTTGTAATCCGCAGTCCGGCCTCGTGATTTGTGTTCCGTAGCCCTGCCGCTGGGTATTGGCGCGTTAACTGTCTGTGGATGAACTTGTCGTTAACGAAGGATAATTCTGCATACATTTTGTACTTTATTCGGCATCACACTTCCTGTTATCAGTGTAATAAGTCATTCATGCTAAAATTATTTGACACATTGTATTACAGACAAACAAACAAGGGTTGGGTTCAAACGTTGGGTGGTCGGGTGGTGCTGTGGATAACGCGCTTGCCTTTCACCAAGGCGGCCGGGGCTCGATTCCCTGATCGGACGTGAAAAGGGTGGGGTCACCTGCCCGACACATGGGTTTTTTCCGGGTACTCCGGTTTCCTCCCACAATAAGACCTCCCGGGAGACGCGCTAACATCCGGACCAACAAGAGTGATTAATATAAGATGAATGAACTTGTTTCATAATTAGTTGTTAATAAATTAAATAAAGTTTATATTTTAAACGTTTTAGATATTAGAAATTAATGTAAAATAAAATAGATCACTCACAAGAAATATCTGTCACAAGGGTTGTTGTCATAGCGGCAGATTTAAACTGCCTGTTTGATGTTCTCGTTAGTGGGTCCTCCGTGTTTGGTTCGGCACTATCTGCCCCGATGTTGGCGCGATAATGGTTGTAAAATGCCCTAACCTACAGTATAATAGGTGAACATAGTGGACTGTGTGTACTTTTGGTGTCATGGTATATTTCATGTTAAATATGCATCCTTTAAATAAATCGGAAAGTACTCAAACATTTATAAATTTGTTTCATTTTTAAAACTGTTTCGATGATTCTAACTATCATATAATTTTACATCCAAACGATAGTACATTTGTAACACGCCCTATACCGTCTGCATATTGACTTAATGCGACAAAAGCATATTCATGTTTCCACCGATAAAAAATACTAATAAAAGTACTACTGAAAGTGCTTGATGACGCACCACAAAAACGTAAATTGCTTTTTTGCCAGACACAATACTGAGCATCTATCTATGTTTGTTTCCCGATAGACCATTCACACACCCTCTAAACCCGACCGTTACTTGATAATGGCTTTAATTTTACCTGTTTTACTCCACAGACGAGCTGCACGCCCTTCAGGAAGAGTGTCGGGATGGAACGTTTGGATACAAGTGTAACTCGAAGTGCCGATGCAAGCGCTACCAAACGTGCGATAAAGTGACGGGGGAATGTATCCGGGACGAATGCGAGGACAATGGTTGGGGACCAGGCTGTCAGCTTTGTAAGTTTGTCGCACAAAAGCGTTGAATATGTGTTCAGTGCTTATTTCTGTTCGTTTGTGTTACTCCTACGGTATCGTAAGAGTTCTCCATGTGATCCCCCTATACATATTCACTAAAAGATAATTATAATTATATTTCCGTTTTGGTTGTCAATAGATTTTCACACGCGCATCTTTAAGTTCGAAAAACTTCTCAATTTCGCTATGTTACAAGTATACAGTCCGGGGCTTCAAATAAATATGGCCTCTTCACTTCTAAAGCTACGTTTGAATGCTTTCGCGTAAAATAATTGTAGTCCGTCCTTGTAAAGCAGAAAACATATTTCTTAGTGTATAGATTATATTTTATTTACACCATTAGGTATCTAAAATATGAAAACAATAAATATAGCAACAAAACAGAATTAACAAAAAGGTACGAGTTTATCATTTGCATTAGCGCGCGGATAGATACCTTGCTGTGTGAAAAAGCGCGCATTGTAGCGTAAAGGTGCCAGACAGATTGGACGAGATAGAAAACTCTAGGATTTCTCTGTCTGAGGTGCGAGAAACGTATTCCTTTATTACGTGATAGATAAACCCCTTATTACTAGATATTTTCTCTCGTAATAAGTAGATCGGGAAACAATCCAGATGACACGTAGGTCTACTTGCTTCCGTAAATGGTAAACTATAGAAACACGGTGAAAAGTCTGATAATGGTTTTTTTAGATTCAAAGAGGTTTTCATATCAGAATTCAGCAAACACTGAAGCAAATGGGAACCATGTAAACACTCAATCAGTCCATATTGAAACCAGGAAGTAAAGAAGAACATAATATCGACAGAATGCTGAGAACCCAAACTTTTGCTAAGTTTACACAATATATGCAGATGGTCTGGACCTATGGTCTCATTTCTCTTTTTTTTTCTATCTAAGGTCAGTAAGTGAGCTCAAACGTCAATGTCGGGGTGGTCTTGGGTCGGCTTTCAGGTTCAATTGTGATTTTTAAAGTTCCTTGGACTTTTAGCCTAATTCAGTTGATGCATGCCCAAAAATCAATCGCCGTTTTCAGGTGTAATCGTAAAATCCTGGAGGTAAATTGCACTTTAACTGAAAGAAAAAAAGTCTTAATCATTTCAACGCAATTCATGTCTGTGACATCACGGATTTTCACCGTACGTTGATGGAATCAGCCGCTTACGAGACAAACTGAAACAGTTATAATCTGCACAGCCGCTGCTTGCTGTAAATACCCGTACGGTGGGGACTCCCGACTTTATCACGAAAATGTGATTATCTGTGCCACGGTTATGAAGCTTAACAGAATGAAAGAATATAGTTAGATGTTTCAAATCGAATATTTGTTACGGTTTCCTACAAACTCTGGTGTAATCAATTTCTGGATTGATTCGTTTACTACTTTACGGGTCGCGTATTATCACTAAATCTGATGTAATTGTCAATTTACGTCCACAAATGCTGCTGATCAATTGTGTGCATTGTAACTGTGAGGCCCGATCAGGCTTCCTCAATGAAATGGAACGATCAATTATCATACATGTCGTCGTCATATTGAATACATACACCAACAATGCTAATTGTTCGTTTTATAGGATTAATTTGTCAATTTGTTAACGACGTTCTCTACCTTGGTAGTTCACATATTGTAGGCTGCAGATTACTGACGTCGTACACATATTGTAGGCTGTAGGATACTAACGTCGTACACAGGTTGTGGGCTGTAGGATTCTAACGTCGTACACAGATTGTAGACTGTACGATACTAACGTCGTACACATATTGTAGGCTGTAGTATACTATCGTTGTTCACAGCTTGTAGGCTGTAGTATACTAACGTCGTACACAGATTGTAGGCTGTAGTATACAAATGTCGTACACAGAGTGTAGACTGTAGTATACTAACGTCGTATACATATTGTAGGCTGTAGTATACTGACGTCGCACACTGTAGTATACTGACGTCGCAAACATATTGTGGGCTATAGTATACTTACGTCGTACACAGATTGTAGGCTGTAGGATACTAACGTCGCACACAGATTGTAGACTGTAGTATACTAACATTGTACACAGATTGTAGACTGTAGGATACTGACGTCGTATACAGATTGTAGGCTGTAGGATACTAACGTCGTACACAGATTGTAGACTGTAAGATGCTGACGTCGTACACAGATTGTAGGCTGTAGGATACTAACGTCGCACACAGATTGTAGACTGTAGTATACTATCGTTGTTCACAGATTGTAGACTGTAGTATACTAACGTTTTACACATATTGTGGGCTGTAGTATATTAACGTTGTACACAGATTGTAGGCTGTAGTATACTAACGTTTTACACAGATTGTGGGCTGTAGTATACTAACGTCGTACACATATTGTGGGCTGTAGTATATTAACGTTGTACACAGATTGTAGGCTGTAGTATACTGACGTCGCACACTGTAGTATACTGACGTCGCAAACATATTGTGGGCTATAGTATACTTACATCGTACACAGATTGTAGACTGTAGTATACTGACGTCATACACAGATTGTAGACTGTAGTATACTAACATTGTACACAGATTGTAGACTGTAGGATACTGACGTCGTATACAGATTGTAGGCTGTAGGATACTAACGTAGTACACATATTGTAGGCTGTAGTATACTAGCGTTGTTCACAGCTTGTAGGCTGTAGTCTACTAACGTCGTACACAGATTGTAGGCTGTAGGATACTAACGTCGCACACAGATTGTAGACTGTAGTATACTGACGTCATACACAGATTGTAGACTGTAGTATACTGACGTCATACACAGATTGTAGACTGTAGTATACTATCGTTGTTCACAGATTGTAGACTGTAGTATACTAACATTGTACACAGATTGTAGACTGTAGGATACTGACGTCGTACACAGGTTGTAGACTGTAGTATACTGACGTCGTACACATTTTGTAGACTGTAGTATAGTAACGTCGTACACATATTGTAGACTGTAGTATACTGGCGTCGTATACATATTGTAGACTATAGTATACTGACGTCGTACACAGATTATAGACTGTAGTATACTAACGTCGTATACATATTGTAGGGTGTAGTATACTGACGTCGTACACATATTGTAGGCTGTAGTATACTGACGTCGTACGCATATTGTGAACTGTAGGATCCTAACGTCGTACAGATATTGGAGGCTTTAGTATACTAACGTCGTACACATATTGAGGGCTGTAGTATACTGACGTCGTACACAGAGTGTAGACTGTAGTATACTAACGTCGTATACATATTGTAGGGTGTAGTATGCTGACGTCGTACACATATTGTAGACTGTACTATACTGACGTCGTACACAGAGTGTAGACTGTAGTATACTAACGTCGTATACATATTGTAGGCTGTAGTATACTGACGTCGTACGCATATTGTGCACTGTAGGATCCTAAGGTCGTACAGATATTGTAGGCTGTAGTATGCTAACGTTGTACACAGATTGTAGACAAGGATACAAACGTCGTACACAGATTGTAGGCTGTAGGATACTAAAGTCGTACACATATTGTAGACTGTAGTATACTGGCGTCGTATACATATTGTAGACTATAGTATACTGACGTCGTACACAGATTGTAGACTGCAGTATACTGACGTCCTACACAGATTGTAGACTGTAGTATACTGACGTCCCACACAGATTGTAGACTGTAGTATACTATCGTTGTTCACAGATTGTAGACTGTAGTATACTAACATTGTACACAGATTGTAGACTGTAGTATACGGGCGTCGTACAGAGATTGTAGACTGTAGTATACTGACGTCCTACACATATTGTAGACTGTAGTATACTGACGTTGTACACATATTGTAGACTTTAGTATACTGACGTCGTACACATATTGTAGACTTTAGTATACTGACGTCGTACACATTTTGTAGACTGTAGTATAGTAACGTCGTACACATATTGTAGACTGTCGTATACTGACGTCGTACACATATTGTGGACTTTAGGATCCTAACGTCGTGCACATATTATAGACTGTAGAATACTGACGTCGAACACAGATTGTAGGCTGTAGGATACTAACGTCGCACACAGATTGTAGACTGTAGTATACTGAACTGTACGATACTAACGTCGTACACATATTGTAGACTGTCGTATACTGACGTCGTACACATATTGTGGATTTTAGGATCCTAACGTCGTGCACATATTATAGCCTGTAGTATACTGACGTCGAACACAGATTGTAGGCTGTAGGATACTAAAGTCGTACACATATTGTAGGCTGTAGTATAATAACGTTTTACACATATTGTGGGCTGTAGTATATTAACGTCGTAAACAGATTGTAGACTGTAGTATACTAACATTGTACACAGATTGTAGACTGTAGTATACTATCGTCGTTCACAGATTGTAGACTGTAGTATACTGACGTCGTACACTGATTATAGACTGTAGTATACTAACGTCGTATACATATTGTAGGGTGTAGTATGCTGACGTCGTACACATATTGTAGACTGTACTATACTGACGTCGTACACAGAGTGTAGACTGTAGTATACTAACGTCGTATACATATTTTAGGCTGTAGTATACTCACGTCGTAAACATATTGTGGGCTGTAGTATACTATCGTCGTACACATATTGTAGGCTGTAGTATACTGACGTCGAACACAGATTGTAGGCTGTAGGATACTAACGTCGCACACAGATTGTAGACTGTAGTATACTATCGTTGTTCACAGATTGTAGACTGTAGTATACTAACATTGTACACAGATTGTAGACTGTAGTATACTATCGTTGTTCACAGATTGTAGACTGTAGTATACTAACATTGTACACAGATTGTAGACTGTAGTATACTATCGTCGTTCACAGATTGTAGACTGTAGTATACTAACATTGTACACAGATTGTAGACTGTAGTATACTGACGTCATACACAGATTGTAGACTGTAGTATACTATCGTCGTTCACAGATTGTAGACTGTAGTATACTGAACTGTACGATACTAACGTCGTACACATATTGTAGACTTTAGTATACTAACGTCGTACACATTTTGTAGACTGTAGTATAGTAACGTCGTACACATATTGTAGACTGTAGTATCCTGACGTCGTACACAGAGTGTAGACTGTAGTATACTAACGTCGTATACATATTTTAGGCTGTAGTATACTCACGTCGTAAACATATTGTGGGCTGTAGTATACTAACGTTGTACACAAATTGTAGACTGTAGTATACTAATGTCGTACACATATTGTGGGCTGTAGTATACTAACGTTTTACACATATTGTGGGCTGAAGTATACTGACGTCGTACACAGATTGTAGGCTGTAGTATACTTACGTCCTACACATATTGTAGACTGTAGTATACTGGCGTCGTATACATATTGTAGACTATAGTATACTGACGTCGTACACAGATTATAGACGGTAGTATACTAACGTCGTACACATATTGTAGGGTGTAGTATACTGACGTCGTACACGTATACTGACGTCGTACACAGATTGTAGCCTGTAGTATACTAACGTCCTACACATATTGTAGACTGTAGTATACTGGCGTCGTATACATATTGTAGACTATAGTATACTGACGTCGTACACAGATTATAGACGGTAGTATACTAACGTCGTACACATATTGTAGTCTGTAGTATATTAACGTCGTACACAGATTGTAGACTGTAGGATACTAACGTTGTACACATATTTAACGTCGTACACATATTGTGGGCTGTAGTATACGGACGTCGTACACAGATTGTAGACTGTAGCATACTGACGTCGTACACATATTGTGGATTTTAGGATCCTAACGTCGTGCACATATTATAGACTGTAGAATACTGACGTCGAACACAGATTGTAGGCTGTAGGATACTAAAGTCGTACACATATTGTAGACTGTAGTATACTGACGTCGTACACAGATTATAGACTGTAGTATACTAACGTCGTACACATATTGTAGGGTGTAGTATACTGACGTCGTACACATATTGTAGACTGTAGTATACTAACGTCCTACACATATTGTATACTGTAGTATACTGACGTCGTACACATTTTGTAGACTGTAGTATACTAACGTCGTACACATATTGTAGACTGTAGTATACTAACGTTTTACACATATTGTGGGCTGTAGTATATTAACGTCGTACACATATTGTAGACTGTAGTATACTAACGTCGTACACATATTGTAGACTGTAGTATACTGACGTCGTACACATATTGTAGACTGTAGTATACTGACGTCGTACACATATTGTAGACTGTAGTATACTGACGTCGTACACATATTGTAGACTGTAGTATACTGACGTCGTACACATATTGTAGACTGTAGTATACTGACGTCGTACACATATTGTAGACTGTAGTATACTGACGTCGTACACATATTGTAGACTGTAGTATACTGACGTCGTACACATATTGTAGACTGTAGTATACTGACGTCGTACACATATTGTAGACTGTAGTATACTGACGTCGTACACAGATTGTAGGCTGTAGTATACTGACGTCGTACACAGATTGTAGACTGTAGTATACTAACGTCGTACACATATTGTAGACTGTAGTATACTAACGTCGTACACATATTGTAGTCTGTAGTATATTAACGTCGTACACAGATTGTAGACTGTAGTATACTGACGTCGTACACATATTGTAGACTGTAGTATACTGACGTTGTACACACATTGTAGACTGTAGTATACTGACGTCGTACACTTATTGTAGACTGTAGTATACTGACGTCGTACACATATTGTAGACTGTAGTATACTGACGTTGTACACACATTGTAGACTGTAGTATACTGACGTCCTACACTTATTGTAGACTGTAGTATACTGACGTCGTACACATATTGTAGACTGTAGTATACTGACGTTGTACACATATTGTAGACTGTAGTATACTGATGTCCTACACATATTGTAGCCTGTAGTATACTGACGTCGTACACATATTGTAGACTGTAGTATACTAACGTCGTACACATATTGTAGTCTGTAGTATACTGACGTCGTTCACAGATTGTAGGCTGTAGGATACTAACGTCGTACACAGATTGTAGACTGTAGTATACTGACGTCGTACACAGATTGTAGACTGTAGTATACTGACGTTGTACACAGATTGTAGACTGTAGTATACTAACGTCGTACACATATCGTAGACGGTAGTATACTAACGTCGTACACATATTGTAGACTGTAGTATACTAACGTCGTACACATATTGTAGACTGTAGTATACTGACGTCGTTCACAGATTGTAGGCTGTATGATACTAACGTCGTACACAGATTGTAGACTGTAGTATACTGACGTCGTACAAAGATTGTAGACTGTAGGATACTTACGTTGTACACATATTGTAGGCTGTAGTATACTAACGTCATACACATATTGTAGGCTGTAGTATACGAACGTCATACACAGATTGTAGGCTGCAGGATACTAACGTCGTACACAGGTTGTGGGCTGTAGGATTCTAAAGTCGTACACAGATTGTAGACTATAGTATACTAACGTCGCACACTATATTATATTGACGTCGTACACAGATTGTAGGCTGTAGTATACTGACGTCGTACAGAGATTGTAGACTGTAGTATACTGACGTCGTACACAGATTGTAGACTGTAGGATACTGACGTTGTACACAGATTGTAGGCTGTAGTATACTGACGTCCTACACAGATTGTAGACTGTAGTATACTAACGTCGTACACAAATTGTAATCTGTAGGGAACTAATGTCGTACACATATTGTAGGCTGTAGTATACTTACGTTGTACACAGATTGTAGACTGTAGTATACTGACGTCGTACACAGATTGTAGACTGTAGGATACTGACGTTGTACACAGATTGTAGGCTGTAGGATACTTACGTTGTACACATATTGTAGGCTGTAGGATACTAACGTCGTACACAGATTGTAGGCTGTAGGATACTAACGTTGTACACATATTGTAGGCTGTAGGATACTAACGTCGTATACATATTGTAAACTGTATGATAATTACGTCGTACACAGATTGTAGACTGTATGATAATTACGTCGTACACAGATTGTAGGCTGTAGGATTCTTACATCGTACACAGATTGAAAGCTTCATACAATTATGTTACAATTTCCTGCAATGTACATTTTGAACTTGAACATATGTACTGACTGATTATGATGTTATTAAAGTTTTGAAAACAACTTTTAAAACAAATCTGCAGCAAAGTCATCACGAAGTTATCTACATAGGGGATTTAGGAAATATAGCTTATAGTTAATACACACAATGGTTCCCGTCTGTAATGGGGACTATAGGCAGGGATAACGTTGACTATTACAGCGGTTGTAAGGATGTGTTGGTACTTCTACATAGATTTTAATCAAGGTTACATAGAATATTATTCGATAAAGACATCACATGTTATGTCGAGATTGTTTTAATTAGCACTATTTCATTCTTATTTCAGCCAACAACTGTTTTTACAATGGTCAGGCGATGACTTACCTTGGTACTAAGTCCATCACTAGCGATCTTTACCAGTGTCAGCGATGGGACTTACAAATACCTCACCGTCATTCTTACAAAAGCGCCGAGCAATTCCCTGACAAAACGATGCCTGAAAACTATTGCCGGACGACGGAGGACTCGGCCCGACCCTGGTGTTACACTACAGACATAAACAGCCGCTGGGAACACTGTAATATCAACAACTGCAGTGAGTATTTTCTACATAAGTTTAGCACCTCTTTTTTCTGCGTTTGAATTGTACATTTCCCATTGTATGAGCTTTAACTATTTTCTTTTTACATCCCATACTTACAAATACTTCCAAACTGCCTCTTAAGAACACATTTGAGTAGGTCAAAGTTCAAAATCATTTTTACAACTGGTATGATTTTACCAGTATCAGCACAATGAGTTTACTTTATGCAAACTTCACTTGAACGTTCCCTGTCTGTTTAATGGTTTTGAAGGTTACACGGTCTAGGGTAAAGGTCAAACGTTATCGTAAAGGTCAAGGTCACCGTTACTTTGTAATAACGTTAGTTCTCCTGCACCCAGAGTTATGAAACTCCATTAACAGGATGGTTGTGAGAACATAATTGTTATAATTGCTTTCGACTTAATTTGTTTTAATTTGCATCATATGAGGGTTTGAAAGACACTGTTATTATGTTTTCCGCTAAATGTTCTTTTAATGTCCAACCAGCCGCAAAGACAAGAAGAAATGTGTTGAAGCGGTTATTGAGGACAGTTCACAAGCAGAGCAAGGCACTTTTAAAGTTCACAGTAATTATAAAAATACTGTTTCATATTGAAATAAATTGAATCGAAATGAAAACGAATAGCTATCAAGGCAACAGATGGCTGAGTAATTGACAGAACAGTTTAACTACTAAAATCCAACAGTGAATTAAAACTGGATCCATTTTAATAGAAACATTGATCAATAATTGGCAAATTGCTTCGCAAGCTATTGTTTAAGCAAGAGCAACTCAGCCGAATATAGATGACAAAATAAACAAATTGTCAGCGGTAGTTTATTTTGGATGACGTAGTAAGTTAATAGGCCCCGAGTGGTAACATTATTACCGTGTAGGTGGCGTAATGATATTATTCTGGTTATTGAGTTACATTTCTGAAATGCCACTGTGACGCTCGCCCTTACCACCGCTCGTGTTATGTATGCATGGGGCAGGTGCATAAATAATTGATACACTTACACAGATAACGCTACTTAGGTCTAAACACCAAAATACCTCCCCCTCTCTCTCCTAAATATAATCTGAGGCTGTGTCCGGGGTAATATGATACGTACTATGCATACGTGTATCCCCTTACTTGTCCCAGGAATAAACCCTCAGCACCGTCCACAAATATCACAGTTCACAGCTACATGGTAAGGCAATTCATTTTCAAAGAATGCCTCGCTTGCGTTCTAAATTCATCGAAATTCGGTGTTTTCTATTTTGTTTTTAAATGAGACCAGTTATTGATACAATATTACTCAAAATATGCAGTCACACGAGATGGTAATTGTTTTACCTAAAATGAAAACAAAATCTGAAGTAAAGGTCAAGCTTTCTTCCGGTATATTTTCTACCTCTGAGGTAAAGACAAACATTTGGGTTTCAGACTGTCCAGCTGGCCGGTTTGGCGACAACTGTATAAAGGAATGTCACTGTGCTGATCTGAGCGAGGCGTGTGACAGTATTCTGGGTATCTGTTCCAGCGGGTGTGCCCAGGGCTGGGACGGCTACGATTGTCAGCAAGGTACGTATGTCCCGACTACGGGGAGGTGTTTCAATGTTTGGGTATCTAAAGAATATGTTTTTCTTTTACCGTTGTCAGAAACTGTTTTGTGTATTACCAGCACGTTACCTTAAAGTGTGGTCAATCAAAGTTTTGTGTGTTACGACCACGTTATCTTAGAGTGTGGTCAACTTGCAAAGTGGTCAAATGATGCTTTGTGTGTTACGAGCACGTTGTCTTACAATGTGGTCAAACAATGCTTCGTGTTTTACGACAGAATCATCTTATCACGTGATCGGTGTTTGTGTATATTCTGACTATCTTATCGTTAAGTCTGCTTGGAGTATTGAAGATCATTCATCTTGTAACGAAAGTAACACGATCAACCACGTTTAAAACAGTAATTCATATTTTGCGTTGGAAATTTAATGAAGGAAGTTTTCCTTATTTACCTTTCTGAACTCTCCGCTTCTTTATTTCATGAAACAGCGACCGAACCTCTTCGTTTGGTGTAAGCTAAAAGTTGAAACTTCATGGCATCGTGTTTGTTGTACAAAACTTCCTGTCCAACTTGCATGGTTCCACGTTTGTAGTAAGCTACGGCGCGTTGTGTTCGCTCTGCCAGATGAACGTCATTTATAGTTTAATACTTGTATCACGTTTTGGAGTTTTGTCTATTTTTCGTCCTGACAAGTATTTCACAGTCTGCTTCTAATGGTTTCTCCTGTGGTTACGGATTCGGGTCGTTAGCGTATGTCTAAGTGGAAGCTTAGAACCACGTGGGAATGTCATTCAGAAACGGTTGACATGCCATTCGGGAACATATATATATAGTTTCAAAGTTCTAGGTATTCGAACAACAGAGGAATTAGTTTTGTATGACCTATTTACCTTGCGCTAATGAAGTCAAGTTTTAAATACGTGCATAACAACTCTAAATATAACATATTGCAGCATCTCTTTCTATTTTAAAGTGGTTTAAAAGTAATCGAAAATAAGGCGAAGGCTAAGGTAAAACTAATAAGTCATTGACAAAAATTAAAAAGTTGATTTGTTCATGCTGTCCAAGAACCGTAGTAAAACTGACAGAGCATGTAATATATTTATAAAATGCTCGGAACTGGTATAATTCTTCGTTTGAATAAATCTGTTTACAGTTTGCAAATTACAAACTGGAATGTTTCAATTGCCGTTTAATGACAGTATTTCATGAATAAAATATGGGGATGCGTATTCAAAGCTACCAAGCATCTGGATTAAAATACCTGTTTCAATGTTAACTGTTTTTCCAACAAAAGAAATAAACAGTTTAAAGTTTTGTGAATTATCCTATTTATTAAACTGATCAAATTGATAATCAATCGGTTAGCGTGCAACAGAAAATCGATTATGAAAATGGTATAGTCACATTACTGCTATTTATCAACATCATGTTCAATCGAAATACAGTCTATACCATGTCAAATCTAAATATAACGTATGCATTTTTTATACAGTCCGTTTCCCGATATTCCCATCCCTCACTTCCTCCCCCCTTGTGATCGGTATCAAAGCTTCATATCAAAGTTAAACACTACGGCTAATGAAGACTAAATTTGCTATGGGTTCTGTAGAAGAGTTCTGTAAGCCGTTTACACAACATGGACAGTCTGGGGTTTTAGAGATAAATTGGCTGTACTAAAACTCAAAGCGCACTCAAATGGCACATGAAGGCTTAAGATTAACGCCCAGGGAACGAAATAATGGACGTAGTCGAACGCGCTCTCAGTTTGAAGAGTTCAACTAAAGGCGGTCAGAGGCATTAAGAGACCGTGGTTCTCCCTGCAAAAATATAAACAAAGACTAACTAGCGTATTGCTCACTCCCACGCGGTCATTTAACATTATTATACCCATATTCAATGTGCGTATCAGCCAATTAGGGGAAGTTTGAGTGTGCAGTTTTCGTGTTTGTAAACTTCAATGGAAGGAGCAGGTTATTGAAGATAACCAAACGTGGCTTCCATCTCCATCACCACTGCTGACCGATATAAGCACGTTCATCGTCACTGAAGACCGAAATTCGCACTACCATCATCACTGCAAACCGAAATACACACTACCATCACCACTGCAAACCGAAATTCGCACTACCATCACCACTGCAAACCGAAATAAGCACTATCATCACCACTGCAAACCGAAATTCGCACTACCATCACCACTGCAAACCGAAATACACACTACCATCACCACTGCAAACCGAAATAAGCACTATCATCACCACTGCAAACCGAAATCAGAACAAATATACGTGCGTGTCACTGGAGCATCAGTCATTCTGTTCCTTTTTGTTGAATAGTTCCATTTGTGTCACTAAAGTGGTCACTATTACTGGGCCAGGGCAAGTTCTGTAATCATGAGAAATTACTTAAAAGCATGGAATCGCTCCAGTAATTATCAATACACTATTGCGGTCTGTTATGTTCCTTGATGATGAGCCCTACCTACAAACAGTGGGTCTTATACGGGCGGATTGCATACGTCATGAACAGCCAGTGAGTAAAGGAACAGAATATATAGACGTTATAAACAGCAGAGCTTTCGAGGGACTGACCTGAAATCATACAGCAAAATGTCATGTCCGGCTAGTGTTGCACTCTGTTTTGTCAAGCGTCAGTTGGATTAAACCAACAGGCTTAAAAATGGACATGAATGTGATCATTTTCTTCTTCCTAATACGAAGTTCAACTCCTTTTCAAAGTATATGCATTTTTGTCGATTGGTATAAATGTCTTAAATGAATTTATCATTAATTTCACTTACTTGTTAACGAGTTTTACTTACTTGTGAACGATTTTTATTTACTTGTGAACGATTTTTACTTCCTAGTGAACGATGTTATGTAGTCTGTAGCACGTAGTTGTCCCTCTGATCGTTTAGACATAGACGTCTGGTTTGAGGCGTTTGGCGTAAAACCTATAATGCTTTTATCAATAATCATGGATTATGTAGGTCAAATGTCCTATTTCTCCAGTGGTAAACACCCTTTCATAACGTTGTATTGAGAACATTCATGAACGGTTTTAGTGGGCAAGGTAAAAACATTTTAAAAGTAGTTATTGTAAAGGCCATTGTCTTGTTCTAGAAGATTTCAGACCAGAGAACCCAATCGGGTAGTTGTTTTATAGCATGCCAATTATGCTGGGCTTAGCTATAAAGGAAAAAATGGAACCAATAGTCGTATAAAGTATATCAATCTCCGTGTCATTCGCATTTTTTCGTAGTTGGTTTCTTCTGGTATCATCAGGAAGTACCCACGGGGTTATCTTGTCAAGTTACATGGCATGCTGAAAGTACTTTAAGAGCCATTTGGCCTACACGAGAATCTGGCAACAGCACGTCACAGAAGGAAGTACATCCCGCGACCATTAATTTATGACTATAAAACAGGCCGTATTGAAGAAGCGAGCAGAATCATTCTAAATTTCTTCCTGCATTTGTCAAAGGGAAACCGAGTGATTGTTTTTGCTTTTCAGGTAGTTTTCTTTCTAAGACTTCCGTGTAAAACTCTATCGTTCTACTTTACGAAATATAAAAAATACATTTAGAGAACATATACCTACAGTTTATAACCGCAGTAAAGATTAAGGAGATATAGTAAGCAAACCTTATCTCGATACAACGAGTTTTCAAAAGCGATGTCAATGGGTCTGTTTTTGTTTTCAAGCGGTTTCCTAAAGACTCTTGAGTAAAACTCCTTCATTCTACTTTACAAAACAGCAAACAAGTAACAAAATAGGTCAAGTACGTACACTTTATAACGGCAGTAAGGATCATGGAGACATGGTCAGGTAACTTACAACGATACAACGTGTTTTCAAAACCATTTTATTGCCGTTTAGTCTTCCATTCAGGGCTATTGTTACAACGTATGCTGGTGTACTGCGTTCCAGTCCGATATGTCATAGACTCGTGTGTTTGGTTGGAAGCAGGTGGCCTGGAGAAACTTAAAACCGCATTAGCACGGGGTTTCTATTAGCTGGTACAATGTGACTGTTGGAGGAGAGTGTATCTACATTAATTTATAAACATAATGAAGTTGCCCCCGACCCTTCATCGACCTATGCTGGTATTTGTAAATGCACAGCCCATTTGACAATAAACAAGGTCGGTCGTGCATGTATTGTCAACGTCCATCATGGTCGCTCTTGTTCTCGTGCAGCAGTGAGAGATATACGCACTGTCGTTAATCATGTGGACTGCAGGTGCGAGGTGTTAGCAGACTTATGACAACAGCAGCACAAGTTGTCGTTTTTATAAATTATTCAACATATTGAATGATTCACGTCGAGTTAACCTCCCCAAAGAGTTATCGATCCTGGCGAGCGATTACATTTATGACATACCTGAACAATATCAGCTAGTTATGTTGTAGTACATGAAGTAGGCTTTGATCTATAGGTATTAAAGAAAAGAATAGCTAAACGCATTAAAAATCATTCAGATCTCCGAAAGAGATACGGACATTTGAGACCAGTACCTTTGTTCGGCATCAAAGGCAAAACAAACGGGTAATGTTGAATTTAATGACATCAATCTCAATGAAACAATCTCCGTTGTGACCTCATCAATCCCGTGAATGGTATTTTTTTCTGTGACGTGTAAAGTTATGTATGGCGGAGTTTTACCCATGTTCTTACAAACACATGGATATAATCTCTTTAAGTACCAGGAGTTTAGAGACAGCATCAAATGCGGTGTTATAGATAACAAAACTCGCCGCAGATAGGATACAAACAGGCAGTAAAATAGCGGTTTGGTGACAACAAGCATTATCGAACATTTAATTTCATCGAAGTCAAAAATGTTAACGTCTTACGGAGCTCGCGAATCGTTGAAGAAAGGTCGTTATTTCTCGTGAGATGAGAACGTGTAAACATTGGACATAAAAGATTAATGAAGCAACCATGATTATCAATCACGCTGGTAATTTGGAACCAAGCAGGAATAAAAACGATGAATGATGTCGACCCATCATAACATTATGGGGAATGACAATGAATTATTCATTGTAATGGAAATTTGATGCTGAGCGATATTGAAGTTCCAAAGCACTTCCAAAATGACAACCATACAAACGCCTGCTACGGTCCCGGAAAGATAAACGTCGTGACGTCAAACCAGCGTCACAATGGCGGCTATTAAATTGTAATCGATAAGGAGAAATTGCAGTTTGCGGTATCAATTGTCTAGGTCAAGAGGTGTTTGTAAATTATGTAAACAATGTCATCCGATGCAAACGTTTTATTATTTGTGCTAACTATAGAACTTGTTCATTGACTTATCGGTTCCTTCCGAGTATTTAGGATATTTCTTTAATTGTTAAATTACAATCTCTGATGAAGTATTTTTAACATTTTCCTTCCCAGAAACATGATATCTAAAGTTTGTCTGGTTGAAATATGGTGCTGCCTGTCTGTTGTCCACCCTATTGTCCAGCCATCCTCCAAAAAATAGACATATATGTGTATTTTTTAACGAAAATCTGTCCCCAGAACTAAGATAATTATGTGTAGTGTTGTTTTCAGCTAAAGACAGTCCCTAAATATAAGAATAGTACGGTGTTGTGGTTTCCAGTGCCTAGATGCATATAGTAGTGGTATTAGGGATTACGTTTAGCAAGAGATAAGATATGTATGTTGTTGTTGTTGTTGTTTTCAGCGATTGCGTGTCCCCAAAATCGGTTTGGATGGGACTGTTCAAAGCGTTGTTTCTGTCAGGACTCGCGACACTGTAACAGGTTCACGGGGCCCTCAAAACAATGTCACTGCATATCAGGATACTTTAACCCACCATTCTGTCAAGCAGGTGAGCATCATGTTTATTTTCTTGCGTTACGTCAGGATTTAAGAAATGCTAAATGGCTAAATTGCAGAATACATCGGTTGCTACCAACTTAAAACAATATATATATATATATATATGAACCACTGTATTGCTTACTATATACATAACCCTAAACACTACTAAAACATTCGTTCACATTCAGTTATTAAGGCCAAGACCGATGGTTGACGTCATTATTTCAATATTATTACGTCATAATGTTCACGATAGGTACAGCTGACACTTCTGGAAAGTGGCCATTCTTAAAGATTTTAAAAAATGCATATTTTTAGCATCTAACATATCCCACAACCCACGATGCGGTGGCGTATCTTGGAAACTATCTTTGAACGGAACTGTCTCTCAAATTACATATTGCATCAAAAAATATTTTGAAATGATTGTTTAGATATCGTTCGGTAAGATAAACTGCAGGTGACAATGTTTTAATTTGTTTTGACAGTGACACCGCCGACGATATTATCTTTCGAGAACACTGAAGTCAATCCCGGCCAAAACACAACTCTCAACTGTACCGTGACGGCCTATCCAACTCCAAAAGCCGGCGAAATCATCATCCGTGGTCCCGCCCGGAGACGGGTGACTCTGATGGACTCGGGAGAACTGGAAATCTATATGTACACAAGGTTCAACTTGTACGCTGTGGAATACGTGAACGCCGGAGATCGTTTTACGTGTATCGTCAATTCCGTGGCCGGTACCACGTCTACGACAATCACTGCCGGTGTTTACGGTAGGTTTTAATATGTCTAATGGCCGTTTGTAATCCCCAGTGTTGAAAGATGTGGACGATGGAGGTCATCTAGTTTATTGATTATAATCATATTAATGTGTATAGGTTACTCTTATGGATAATATTAAAGGACAAAACACTCATAAATGATGTTTTGCCTATAAATATAGTGTGTGTATTTATGTAATTTATTTAATTGATCAGAATTTGGTACGATCAGGTATCATTGATATTTATCTAAATTGGTGAAAATATAAATGTAGTTTTCATTGTTCACCGTCAGCTCCCCTATTTCATTGTGACTACAGAGCTCTGATATTTACCTCATAATGTTGACATACGTCATGTTTATGGCCCTAATGAGTTTTTTTGGATCATACATAGAGCTGTATATTAAAATTTGATACGGTAGATTGGTGAAATGTTCAGTGAAATTGTGGGTTTTTTTTTACCAGTGGTATACTTTTTACATTAGTTAAATGGTTATTTAAACAGGTACACACAATAAATATTTTCCTTTACATCATCAAAGTATTCTGACATAAGAATTTCGTTCTCAGTATAGCTATCAAATCGTCCTGTTGAAGATTGTCAAAACATTCAAGATTAAAAAATAAAGAGATAGATGAGCATGTTGTTTCTCTTGGGAAGGCATTATTCCTGTGTCCGATCGGGGAAACAATTGCCGTTAGCTATGACATCACAATGGAAGATGGCGTCGCCCGACGTCATAATTAGAAGATTGACCTACGAAATAATGAACCAACTCCTATCAGATTTAAATGAGGAAACTTAGAATGGTTGCGGAAGAAACATATTTCTGAAAAACAGAAAGTATCATTTATAAAACAGAGAATTTTGAATAAGTGTAATTTAAAATATGCAAATTAATTTAATCTTGCAGAACTTCCTCGTTTGAACCGGGCTCCTTTCATAGCCGATGGGGGACTAGGTGTAAAGGAAATTCACATTCGGTGGCACAGGTGGGACCGGGAACGTGGGGATACTGGGGACCCGCCCATTCTGTGGTACAGTGTCATGGTACAAGACCTCGACGACGGCACGGAACGGTTGGCGGGGATAGTTTTGAACATGAATTGCCAATACATGTATCTATGTAATTTTACCATCACCGATCTCATCCCCAACACCAGACACGCCATCAAAGTATCGGCAAGGCGTGACGGCGAGGGCGGGGACGGTCCCCCGGGGCCATCACTGAATGCCACAACCATGTGTGGAGGTAGGTCAACGACCTTGCTAAAAAGACATTTATGTTATAAGTAACAACCTTTTCGTCATTGCTGTGTGATGTTACTGACTACAGGAACAGAAGCAGTGTACATTGTGTTAGTGATACAAGTTTTAATACTATACGACTAGATGGTACTTATGTCAAGCAATTTAACTAAAATTCCATCACAAGACGCGTCTTTGGCGAGGTTTAGTGAGGCGCAACAATATGCTTCGTGAATAGAAAAAGAATATAATATTTTACCTGTTAGACACATGTACTTATACATGGCTTGACTTGTTTAATTCTTTTGTTTTGAAAAATCGTCTTGGGGAAAAATGTCAATGAAAAATAAAAACATGATTTCTTAATTTTCATTGAGATTTTCCACTGAGGTTCGCTGCCATGGAGTTGCTTCAACTTAATTATTTTCGTTTTTGATTTCCTGCAGTCTGTTTGATATCATCGGTTGACATATATGTAGTATTGCTTGCTGTTTACAACTGACGTAGTTTTATTTGATTTATCTGACTGAAATGTATTATGTTTCTCTGAATGGGCATTGCCATTACACTTCTTGGAATGGTTAATACCTTGAGATTACCGACTGCACTGTTATTGCTATGAGCTGTCCCATTGACTGGAGTTCTTGTTGGCATTGATTTAAGATTTCCCGCTGGTTTGATGTGTTTCATTGTTACTACAAGTTCAGTCGGATGCTGATAGCAACCGTGATCACATAGTAAGCACGGCGATCCAGACGAAAGTTGATATTACTAACGTGTTACTGGGCTAAAATGTCAGACGAGGGAGCTGATGAGTGGCTGTCCACCCCGGGACACCCGTAATAATGTTACAGATTATAAACGTATTAGGGACAATACCCCTGGGCCCCGGCGGATTAGATTACCATGCTGCATACATCTATATAGGGAAAGACGGACGATAATGCAGTGGTCATTTACACACAAAAAAAAGATACACAACATCCGGTTGTTCCGTTACTCATTTGCTATTTATGTGGTAGAAATTGGTATTCAACCGTGTTCCTGTGCTCGACGCTCATTGTGTTTTAAATCACGTCGTCAATTGAATTTGAAATACAACGTTTTTCGTTGTGTTTCCAACACTTCCTGCCGATTCTGATTGATTAAATGTCGGAGGAAACGAGTTACGGGCAGGCCAGTTGTTGAGAAAGGGGAATTTTAAAATGGTTATTAGCTTTCAAATAGGACTATAATGGGTATGTAGCATAAAATGACGGTGAAGAAAAACACTCTTTTTTTCATCAATATTTTCCCGTGTGTAGAATTGACATAAGACGTTCACCCGCCACGGGACACTGGTAGATATTGAATAAACCCTCAGTGTAAGTTTTTGGTTTAGAAGTAACGATTTCCCGCATTACCACATCCTAATAAACAATGGTTTTATTAAACAGGATCAATGTCGCGGTACCTGCTTCATTGGGGTATCATGTAGGCTACCGACTTCCCCCTATCAGTCAAGTATGGTGCGTGCACGTGAACGTACTAAAGGTATAGGATTTCTAAAGGAACACTTGATATCAAATTTCTACATTTATTTATAGCTCCCGAGTTGCCACCAATATTGAGGACAGTTACCTCTGGCTTTGAGTTCAACAGTTCCTTCCCGCAGACAGAACTTGTAGTCACATGGAAGGTAATCGTACGAGACTATTGCGGCCGTAAAATACATGATTACGGTACAAAATGAGAGCTTTGTGTACTATTGATCAGCAGAAAAAAACAACATATTTCAAGGATGTTTTTGTTAAATCTGATATTTTTTACGTATGACATCACAATATTGTTTCAGAGCCTTAGAACAATCTCAAGTTGTAAATATATACATATGTTTACATAAGCATTGCCACTCGGACTTTTTTTATACATATATTGTTGCCACAACAACAAAATGATTGGGCACAACTTGCCACTACATAAACTTACCTAACTAGCGCAATGATATTTGTCTGAAATCCTGTTAAGAATTATAGGACAATAACTCTTAGCAGAATGCAGTTAAACGATTAAATATAATGGCTGCCCATAACGACAACACGTTTATAATCTTTGTTTCAGGATCCACCCCGGTCCTCGTGGAACTGTGATAACATTAGTCTGTATCAGATAACCATTTCCAACGCGCAGCACGCAGGTAACAAGCAGGCCGTGCACATATCCGGGACAACGCCCCAAGGAAGGAACGGGATAAAGAGCGCCTCCATATCGGATCTCCAGCCCGCTACCGAGTATTGCGTTACCATGAGTTTCCAGAGCAATCGCGACCAGTACAGCCCGGAGTCTGAGCGGACCTGTACTTCCACACCAAAGACAAGTACGCATTGTTTATACCACTAGATATTGAAACGGGACTGCATTCTAGCCAATAATGACACGACAAGGGAAGAAAACTCTTAATTCAATTTCCCATACTAAAAAAATCTTCAGTCGTAGATTCAAATTTGAGTTCTGCTTGTTAAAAGAAGATTGAAACAAACAATGAGATTGTGACACAGATAATCAACATTTTTACTTTCAATCTGTCCCTAACAATGAACATGCACATCATCAGATCAAGCACAAACAGAACAAAGTGACGCGTCTATCTCTGGCGTGTCTGCTAGAAACACATCGTCGTGTGGCGAGCTTTGTAACACTTGAAAGCTTTAGACTCGATTTTTTGTATGCTTTTCTAACTGTTTCGGAGTGCGGAATTTAGCACGCCCAACAAATCTGTGTGAACATCAATGGAGAGGATACACGCAAAGATTTGACAAGATGAGGTTCATTTTAATCAAAATTACGGTGTGAAAATTTATGTGTCATTGTAATTACGATCGGGTCGATTAGCGCGCGCGCGTCGAAGCATCACGCGCATTCAAATTCCATTTTGTCCCCTGTCCATAAATTTCGTAACAAACCAGTTGCTCATTCTTGAAAACCGGTGTACAGAATGCACGTCTTCGCACAGAAAATGCATTTCAGAGATTCGATGACAAGATGTGCATACAAATTCCATTTCAATTTCTAATCAATATCAAGTTACGACCAGTTGCGCACCCGTAAATCACGTGTGCAATGCACCCTCATTTGTAGCAACGCGGACCTCAAGATTTGACGACAAAATTCGTTTCGGATGTAATTGCCTTGTTTTACGTCTCAGTCCAATTATGCTGCCGTCTTATTATTTATTTCTACGAGGATTATCAGTAACAAATGGCCTCCATGCATTTTATGATATTTGCAATCAATAAATCTTCCTGATCTCAGTTTGAAAGTGAAAATTAAAAAAGATGATGTATACCAATGCCTACATTGTTCTGCCATTTGCTCATATATATCAGGCTTAAATTGATCGAGCTGCATCTAGTGGTATTTGTCAATTGACTCTTAAAATCATGATTCATTGTAGCTGGCACGCGTAAGAAAAGTCTTTTGTGTAACCACGGAGGATTCGCAAGATTCCAGCACTTTGTATGTTTGATGAAAACAAAAATTAAAACCAAAGAAGAAATTAGTCGTCAATCTAAAGCCGTAAAATCCCTTCGGTATTTTGAGTGTTGTTTTGCTTTCACACTTTTGATTATTTAATATATTTTAGCACCGTCGGCTCCACGAAATGTCAAATTGATCCGACAAACCAGTAACAGTCTGACTTTTTCGTGGGAGAAACCGTTCCGTCCGCCCGCTGATGTCATGAGGTACAATCTAGGCATTTGGAAAACGGACAGTCGAGAATTTACCACAAAAACTGGAAAGGAAGTGACGTCATCAGCGGCAGTGGTTGCACACACACTGGAAGATCTTGACCCATTTACGAATTACAGTATTGAGGTATGCTCCCGCAAACATGCATTTGATCAGCAAGATTCACAACAGTAATATAGTAATAGTAATAAAAGTGAAAGGAACGCGTATACAACGTTGTTAGTTTTGAAAACTGAGCTTTATCTAATACTTCTAAAGTACATGCACCTCAAACGTTTGAATGCCTTTACTGCAATTGATGAGATTGACGAAAAACTGTTTTATTTACCTTATAAAGATTCGAGCAGTTAATTCGGCTGGTGATGGAGATCCCAGTCCAATTTTTGTCGCTGCTACAGCGGAGGGGCGTAAGTAGATTTTGTATTGCTTTCTTGCATGCAAATAAAAGTATACGTAATAATACATTTCGCTACGATACATCACTTTGTTAAAAAGGTAACTAGTGCATCATGGTACTTAAATCTTGCACATATGCGGCTCTACATACAAACGCGCAATCATCACGCTGTAAGCATCAGAATTCTCCATAAAACAAGCTTAAGTTATATAACTTACATTTTATTAATATGAAATAAATACGTATATGAACATCCAGTCGTAGTTGCAAATTGTTCTGTAAATTTACCCACTCATGTTTTATGATCGTTCCTTAGCTCATTTTTCCGATAGGAAAGCTTTTTTCAGATTTAAGGAAACAGCTTACGTGAGGGGAGTTGTCCTAATTTCAGTAATGTTTTTTTTATAAATGTCGAGGAATTTCATTTGGTTAAGGTTTAATTTCTCCATTTCATAACTATTTTTAGCTATTTCATTTTGTGCTGGAAAAAGGCATCAATTTCCACTCTTCACATTATTTTAGGAGATATTTGGAAAACAATAATATATAATCTCATTAATCTAAAAATCACCCATATTTATGAGCCATAGTTCATAGTTTCCTTTAAATCTATAAATAACAACACACATATTTGTCTAATTTTCACTCGGCCCTACCGAGTCCTCAAATAATCTGACAAAATATTTTTGTTCATTTTGTAGTACCCGGGCCGATTCAGAACTTTCGAAATATTTCAAAGACAGCAACGTCTATTGGACTTATCTGGAAGGACTCCCGTACTACGAACGGACAGGTTCTTTCATATCTGGTAAGTTGTCAAAATAATATCAAATACGGTTAGTTGTGTCATTTATAAATAGTTTTGTCATTTTTTTTATTATATCTGGTAAATTGTGTCAAAACCGGCAAGTTGTTGAAAAAGGCATCTTTTATCATATCTACCTAGTAAGTAATTACCGAAGCCAGCTTCTATTTTATCTGGGAAGTTGAAGCAAATGTTCTGTTCCAAAGTTATATCTTTTGAGCTGTCGTCAGAGATCTTCTTTTACATATCTGTTTGTTGTCAAAGCCAATAAACGGGACACATATGTGTGATGATTACCGCGGCTCATTGCATTGTGCTGAAAAGTAAACGTTGTGGTACTGATGCTCTCTCATTTCGTCTTTGCTTCAGTTGTCGTGTTTCCCAGTCGAGTCCATGTCTGCTGCCCCTGACCAGCACCGGGAGGTCAATGTCCTGCCGAGCGTGCATCGCCACACCTTCAGTAACCTGGTGCCGGCCACCAAGTACCTCTGTAGTATACACACAAGTACAAACAAGGGGACCGGTCCGTCCACAAGGATAGCAGTATGGACCAAACCTCTAGGTAAGGTTGCCGTGTTTTTACAGATTATGCCTGAAAATTAAACAAAATCCAGTGAAAATGTTGATTGGATACTTAAATAACCGTCAAAAAATAGTTTTATTAATAATCGAAAAATAAAAAAAAAGTCTGAGAAGGAAAGCGGTCTTGAAACCAGTATATTTGTTGCAATTGACCTGTATATTTCAAACGTAAACTCCCTTGTGGTTGCAGACCCCAAAGAGCCACCTACTCCAAATATCATGGATCACACTGATACGACGGTAACAGTGCAGCTTACACCCTCACAGGACCAAACCATAAGGTGAGAACCAGCCTTCCTATATATATTTAATGGGACACAAGCCAAAGTATGTCTTGATTGTCTATTTAGGAGGCGTTTTTGTCTATTAGACTGGCGTGTTTGTATATTGGAATGACTTTTTGTATATTGCACCGGGATAAGCGTACTTGCCTATTAGACAAGCATGCTAGTCTAATCGACAGACTTGTTTGTTTGTCGAAAAGGCTTGTCTTTTTACTTGACATGTTTGTTTGTCCCTTGGATACGCGTGTTTGTCAATTAAATAGACATGATTTTCTACTGAGTAGACGTTTTGTCTATTGGACAGGCGTGTTTGTATATTAGAAGGGTCTTGTTTGTCTGTTGGACAGGCTTGTCTATCTACTTGACATGTTTGTTTGTCCCTTAGATACGCGTGTTTGTCGATTTAATAGACATGATTGTCTATTGAGTAGGCTTTTTGTGTCTATTGTCTGTTTGTCCATTAGACAGGCGTGTTTGTATATTGCAATGGGCCTTTTGTCTATTGGAGAGGGAAAGGCGTGAATGCCTATTAGTTTGCCTGTTTCTGTACCGGACATGCTTGTTTGTCTGCTGGACAGGCTTGTCTGTCTATTTGACAGGTCTGTTTGGCTCTGGGATGCACGTATTTGTCCATTGAACAGACATGATTGTCTATTGGACGGGACTTTTGTCGATTGAACAGACTGGTTTGTTTGTTAGACAGGCATGTCTCTTGGATACAAGTGTTTGTCCATTGCATATACATGTTTGTCTACTGGACAGGTGTCTTGTTGATTGGATAGACTGGTTCGTCCATGGGATAGGCGTGTTTACATTTTCTTTCTAATGTAAGACCTATATAGAAGACGTCTGCTAGTGCCACTGGGAAATAATGAGAAACGATATACGTTGATATATGCTCTTAACACATAAGCAATACAGATTATTTGGCCACAAGACAGGTTACAATCAGTGTAGTATACGCTCTTCGACATGAACAATGAAGGTGGTATCGACATAGGGCCTGTTATATAATCAGCGCCGTTTACGTCTCACGTTGAGTTCTAATCTAATACACAGACGGGTAACACCAGCGAGAAAAGATGTACCTCGACTACCACTCCGATTACACATTGCATTATAGATACACATTTTCGTATATAATTGAAATGTATTGGATCTGTTTCAATCAATAATAGCGTGCTATACGTGTAGAGCGTTACTGTTGTATAATACATATATATGTTCGGCATCCTCAGAGATCAACCTGCCAGGCTAGTTTTCGCATTACTATCAAACTTACGTTAATACCTTCAAGTATTTATGACCGGCTGCCCTTTTGGGGTCTGATGTCATAGTCCGGCCATACGACGTAATCCTACGTCGTCCTTGTAGTCATAACTCCAACACCATTGCTGCCATTCCTTACATCTTTATTTCCATGTACAGCTTACTCAGGTTAATCCAAATGTTGATAATCTTTAACTCTCTCCTTTCTGACGCTCAAGGTTTCTCTCTCCTTTTTGACTCGCAAGGTCTCTCTCTACTCTCTCTGTCTCGTTCCTTATATACTTGCTACTTGTCCCTCACAGAAGACCTCCTGCTGAGGCTCCTTGCTGATCTCAGCCAGCAGGACATTTGGCCCATGCTGTGTTTCTTATTTTACTTTAACCTGATATTTTATCAAAACTATAAATGTTACAACTGATCTAAATACTTGTCCTGAAAGATGACATTCTCTGCTTTATACTGAAGTCTTGCACTTATAACACAAACATTGAACTTAAATGCATTATTGAATTATTTAGTATTTGAACACTTCAAATGACAGTAAAACATATACAGAATCAAAACTACTTGCTTGATTTGAATAATCAAAACAGTTCCATAAACTACACATAATGCTTAGTGTAATTATTTCTCTATTCTTGTATAAAAGAATGAAGCTACATAGAAATAGTATGTTGAATTTGTTAAACAATAACAAATCAAATCTACACTATATCGGCTGAGGTTCAGCTTATCATTTTAATGGTCCCAGTGGGGGTATCCCACTACTGACCATTTGCCCTTCAGCCAGAGGGAGCTGATCACACAGCATGACCCCCTATACAGCTCAGCTAGTACTGATTAGCCTACACTTGTGCAGCTAAAACTAATTATTACTTCTCAGATAAATTGAGATAATATGTCACACTATTTCTCTGTCAGTCATATATTGTTTCGCTTGATGGAAACACTCTTCATTTGTCAGAATAAATCGACGGTCATCTGCTCTCGAAATAGCAAATCGAACATAAAACAGACGATACACAACTAATAGAACGTTGTTGTGCAGCTATAATTACATGTAGAATATTTAAAACTTTCACGGGCAAATCTTGCTTGTACGAAGGTATGTATGACCCTTTTTACAGACGTAATGTATGCTTAAAGAGCCGACATTTTACTACAGACGAATCGTCTTTGGGTGCAGTCAAGTGAAAACAATCTAACTATGATCGATCCTGTTTCAAAAGGCATGGCTATTCTCTTTAGAATCGGCGCCAACTGTCAACTGGGCATACGGTTATAGAGAGGAAGTAATCCAATATGGGCACGTTTCATCGAAATCCATACAGCTTAATTCTGTTGAAATGTCCAGAATTAGGTGATTCTGAGTTTCTTATAAAAGCATACATGCTTTTTTGCTTAGTTTGTTTATGCCAGGCAGAATCAATCAAAACCTGACGTTGTCGGTTGTGTAAGATGGCAATCACATTCAAGAACGTAAAGGAAATAAAACGTTCTCCGATCACGTTTCTGATTATTAACAACAGGAGATAAAGGTCGATATTGCTTTCACTTGGGAACGTGATCGATGGGACTCATCGGTCACAATGACCTAAGCGTAAGGCGAGGGTGGACTGTTTTATATTACATCATTATCTGTTCAAATTGACCAAAACCTAAACGCAAGGATTATATCAATTGATACCCGTGGAATATGTTTAAAAGATTAAGATATAATAGAACGAAGATTCACGTCGACCCAATTTGTGAACCGGTCGAGTATGAGATGCATTTCAGAATGGAAGATGAAGTACATGAATTACGTACACGGGTCGTAAAATTATGAAAGATACAAAACAAAATATCTTTAATAATTCAGGAACAATTTCGACAAAAAAAGAATATAACCATGTTATAAGCACCAGCGAAAAAGTAACATATAAATTCTCTGACCAACGTGAAATGACAATTTTTGATTGAATGCGTTGTCATATTTATCCTTAATCCTTCACAATTATCCTTGGTAAACATTTTTGAAACTGAAAACCAATAAATTAGATATGTAGTTATGTTTTTTTAGATAATAAATTTTCGGTTTTGAGATTATCGTAACGACAATTTCAGTTATCATCAGGATTTGTCTTGGCTGGTAGCGTCTCTCAATGAAATTTTTCATTCCATCAAGAAAACGCATCACCTACCGCAAAGAAGTATACGTCACCAGTAGACTTTGTAAAATAGAAACGTAGTTGAAACTAAGAACAGCAATAATCAGTATGTTTTTATTCGTTTACAGCTTCTATCGCATGATTATAGAAAATGTGAGTTCGGGGCGTGTGACCAAAAGAAGCATTCCAGACCGTATACGCCAGGTTGGCTCCGACTTCTACGAAGCTCGAGCCCAAGGAACAGGTGCTTACATAGCAGCAGAACTGACTCCGGACAAACTCAACGCCCCCTTTGTGGTTGGGGATAATAAGACATATCGTGGATATTATAACGCCCCTCTGGTCCCCACCCAGAACTACGACATTTGGTACGGCGCCTTCTCCAATGTCGACGGGGTGAGTACCATTTACGTTTCTCTTCTCTGAATGATGGATTAGTTCAATTTACTTAATTTTAGGGCTGCGATGATATATCGTGTGACGACATATCGCCAGTTTTTGATGCGGTACGATATACAGTATTTTTTTGGAGGTCACGATACACCTACGATATTTTCCGGATATTGTCGTTTCTACATTTAGTCTACTCATATCCGTTCGCACATGGCGAGTGACAGCTGCAGCTCGTTGAAAGACGTGAATTGTGTGAAACTTTAAAGTCAATCTTATTTTAGACCAAGTCTTATTTCCTGTTGTTATATTGCCAATAAAATTTTGCAATACATCTTTTCGCTTTGCTTCGAATTTTTCTAATCGTTTCGTGACCACAGTATCGTGATACGTATCGTATCGTCATGTTAATGTATCGTTGCATACTTACTAAATATATCTTACTGCATATAAGAAAATAAAAAGCCTAAATTGCACTGCATTCCTCACTGCTGTGATATTAAGAAGCAATGTGTCCTGAAGCGTTTGGATAGTTCTCATTAGTTTGTTTAAAACTGTACAAACAGAAAAGATTAATAGCATCAACACTTGTAACTATTGAAACCACTTCAGGCACTTACTGACATAACCTTCTCAAACTTCGCTTAGCTGCTGAAATATTGATGAAAAGTTCAATATCTGACACCTGTGCTTTATTGATAGTGACACGCGTACACGCGTGTTTTATCTACAGGATTATATCGATGACACGTGTGGTTTATCAAAAGCAAATATACGCCAAATTTGTATTCAACGCGTGTACGATCAACGGGGATATTTGAAATGTTAACCATGTGTTGTCACCTCAATAGACATATGCTTCATAAACGTGGATATTTAGGGTGTTTTTTTACCAAGTATTTTATCGAATCAATAGGTAAATCTGACGCATGTACACGTATGCTTTATTAACGGGGATATCTGAGATGTTTGCACGAGTGTTGTCAACTCAATAGATATATCTTACACGTGTATACGTTTGTGTTGTCAACATGATTAAACACGTGCACAAACCCGCGTATAAGTGACGAAATAGATAAAAAATATATAACGTTATTTCAAGAGATAAATGCAGTTACTTATAAGGTTGTGTGACAGTTCAGAATCATGAACGACCTGTAGTAATTGACCAACATTGTCAAAATCTCTATTTATCTGTATTACTTTCACAAATTGGAAATACCGCTATAATTGGATGGTTTTATATTTTAAATAATACATTTCTCAAACAAATAAGTATTATTGCCTGTATTTACCGTTTAGTTGTCAGTTAAATTAAGTCAAAGTAACCATAGCCTTAGTTTCGAAGCAGTCGAAATGAATAAATTTTGATTAATTCAAATCAAACTGTTCTTTTAATGAAGTTAAAAAACGATTTGGAACGTATCCTGCATACTTAAGACATATATCACTACGGGAGTATGGGTTTCTCTGACACAATTATCTCCATCTAGTTGATGGATTCAACAATATACACAGACAGTCGGACACATTTCAACATCAATCATGCAGTTTATGACAAAATCATGTTTAACTCTCATCATTAAAGTTCTACAAGCAGTATTTCATAGCAGTATTTCATAGATGAAGAAAAAACAAATTGGTTTGCTAATTTAGGATAGTTAAACAACTATTCCGACACGTAAACTCTAGGGATATCTCGTAAATGTAGCAGAATCGATAGCGATATTTCATTGGCGCACATGGGAGAACAGTGTAGTGTTGGTGGTGCTCTCTTCCTCTCCTGCAAGCCATATATCAGTCGCTTTTAAATTCAATAAGGCTCAGGGACAACTGTTGATACCAGATCCACACACGTCAATTTTCAGTGTTACACGACAAACGTGTCAGTAGCTTTCCGAACGACGGACTAGAGGATTCCGAAGGACGTGTGAAGGCACCGAGCACTGACTCTGGTTATTGCGATGACAAAAGTGTCAATTATTCTCGATCAAGTCGTCAACATTATTAGCCGATTCCCAATTGTAGAGTTTTAACGGATTCAAATGCTAGAGCAAGACTTTTTTGATCTGCCTTAGATTGTATTATTTCTGTTCTTGTTATATTGTTTGAGGCAAATTGTCCATTGTATCGGCACTTGAAGTCAAGTATCTCCGCCTAACATGAGTCTCTAATCACATTCTATGTTTTAAAATAGACCGCACCGGAAATGTTCGCCGTACTTAAACTTCCGCCATTTTCAGCCTCCGTAATGTGGGCGAATGGACAGCAAATATAAGTATACAACTTACAGAGCGTATGATTTCTAATATGATTGGCGAAATATGCAGATTTTAGTTTTTCCGGAATTGGGCATATACTGTACAGGGAGAATGTTTAGCGGTATAAAAATATGGATTGCGTTACATTGGCATTCGCCTTATTTGCCTTAACGCTATTTCTGGCGAAAATGTTATTTCTTCATATACGCCATATTGGATGGAGATTACATTGCACGTTATTGAACAAGGAATTCTACTACACTATCTTAAAAATAACAATTCATTCTAGATACATTTAGTTATGGCGAGTGAACTTTTCCTGAATCAGCGCGATAAGATTAAGTAATTTATGATAATAAGCTTCGCTGGAATAGAGCAATGTGAACGTGCATTGCGGTAAACACAAATTACAAGAACAACACTCTCTAGGTGCCAAGCTGCCATTAAACCAAGTTCAGCCTCAATCTTTGTCAAGTATTACCCCAAAGGACAATTTCATTTCGGTATTCTCAACTTCTTATAGGACATTCATTTATGAGCCAATAACACTCCGTGATAAAGTTATCCCGTTAGCATTGACAAAGTAGGCCGTTTCAGACGAGAGTTATTTGTAACAATGGCAATCTAGAGGACGTGTTGAAGGCGCAGTTACTCTGTCACTGTCTCCGGCACATTGGGAGTTCTGTTACGCTTGTTTAATGTATTCGAGAACGGCTCTGATTAACCAAACCATTTCAAACACCTCACATTAAAAGTTTGGTTTGGCGCAGTGTATGTTTGTATGCAAATGACTACATTTTGTTTTTTGATCATACATCAAACAATTGTTTCATTTTAAAATATCAGTGACGTGTGCTCCTGGAATCCCCTTCCAACTACCAACAACAAGACGCAAATTAATCTGTACTGATCATCATTTCCTGGTGTTATCATCGTAACAAAAGTTTAGTGTATATTTCATTTGATCGTTAATGCCAATATTCTCTCTGTGTCCTTGTTGAGAATTTGTAATATGTAAAAGGTAATTTCTAAATGTTGGTGCTTGATTGTCAAACACAATTTCATGTGAGCAATAGCGACATTTTATATACTTGAAATAACTTACAATTCATAATCTTGTCAAAGGATCTTGTTCCGCGTCATTCATTCCGTACCTTGATATCTAGTGACATATCATGACAACAGTAAAAACTCTCCCTTATTGAAGACATTGAGTACGGTTGTCCTGTGACTTAGAACCCCTAGTTGTGCTTTCGTTTATGAAGGACATTGACTTCCGTTGTGCTTTGTTATAAACATTGGGAACTGTTGTACTTTCCATTTTGAGAAGACATTGGGTACTTTTGTTCCTTATCGTTAACCTTGCGCTTTTTTGTTTTGTCCTGAAGACCTAACATACAGTTTTCTTTTCTATTGTCGGGTTGGAAACTTTGGATACTGTTGCCTCTTGTTGAAAACTTTAAATAATGTTGTCGCTTAGTGAAGGCATTAAGCACTGTTGTCCTTTGTTGGAGAACTTTGTTTATGTTGTCCTTTTTCGTAGACAAAGAGTTCTGGTGCCCCTTGTTGAAAGCATTGGTAGTGTTCTCTTTGTTGACGGTACCGATTTTCTGTTTTATGACCTGGAGTACTGTCATTCTTTGTGGAAGACTTTGAATCGTTTTGCCATTGGCCGCTTCCATTGTTTCAAATTTCAAAATGCGTGTGATGTCTTTGATACATATGTTAAGGTTGACGGTGTTGCACTGCATACTTATATCTTTTTTGTTTACTTAATATTGGTTTTTGATGTTGACGATGTCGGTCGTACTGTGTAATATTTTATCTTATGTTTATGTACTATATACCCTTGTGCTTTCAGACATTGCGGAAGTCGTTCTCTAAGGCTGAGCGTGCTGTAGGTGTTGGTAAGTACGATAGTTGAGTCATGACTATTCCCTTTTCTTAAGCATGTTTTCGGCTTTGATACACCGGATATTGAGTCGTGGCTTAATAGCAAGTAACATATATATAATTGATTGCGTCTGCAAGCAGATTTATAACACTTTTAAAAATTTATAATAAAATAGCTATATCATCGTTTTACGTCTATGTGAAGCTCATCATGCTTCGGTCGCCTCTTGTCAAGTTGTCACTAGTACTCGACGCCAATTCAAAGGAATGAGAAGGAACCTGTTTACTTTAATGCATACGAACATTGTGTAATGCCTTTCGGAGACGCTCACCTATCAGATTAGATATTGACTGAAAATCGATATTGTCCATTATGGTCGTTTTCATATTTACCTTAATCAATAAAAGTACCATACATTCGCGTTATCGCAGTCCTCCCAAGGACGTCTATTCTGTTCTGGTGAGATGGAAAACTGTAGCATTACCCATCACGCTTGGACACATTCAACATTTCAGTGCGTTTGTCACACATATTGGACTTGAAAGTTTAGGGATAGAGAACATGCTGATAATAACTTAATTATCTACTCATTGACGGTGCGAGTGTGTGTTGTCGTCTTTTTGACGATGTTTGTGTGTTTTTACTGCCGAGAAATATCGATACGCTACACAATGTATCCATTAAAAGTCGTTTAAATAGATGTAATAGGAGCCGTGTTAAGGTCATACCACAAATGGAATCGTTACCTTTTAGTCCTAAAGCTAGCTGATCTTAATTACGCTGAACATGTCGATGACAAGTTAAAGTAGAAACAAATCGAACCTTAAATGGAACAATTTGTCAGTGAAATACATGTTCGCACAATAGAATGTGTGATTTATGTCCGAAGCCATATCGATCACACATAATGAATATTTGCATACAAACCGAATTGTGCATGTCTAAACAATTCCGATGCAAACCTTTATTCAAAATGTATAAACCAACGTAGATTGTATACCCCAATGAGTTTTCATTTTCCAGGATCTATTGCTTATTTCAATTATTTTGATATGAGTCTATGGCAGAAACAGTTTGCTTGCTGTATTTACCTCCTTTATCTCATTCTAAAACTGTTAAGTTAACAAGTGAAGTAATACTTGATAGCAGCATGTTGCAAAAGTGCTTGTAGTATATGATAAATGTCATAATTTTTTCTTACATAAATGTTGAAATATGATTATTGTATTTGCAAATTCTTTGTCTGATAGGTATTAGACAAAGAAATAACAACAAATTGCTTTATGCACTTAACATTGACCCAGGTGTCGATGCTACAAACGGAAGGCTCAGAACCTGTCCCTTGACTCATTGATGGCCATTTGTTAAGATTTATATTTGACTTTCTCTTGTTAAGATAGGGGTTCGACTGCAAAATCATAATTTTGTAACTCAGCGTTTTAATCTTCTGCACCACCGATGAGTTTAAATTAAGTGTAGCAAGCACGTAACTGTGTAAGGTGCTTGTCTCCATGATTCTTATGAGGAGGATATTTAGGGCATGTATCAGAAATATACGTATATGTTTATATAGCTGTAAGTATGTGTGGTATTTTTAAAATTTTATTTCTATTTTAGCCCTGAGCGTGGCTCCGGCCCCGGAGAGTAACCACGTGCCTGTCATCATCGTCGTCCTTGTTGCATTCATCATCCTTATCCTTGTATTCGCACTTCTTCTTTTCCTGTGGAGGTAAAATAATTGATAAACAAAATTTGCTTAAGGACTAAAGGTCATGTTAAAATGTTGGGCTCAAAAAATGACGCTGACTTTTTATAAAAACAAATTACCCAGTTACATTGAATGAAGCAATGCTGATAATTTTCCCTTGTCATACCTCACACAGATTCCATTATCTTTTTTCTAAACTGAATAACATTTCATCCCATTTAAGGAAACGCCACCTAGCGTCAGAACGTGAGAAGGCGGAAATGCCCAACTTCGGTCCAACTATTGTACCGGAACCGGATACATCAACCCCTTCTACACCTGTCGGTAAGATCTAATGTAACCCGGTGTCAAAGATCACTGAAGGACATGTCCTCGTTTGTTTTAATCATTGAACACCTTTAGAGTAACTTGACACTTAATGAGTTTCATTAATAAATCGATTGGGAGAGGATCTGCAACTACCCCCACTAGAGTCGCACATCAATCAGATTGCAGGTATAAATTGGTTTTTATTCATTCATATTGAAGAATACCATGATTTCAGTGTCATATTTTTTTCCACATAAAAATGGCGTCGGTCTAATTGTATCGTTTATGTGAAATTTTAATAACCCCCCTTTACATCGTGAGCAAAATGCATCATTTTCTTGAAAGGCTTCCATCAGTTGTGCTATCAAGACAGTAATTGTTTGAAATGTAGCTCATTTCTGTTGTAAAGATTCGAAAAATCAAGTCATAACGGTACAATTGCAAGTGATCACTTCAAGTGTATTTTTTGTTTCATTCATTCGTTCCATTTTCGGGCAGTTTGATTCAACAGTTACTTAAAAGAGCCCCTGAACTGTAATAGGCGTCCTGGTGGCAACGTTACGAATATTCGTGTTTTCTGTCTATCAAATTATATCGTAGGAGAGGCAATCTCCATATATCAATTCTAGTTGACCTACTGTAGTGATTCCATGTAAAAGACCCCCTCTATTTCTGTCTACTTAAGCAGACCTATTCTGGCTAGTAAACCTGATGTATTAGTTTAATTCCATTCAATCAACGAGCGAATGAAGTACACAACTAAATTTTAACTGTCTTACACGCACTCTTCTCTGGGAAATGAGAGTTTAAAATTCAATAAAACGGTAAGTTGTGTAAAAGACCGGTTTGAATGCTAGCATGCTCGATATACACTGCACCGCCTTGCTATACCGATCTTTGCCTTCATTGTCAGTGAAAGTAAGAAGTACTCATTGTGCTGTTAACAGTCATGGAAGTACATGGAAAGTACGTGCTGTAAAACCAAGTGATCGTTAGTGAGAAGTCTACGGTGTCCTGTGTATATTGTCAGTGGAACTGAGTGAGAAATGAAGTAAAATAGAGATACAATGAAAAGTACGCGAAATTATATACCTTTGTAAGTGGAAGTGAATGTGAAGTACGTGAAGCAATGTTTGTTGTAGAGAAGTTTGAGGATGTGCGGTGGGATGAGCTAGAAGTGAGTAAAAGCGAGTGAGATGTAGGCGATATGCAATGGAAAGAGAGTAAGGTGTGAAAGAAAGTGAACAAAACGCGGCATGCATTAGCATGCGTTAAGAGAGAGTGAAAGTGAGTGAAATATACGCAGTGTGCATATTTGAGTGGTAGTGAGTGAAATGTGAAGCAGGGTGCAGTGGAATTGACTTAGAAGTGAGTGAGTGGTAGTGAGTAAAATGTACACAATGTGCAGTTGGAGTGAATGAGATGTACGCAGTGGGCAGTTGGAATGAGTGAGATGTACGCAGCGCGCAGTTGGAGTGAGTGAGATGTACGCAGTGCGCAGTTGGAATGAGTGAGATATACGCAGTGCGCAGTTGGAATGAGTGAGATGTACGCATTTGGCAGTTGGAATGAGTGAGATGTACGCAGTGCGCAGTTGGAATGAATGAGATGTACGCAGTGCGCAGTTGGAATGAGTGAGATGTACGCAGTGCGCAGTTGGAGTGAGTGAGATGTACGCAGTGTACAGTTGGAGTGAGTGAGATGTACGCAGTGTACAGTTGGAGTGAGTGATATGTACGCAGTGGGCAGTTGGAATGAGTGAGATGTACGCAGTGTACAGTTGTAATGAGTGAGATGTAAGCAGTGGGCAGTTGGAGTGAGTGAGATGTAAGCAGTGGGCAGTTGGAATGAGTGAGATGTACGCAGTGGGCATTTGGAGTGAATGAGATGTACGCAGTGTACAGTTGGAATGAGTGAGATGTACGCAGTGTCCAGTTGTAATGAGTGAGATGTAAGCAGTGGGCAGTTGGAATGAGTGAGATGTAAGCAGTGGGCCGTTGGAATGAGGGAGATGTACGCAGTGCGCAGTTGGAATGAATGAGATGTACGCAGTGCGCAGTTGGAGTGAGTGAGATGTGCGCAGTGTACAGTTGGAGTGAGTGAGGGAGATGTACGCAGTGGGCAGTTGGAATGAGTGAGATGTACGCAGTGCGCAGTTGGAGTGAGTGAGGTGTACGCAGTGTACAGTTGGAGTGAGTGAGTGAGATGTACGCAGTGTACAGATGGAGTGAGTGAGATGTACGCAGTGGGCAGTTGGAGTGAGTAAGATGTACGCAGTGTACAGTGGAGGGAATGAGATGTACGCAGTGTAAAGTTGGAGTGAGTGGGATGTACGCAGTGGACAGATGGAGTGAGTGAGATGTACGCAGGGGGCAGTTGGGGTGAATGAGATGTACGCAGTGGGTAGTTGGAATGAGTGAGATGTACGCAATGTACAGTTGGAGTGAGTGAGGGAGATGTACGCAGCGCGCAGTTGGAATGAATGAGATGTATGCAGTGCGCAGTTGGAATGAATGAGATTTACGCAGTGCGCAGTTGGAGGGAGTGAAATGTACGCAGTGGGCAGTTGGAGTGAGTAAGATGTACGCAGTGTACAGTGGAGGGAATGAGATGTACGCAGTGTAAAGTTGGAGTGAGGGAGATGTACGCAGCGCGCAGTTGGAATGAATGAGATGTATGCAGTGCGCAGTTGGAATGAATGAGATTTACGCAGTGCGCAGTGCGCAGTTGGAATGAGATGTAAGCAGTGGGCAGTTGGAGTGAGTAAGATGTACGCAGTGTACAGTTTGAGAGAGTGAGTTGTACGCAGTGGACAGTTGGAGTGAATGAGATGTAAGCAGTGCGCAGTTGGCGTGAATGAGATGTACGCAGTGGGTAGTTGGAATGAGTGAGATGTACGCAATGTACAGTTGGAGTGAGTGAGACGCAGTGGGCAGTTGGAGTGGGATGTACGCAGTGGGCATTTGGAGTGAATGAGCTGTACGCAGTGTACAGTTGGAGTGAGCGAGATGTACGCAGTGGGCAGTTGAAGTGAGTGAGATGTACGCAGTGAGCAGTTGGAGTGAGTGAGATGTAAGCAGTGTACAGTTGGAGTGAGTGATATGTACGCAGTGGGCAGTTGGAGAGAGTGAGATGTACGCAGTGTAAAGTTGGAGTGAGTGGGATGTACGCAGTGGGCAGTTGGAGTGAATGAGATATACGCAGTGTACAGTTGAAATGAGTGAGATGTACGCAGTGGAAAGTTGGAGTGAGTGAGATGGACGCAGTGTACAGATGGAGTGAGTGAGTGAATGAGATGTACGCAGCGCGCAGTTGGAATGAATGAGATGTACGCAGTGCGCAGTTGGAATCAGTGAGATGTACGCAGTGCGCCGTTGGAGGGAATGAGATGTACGCAGTGTAAAGTTGGAGGGAGTGAGATGTACGCAGTGTAAAGTTGGAGTGAGGGAGATGTACGCAGCGCGCAGTTGGAATGAATGAGATTTACGCAGTGCGCAGTTGGATTGAGTATATACGCAGTGCGCAGTTGGAATGAGTGAGATGGACGCAGTGCGCAGTTGGAGTGAGTGAAGTGTACGCAGTGTACAGTTGGAATGAGTACGCAGTGCGCAGTTGGAATGAATGAGATTTACGCAGTGCGCAGTTGGATTGAGTATATACGCAGTGCGCAGTTGGAATCAGTGAGATGTACGCAGTGCGAAGTGCGCAGTTGGAATGAATGAGATTTACGCAGTGCGCAGTTGGAGTGAGTGAGGTGTACGCAGTGAACAGTTGGAGTGAGTGAGATGTAAGCAGTGTACAGTTGTAATGAGTGAGATGTACGCTGTGTACAGTTGGAGTGAGTGAGTGGGATGTACGCAGTGGGCATTTGGAGTGAATGAGCTGTACGCAGTGTACAGTTGGAGTGTTGGAATGAATGAGATGTACGCAGTGCGCAGTTGGGGTGAGTGAGGTGTACGCAGTGTACAGTTGGAGAGAGTGAGATGTATGCAGTGTACAGTTGGAATGAGTACGCAGTGCGCAGTTGGAATAAATGAGGTGTACGCAGTGCGCAGTTGGAGAGAGTGAGATGTATGCAGTGTACAGTTGGAATGAGTGAGATGTACGCAGCGCGCAGTTGGAATGAATGAGATTTACGCAGTGCGCAGTTGGATTGAGTATATACGCAGTGCGCAGTTGGAATAAATGAGGTGTACGCAGTGCGCAGTTGGAATGAATGAGATTTACGCAGTGCGCAGTTGGATTGAGTATATACGCAGTGCGCAGTTGGAATGAATGAGATGTATGCAGTGCGCAGTTGGAATGAATGAGATTTACGCAGTGCGCAGTTGGATTGAGTATATACGCAGTGCGCAGTTGGAATAAATGAGGTGTACGCAGTGCGCAGTTGGAGGGAGTGAGGTGTACGCAGTGTACAGTTGGAGTGAGCGAGACGCAGTGGGCAGTTGGAGTGGGATGTACGCAGTGGGCAGTTGAAGTGAGTGAGATGTACGCAGTGGGCATTTGGAGTGCATGAGATGTACGCAGTGTACAGTTGTAATGAGTGAGATGTACGCTGTGTACAGTTGGAGTGAGTGAGACGCAGTGGGCAGTTGGAGTGAGTGAGATGTACTCAGTGAATGAGATGTACGCAGTGTAAAGTTGGAGTGAGTGAGATGGAAGCAGTGGGCAGTTGGAATCAATAAGATGTACGCAGTATACAGTTGGAGTGAATGAGATGTACGTAGTGCGCAGTTGGAATAAATGAGATGTACGCAGTGCGCAGTGCGCAGTTGGAATGAATGAGATTTACGCAGTGCGCAGTTGGATTGAGTATATACGCAGTGCGCAGTTGGAATCAGTGAGATGTACGCAGTGCGCAGTTGGGGTGAGTGAGGTGTACGCAGTGTACAGTTGGAGTGTTGGAATGAACGGGATGTAAGCAGTGGGCAGTTGGAGTGAGTAAGATGTGCGCAGTGTACAGTTGGAGTGAGCGAGACGCAGTGGGCAGTTGGAGTGAGTGAGATGTAAGCAGTGTACAGTTGGAGTGAGCGAGATGTACGCAGTGGGCAGTTGAAGTGAGTGAGATGTACGCAGTGAGCAGTTGGAGTGAGTGAGATGTTGAGTGAGATGTACGCAGTGGGCATTTGGAGTGCATGAGATGTACGCAGTGTACAGTTGTAATGAGTGAGATGTACGCTGTGTACAGTTGGAGTGAGTGAGTGAGATGTACGCAGGGGGCAGTTGGGGTGAATGAGATGTACGCAGTGGGTAGTTGGAATGAGTGAGATGTAAGCAGGGGGCAGTTGGAATGAGTGAGATGGACGCAGTGCGCAGTTGGAGTGAGTGAGATGTAAGCAGTGTACAGTTGTAATGAGTGAGATGTACGCTGTGTACAGTTGGAGTGAGTGAGGGAGATGTACGCAGCGCGCAGTTGGAATAAATGAGATGTACGCAGCGCGCAGTTGGAATAAATGAGATGTACGCAGTGCGCAGTTGGAGGGAGTGAGGTGTACGCAGTGTACAGTTGGAGTGCGTGAGATGTACGCAGTGTACAGATGGAGTGAGTGAGATGTACGCAGTGCACAGTTGGAGTGAGTGAGATGGAAGCAGTGGGCAGTTGGAATCAATAAGATGTACGCAGTATACAGTTGGAGTGAATGAGATGTAAGCAGTGCGCAGTTGGAGTGAAGGAGATGTACGCAGCGCGCAGTTGGAATGAATGAGATGTACGAAGTGCGCAGTTGGAATGAATGAGATTTACGCAGTGCGCAGTTGGATTGAGTATATACGCAGTGCGCAGTTGGAATCAGTGAGATGTACGCAGTGCGAAGTGCGCAGTTGGAATGAATGAGATGTACGAAGTGCGCAGTTGGAATGAATGAGATTTACGCAGTGCGCAGTTGGATTGAGTATATACGCAGTGCGCAGTTGGAATCAGTGAGATGTACGCAGTGCGAAGTGCGCAGTTGGAATGAATGAGATTTACGCAGTGCGCAGTTGGATTGAGTATATACGCAGTGCGCAGTTGGAATGAATGAGATTTACGCAGTGCGCAGTTGGATTGAGTATATACGCAGTGCGCAGTTGGAATCAGTGAGATGTACGCAGTGCGCAGTTGGAGGGAGTGAAATGTACGCAGTGGGCAGTTGGAGTGAGTGAGCTGTACGCAGTGTACAGTTGGAATGAGTGAGATGTAAGCAGGGGGCAGTTGGAATGAGTGAGATGGACGCAGTGCGCAGTTGGAGTGAGAGAGATGTACGCAGCGCGCAGTTGGAATGAATGAGATTTACGCAGTGCGCAGTTGGAGGGAGTGAAATGTACGCAGTGGGCAGTTGGAGTGAATGAGATGTACGCAGTGTACAGTGGAGTGAATGAGATGTACGCAGTGTAAAGTTGGAGTGAGTGAGATGTACTCAGTGGGCAGTTGGAGTGAATGAGATGTACGCAGTGTACAGTTGGAGTGAGTGAGATGTACGCAGTGTAAAGTTGGAGTGAGTGAGATGTACGCAGTGTACAGGTGGAGTGAGTGAGATGTACGCAGTGGGCATTTGGAGTGAATGAGATGTACGCAGTGTAAAGTTGGATTGAGTGAGATGTACTCAGTGGGCAGTTGGAGGGAATGAGATGTACGCAGTGTAAAGTTGGAGTGAGTGAGATGTACGCAGTGGGCAGTTGGAGTGAATGAGATGTACGAAGTGTACAGTTGGAGTGAGTGAGATGTACGCAGTGTACAGTTGGAATGAGTGAGATGTACGCAGTGCACAGTTGGAGTGAGTGAGATGTACGCAGTGCGCAGTTGGAGTGAATGAGATGTACGTAGTGCGCAGTTGGAATAAATGAGATGTACGCAGTGCGCAGTTGGAATGAATGAGATTTACGCAGTGCGCAGTGCGCAGTTGGAATGAATGAGATTTACGCAGTGCGCAGTTGGATTGAGTGAGATGTACGCAGTGGGCAGTTGGAGTGAATGAGATGTACGCAATGTACAGTTGAAATGAGTGAGATGTACGCAGTGCGCAGTTGGAATCAGTGAGATGTACGCAGTGCGCAGTGCGCAGTTGGAATGAATGAGATTTACGCAGTGCGCAGTTGGAGTGAGTGAAATGTACGCAGTGGGCAGTTGGAGTGAATGAGATATACGCAGTGTACAGTTGAAATGAGTGAGATGTACGCAGTGCGCAGTTGGAATGAATGAGATGTACGCAGTGCGCAGTTGGAGTGAGTGAGATGTACGCAGCGCGCAGTTGGAGTGAGTGAGATGTACGCAGTGCGCAGTTGGAATAAATGAGATGTACGCAGCGCGCAGTTGGAGTGAGTGAGATGTACGCAGTGCGCAGTTGGAATAAATGAGATGTACGCAGTGCGCAGTTGGAATAAATGAGATGTACGCAGTGCGCAGTTGGAATGAGTGAGATGTAAGCAGTGGGCAGTTGGAGTGAGTAAGATGTACGCAGTGTACAGTTGGAGAGAGTGAGATGTATGCAGTGTACAGTTGGAATGAGTGAGATGTACGCAGTGTACAGTTGGAGTGAGTGAGATGGAAGCAGTGGGCAGTTGGAATGAATAAGATGTACGCAGTATACAGTTGGAGTGAATGAGATGTAAGCAGTGCGCAGTTGGAGTGAATGAGATGTACGCAGTGGGCAGTTGGAGTGAGATGTACGCAGTGGACAGTTGGAGTGAGTGAGATGTACGCAGTGTACAGTTGGAGTGAGTGAGATGTACGCAGTGAGCAGTTGGAGTGAGTGAGATGTACGCAGTGGGCAGTTGAAGTGAGTGAGATGTACGCAGTGTACAGTTGGAGTGAGTGAGATGTACTCAGTGTACAGTTGGAGTGAGTGAGATGTACGCAGTGCGCAGTTGAAGTGAGTGAGATGTACGCAGTGTACAGTTGAAGTGAGTTAGAAGTGAGTGAAATTGAGTGAGATCTACGTAGTGTGCGATAGGGTCGATTTAGAAGTGAGTGGAAATGAGTGAGATGCACACAGAGAGATCTTGACACTGTTAGTGCAGTGAATGAGAAGTACGCCTCTTGATCTAGACACTGCAATGCATATCAAAGGGAGCACTGTGCGTTGCTTTTGTCATCCTGTCGTCTTTTGCTCTTCTCCAATTACGCATTTTAAGTGTATTGTGAAACGGTTGCGTGTCAACCATTCCCTTGTTCCGTGTACCTCATTGCTTTCAACTATGCTGAGAAACTAGCCACTCTTTGCCGACCTAGTAGTGCACTATTTTCTGTTGTCGAAATATTTTTCTTAATTTACACTTAAACCAACAATTTTAAAGCAATTTATCATGCCATTATTGAATAGTCTGTACTCAACTTGATGAATGGTATCGTATTGTGAAATTATTTACAGGAGTTGTTATATATGTGAAGTGATTACTACTCTGTCACAGTAGAATACAATCATTACGATATAACGTTCAGAAAACTCTACCCCACCATTTAAATCAGCATTCAACTGCTTAAATCTACTTCATTGTTTATTGACATTGATATATCAAAGGTTGTGAACTGAACCCTGAAATATATGTATTAGAAACATATGCTTCACAAAATCAATTCCACACATGAAACGAACCCTCTTTGATAGAAAGGCTAAAACAGATTTGAGATGTTTTTGATGTAGTTACATTTTGTGGGTTTTGTCTGAGGCACGAAGCTGGATTACAATAGAACTGTTAAATAATAGAATATGACAGACCTGAATGCTCGCATTTCAATATTTATTGAACAAATATTGGTGATATGATATATGTATGTTTTAAACCCATTGACAATAATTTGTTAACATTTCGCTTGACTATTTTTCCTTGCTTTGCCAGTAATGCTTATTCTGGAATGCCGTCCGTGGTAGTTTTACAATACCCCTGATCGATTATCATGGTGGAATGTTTGTTCCGGTTCATTGAGAATGTTTGCTACGTTATTCGTGTAATAATGTTTAAACATTAATAATTCCACAATGAAAAATATTTTCCACTCCGTGAAACAGTGGTAGACAAATTTAACATCTAAATATCAAGTGCTATTTCATGTCAGAAATTTGCCAGAAATTTCCATTCAAGGAGGTATGAAGTTAAAATAACAATAACGAAAGCATATATAAACATTTAAAAGAAAAAAAACCTGTGTGTAATTTATATACGGTGTCTGATTGAATAATGTTATTTAAGGAAGTGGTTTATTTAGAGTACACTCCGTTTTTTTGTGTTATATCTCCATAACATGAAAAATAAATTCAAGTTAATCCTTATAATTTAATCTACTATACACAATCCCTGTGAAAATCAACTTTTATTGATGGACTCTTTTCTCTTAGAAGTTATTGCGCCGCTGTATCAACCAATTAAAAGCGACGTTACAAATGGCGACGTCATTTCTTTACGTTATGGGATGATAACATATATTTTTAAGCCAATGGAAATGCTTGTTACAAGCAAGATTAAATTATTATAAAACAACACAATTATTTAAGATCGTGTTAGATGGTATTATGCTAGCCACGTGTTAGCTTTCTTTTAACTAATAAATACTGAAGTGAGCCTTTCAACCTTCATTGTAGATGACGTTGAGGCAGAACCGCTTATAGAACACAGTACCGGCACGGCTACTGATGCTGAAAGCGAACCTCTTTATGGTAATACAGGTATCGGCATCTTCCCTGCAGTAAAAGTCGAGGACCTGTGGGATTACGTGAAACAGAACAAGGAAAACGAGGCGGAGGGCCTACGTCGAGAGTACCGGGTAAGGGTAATTGCTAAAAGACGAAACAAAGAAAAAACACCATATCAAAGGAAAACGAAATGGAATGTTAAAAATGAATTGATATTTCTATTTCTATACGCAAAATTCATCACGTTACTCTGTCTCCTTCAGGTTAAGATAACTACTCTCTAATAGCTTAAAGATATTGAAATTCTATTATTAGAAATAATGTCATTATGCCCAATCAACTTGCGCGTATTTCTCGATGGTTCTGTTCGGGAGCCTGAGTTAGCGGTGTCTGGAGGGAGTCATTTGTAAAGACAAAAAACGTCATTTGATAGCATGGCAATATAGAAAACAAAAACGAACCAGACTGTCATTTAGTTGGACATGCACGATCAATCTCTTTTTGGATAAATGTCAAGAAAAAAAATGACCTGAATTATCTAAATGTCGGGACTAATATGATAGTGATGCCTACTGCGACTTTAGCTCCTACACTTTAGCCGTGTGTGATTTCCGCCATAGCTTGTACGATTAATGACTTGTACAATGACGTATTGGTTTCCTACGCGAACTGTAATGGCTAACGTTAACCTTCATGTAATAGTGTAGAAGACAATGAACCAAATAGTGCAGCATTGATATGTTTTCCTTGAGATAATATTTGTGTTTTTGTTAGTTTTTTAATATGGGTGGTTGGTGTAACATCATATCGAAAGGATGTCAATATCCATCTATGAAGTCCTTTATCTCTACTGCAGTTATTTAATCATATTACGCATAGTTCTTGTGAGACAACGTTAAAGTTCTTATTCTAGGGGATGGGGGACAAAATAACTCACGTTTCACTCAGTGTCTTGTGTTACTTTCTAATTTGAATATTCTGTCATACAATTGAAAATGATTATATGCAATCAATATTACTCTATGATAAATTGATAATTCTGTATCATCAACTTATATATTCATATTGTATATGTTATATGATACAATTGATATATGCAAATTATGCATGCATATATTTTTCATTTAACACCATAAAAATAATGTTTGAAATCGCTTTCTTGTCTTTCTTCAACAGCTGATACCTGCTGGCCTGACTGCAAGTTGTGAAGTGGCGAAGAAAACAGAAAACAAAAACAAGAACAGATATGGAAATATTATTGCATGTAAGTTATATTTGTATCTCCTCGAAATTTTGTAATGTATATCTTTATTGCAGCATGATACGTGAAATAGTTGAACAGAGATGCTTCCGAGAGGATAGCAAAAATGTGTTACTTTAAAAACCTTAAATATTTTTTATTTTATTTTTCAGATGACCATACACGAGTTGTAATAAAGCCCGTGGCAAACGATATACACGATGATTATACCAATGCGAACTATATAGATGTAAGTAGAGGATATGTGACCGTCATTGTGCACGATTTAAACAGTGATGTTTATTTGCCTGTTTAAATCTCATGATTAAGAGAGAAAAAAGCTATTACAATAATGTGATCTGCGAATCAGTTTCGTATATAATTTACTCAAGCCTCACTTTCATTCTTCAGTGCTATAAAAGTGTGCAAATACATATTTAATTTAAATATTGAAATTGGCATTGCTTCCTTGCGATGATTTTTGTTTTCATTAGTCTACAGTATTTTTCGAAATACTTTTTGTAAGTGAATTTCGTTGTTATTTACGTGTTGAGTAATATAAACTGCAGTTGAGAGCCTTACCTTACACTATTTTAAAAGTTAAGTCTAATACTGATTGACGTAATGTTAGGGTAACACTAACTGACGTAAAAATGAGAGAACTCCGATTGACGTAAATAGCAGGGTCGCATTATTTAATGATAGTATGGGGACGTCATTGAATGATGTAAATATGAGGATAACATTTTTTGACGTAAAGTAAATATCAGGGTAATTATGACTGGCGTAAGTATGGACCATCTCGTGGAAACTGACACCTCGTGAGATTATTTTTGAAAACATAGTATGTAATCAATTTTAACTTTCTTTCCTAGCGATCGTTTTGAATTATCATTTCACTCGTTCTTGGTATAAATGATGATTGTGTATTCTTGGGTTTTTCTCAATTATAATCAATCGTCCGATTCAAAAAACATTTATACTCATTATGATTTAGATTACCCTGCGTTTCCCTTTTCAAAAGAAACAGTTAATCTAAAATCGTTTTATCTTATTTTTTACATTACCGTTTCTTAACTGGCTCTCTATCAATTACCTAACTAATGCATATTGTGTTTCTCTCTAGAAAACCGCTATTTAATTTCTAAATTTCCTTGTTGTTTTAAAGTATAAATAAATTGCGTTGCTTGCACATTTAATTACGGCTGCTTCTAAACTCGGCGTGTGTTTTAATGCGCACGTGAATTACCCATCCCTCATGAAATGTAATCGCTCACATGACATTAATGAAGATGTTCACAAATAACGTAAATGCAATTTTCTGAAATTAGGAGGAAGCTGACATCAATTTCTGTGTTATCTATAATGTAATATGTAACAAACAGCACATCACATCATATATCTCGCGCTCATTGTGTGTGCTTTGTCAGGACAACACAATTACAAGTCCACGGGGATATAGTTCCAACATGCAATTATTGTCGCCCATCACAATACGCTTATGTTTGATAACCAGTTCCGCCGTTCGAAATGATTTACTAACAGAACAGACTTTTTGTTGTTGTAGTCAATTCACTTTTAAATAGCATAACCTCATACGTATTAGCTGGCTATGTAGTTATTTCATTATGCCAGAATAACAGTGCAGACACTCCACATCTCTTATCAAACTGACAGTATGATTGTATGGAACTCTTCTTTACAGGGTTATAAGAAATCGAAAGCCTATATCGCAGCACAAGGTACGTAAGTTTAAGGAATGATAAGCGCATGTGGTTCTTATCAAAGCAGAACAGATAGAAGACAAAAAAATGGCGACATCATTGATCTATGGCGTTTGTTTTGCCGAGATTGTACGACCGTAATATCAACAGGAAAGGGATGTCGGGGAAATTTAATTTGCTTTTCCTTACTGACTCCAAGACAGTCGGAGGGATATCTTAGTTATAGAGCAGAAGTTTAATTACCTCGTCGTGCGTTATCATATTTGTTTGTCCGGTATAATCTGCCAACCGTTTTTGCTGCTGTACTTCTACGACGTCAATACGTCGGCAAATATAACAACCAAAGCCTTATAACAGTAGGGGGGATGTACGATTATTATCACAATTGCCAATTTATGATGCAATACTTTGGAATGAAATCGATTCTCTGGGTTGTTTTTGATGTTATCCGTTTGTCCAATTACATGAAGATAGGATTGTTTTTGCTTGATGAACAGACTTTTCTCGTTAAGATGTAGTAACTGTGATGTATTAGTTTATGATGTGTTATTTTAGACATGAATCAGGACGAGAGGAAAACGAATTTCCTGATAATTGTTCAGGCGAGTAGATGAAGGAAGCGTTTATATATGGCTCTGTTGTCTATTTCAAGACGTATCATTAGTTTATAAGTAATCGTTGGACTCGTGTCACTATTTTCTCAGGGATAGAATGTTTATTGGAGCATAAAGTCTATTATAAAATGTTAATGTTTTATTTCTTAGTGGGTTGATTGTCATTCAAACGTATACCTATTTACTTTAGGCCCAACAAAGCCCACAATAGATCATATATGGAGAATGGCGTGGCAAGAGAAATCCAAGACAATTATCATGCTAACAAACCCAACAGAGACGGGCAAGGTCAGTACCCAAAATTAGAAGTGGTCACCTTTACTTGTTGTTGACTAGTAATTATAATCATATTTGTATGCAAAAGTTACAAATTTTAAGGTTTTTCGTATCATTGGTTCATAATGAAATATTCATGGAAATAATGTGTCATGACAAAGCTTGATTGTTTCTTAGTAACCTGCAATGTACCTTATAAAACATCAATCGAATATTGCACATTTTCTATTTGAAACGTTAGACTTTTAATTCGGCTAATAAACGTATGAATTTAAATCAATTACAAATGTTTATTTTTTTAGAAAAAATGCGAGCAATATTGGCCCGACACAGGAAAAGAAATATATGCTGGTATAGCAGTAGAACTTGTCGACGTTGACCATCTACCAGATTTCACAATCCGTACATTCCAACTCTCTAAGGTGGGTATTCCTATACCGATAACCGAATACAGTGTTCTGTCGTAAATATAAAAACAAAATAGAAACATATTCCAAAAAAATATGTTTTGAATAAAATTTGATGAACGTTCCAAACATCCATATATGTTTCATTGTTGTTAATGATAAAATATATCACCATGTTAAAAAAAAGTCTAATGCACCTTAATATTCGAAAAAGGTAAAAATGCAGCATAGTTTGTGAGAACAAATACAGTACAATGTTCGAAAAAGTCTTACTCGATAAAAATGATAAAAGAGTCAAAGTAGCGAAGCATTATCTTTAATACAGTCGAAAACAACAGTTAAATGTTTATGGTAGTATTAACAACCATTACTGTACGATGTTGGATTCATATACAGTACAACATTTAATAATGTTAAAAGTTGAATATCTTTATTTCACGTCTGTTCTGTATTTACTTAATTGTGTCTCGCTTGATGACGCTTAACTAAGTATCTTCCCATTTGGCCATGTAAGTAATTTTGTGCAACCTGGTTGTGTTATATCAATTAAGCTTCTATTAGAATTAATTGTACACGATTAAACGTATGATATGTTGTTTACAGGGTAACCAATTCAGTGAGCTAAAGCAGTATCACTATACCACGTGGCCAGATCACGGCGTGCCACGCTTCGGTAACTCCTTGCTGTTACTGCGACAGAAAATTCGGGCCTACGACAATCTTGATGCAGGACCACCGATAGTGCACTGCAGGTAAGCTACTGAATTAAATTATAGCAAGGAGCAAGGAATTATCTGTGTGTACATATTATAGCAAGGAAATATCTGTGTGTCGTTTATAGCAAGGAAATATCTGTGTCTACATTATAGCAAGGACATATCTGTGTGGACTGTAGTATTGTAATGATTCATTCTGTTACACTTTTGAATTATAATAGATGAAAGATCACGACTTTCAGTTATTGATTATAAATAACTTGCACATGCTTCGTTATCTCTCTTTTGGTTGGCGTTTGTCCTGATTTTAAGTTCGTATCATGGCTGAAGGTTTTGAGTGTTAATCATTTGTTGTTTCTTGACTGTTACACTGTTTGTAAATCTGATTTATTTTCATGAGACGGAACTTGTCGGCTTTTAAGGATTCACCATTTACGAAGTTGATTTATTGCATACCTTTCAGCTTGTATAAAAGTACATATCCCTTGGGAAGGATTTATTGGAGACAAGTAAAAACAATACCTAAGGCCTCCAAAATAGACAAAAAAAGTTAAATACATAGATCATCGAACGTAGCACATGGACCATATGATTTGGTAACTCCACCAGGATTGTAGAGCCCGCGGCTACACAGTTATTACATTAACGTCCATAAATTCAAGTTATTGTTTTGAAACCGAACCCTTTAAACAATCCCCAGAGACTTTTGTAGCAAGAACACATTACTTTGTCCTTCTCGGCCAAGGCAGAGGTCTGACGCTGAACATTTATTAAATATAGAATGCTGTAGGCTAAACAGCAGACATACAATCGTGTGTAGTTACATTAGTCTCGTATCTATAGTGCAAATAGCTGCAGCGACAGGTGTGGGTTTGTGCTTCAGTCATTTTTTGAGCCTCTAATTAATCTGTAATTATGGATTTTGATTTGGAAAGATATAGAAACGCCTGATATCCTGAATGAATGCGGTGATGTTTCGTTAAGATATGTGTAGAAATCCCAACAGACGTCGTTTCGAAGAGGGAGGCTGTGCAAGGAAGCTTCTTCAGTGACAAGAATGCCCGGATTAGCCTAACATCGTTTTTCACTAAAAGCAAAATTCATTTTAAAATCTCCAGGATTTGTCTAGAAGCGTGTTAATGATAAATTATTACTGTCCACATAAAAGATTCATTACTGGTGTCGTCGTTGTACATTATCCAACGAATTGACTCATTCCCGGCGTATGCTAGAAATGTGTTGTTAGTATTTCAGTTAGCTGTACTTTGAGTAACGTATGAACTTGGTCGGATGTCGACATGTGATTCTCATATACGCTAACCATTGATTCTTTTCATAGACAGAAAGAATTATTTTGATTTTTGTGACATATACTTAAAATTTGTTTACATGCAGATTATTTTTAGACACCGAAAATATTATAAAAAATATTCAAGTAGTATGAATCGTTAGCTTTCTAATTTTATATCTAAGATTCAAATGTTCCCGTTCATGTGTCCTACATTTGTATGACATTATTTTACGAAATGCGATACTTTTAACATATAAGCATTACCGATTAAAAAACACAAGCACTGGACATTTTTTGTTCTGGCAATATTAAACCTTTCACCACTCACTGAACCTCATAAACGGAAACATGTTTTCCTTATTGTACGGATTTATGCACAATTTTGAAATAATTGCTTCGTATGTTTTACGACGGTTCCCTAGATTGACGACTCTTGAAAATTGTACGTTGTGATATGCCACAGGGCTCCGATATTGCCGTAAATATGTCGTAGTAGCAGAGTACACAAATCAGAATTTACTACTCCCACACCGACCCGTACCCATTAACATAAATTGTGGAGTCCCCACGGGTTACGCCCTTTGTAACTATGATAGTTCATCAGCTCATTGTTTTGTTGCAGTGGTAATCAAACAGAGATTGCTTTTCATTGTTCACCAATTACTGACGGTGGTTTAACCTTGAAAAGGTCTCTTTGTCTTGTCCGATGGAACTTCTGATCGCTCCCTGAAATATCACAGACTTCGCTTCCATATGACCAAGCTAATTGCAGTGTTAACGAATGCTTTCTCGGACAATGGGATAATCGGAGTTTTATGTAATTATTTATCAACGTTATGGATTGAAATCTCATTTAGGTGAATAGATTGGTGGACGATTGTTTCGCTGAATCACTGATGGGTTTTCCACATGGCACATGCCCAGTTTTGCCCACTTTGCGGTTAATATGATTCATTTCTTCAATATCCGGTCTGCGGCGCGCCCCTAGGTGACGGTTAACGATCAGAGGTTCGACCTGAGGCCTATATTGAAATATCTAGACATGTGTTGAGCCTCGTTTTTCATTAACGTTGCCTGATTGGTAGGGGCCGGTGGTAGGATCTTGATACAGGTGTTCATTAAATAACCTAGTATTGTAGTTTTTCAAAGGAAACAATAACTGGATCAATTTTATGTAAGCATTTTATTCCATTGCATAAATAAATAAGGAAATTAAAACCTGATTAAAACAACAAGAATAATAGAATTTTGAATCGTACTAGAGCTAATGTGACAGTTAAGTATAAACCCAATATTGTGTTATGCTTGATGTACCTCAGGACGGTACCATAGTCTGCTGTTGAGCTAATCTAATACAATACTGCCATTGATGATTGCGTTAGGATAATTATACTTAATATGTCTATTTTTGCCTTTAAGATTGTGCCGGTAACACAGTGTCTATTCGTTATACGTTCTTTGTGTGTTTTACGATCTGATAATGCAATCAAACGTAATAACGCTGATACATAAAACACCTTTCGGGTAGCCTCGATGCTGACTCACCATGAAGTACTTAGCGGGTGATCTATACAGTTTCAATATTATGCTACAGTTCCACCTGATATCTTGGACACAGCCCTTTAATGTTTCACTGATCGATGAAAACGCCAGCTCCACCCCTCACTAGTCGCCTTCATAGAGATGTGCCAAATCCATTGTTGACGCGTTCAGTCAGATAATCACTTTTTAACACCTTAAGCGAACGGTGCAACGAAATGGTGAGAGTGCAATGGACACACTGCCAGCTAGAGTTTATCCACTGGAAACAGTTCTATAAAAACAGAGTATCAAAGACGGTAGGCCGAAGCATGCTGGACACGTTTTAACTTCACGCTGTGAGCAATACATTGTATAAATTATTAGAGATTTCGTAGACCATTGTTCCCTTCCATTTCCTCCAATAAAATGTTTGATGCAATCAAGTGTAATCACACGAGCTAGCCACCATTCCCCCATGTAAATGTATTCATTTAATGCAAAAAGGATATTGCTCCGTCCTTTTCCATTATAAACCTCCATTTCCGAATATGGTATCGCACGTGTTAGCCGATACCAAGCGCATTCTTGCACAATTGATTTGAAGGAATGGCTAATACATCTAGCCGGAGGCTATAAAGGCATCGGTGATTGTTACAAACCTAGTAGTGGATAGGAATTAACAATGGCCGAAGCAATAAAATGACTATTAGGTCTGAAGTTGATGCCATTCCGTTAAAACATTTTCTGTTATGCTGTTTTTTTCTCATGTCTACAAGTTGATGGAAAACACTTTCCTGAAAATATTGTCATTAAAACGCAAAATAAGTATACTCTTAAACCAAAGGTAATTGACAGCATTCTGTACAGCATGCAATTGCTGGCAAACACTCGCAAATATTTCCATAAAATTTAAATGTGTTAAAAAAGGTTGTGCCGATGTTCCAGTAATTATTTATTCCGTTTGACCTTTAGTTTTTATTTAGTACATAAAACCACATTTGTTTGTACGCGACATGACTCTTTTCCCCTCTGCTTGACCTTCAGTGCTGGTGTTGGCCGAACTGGGACATACATTGCAGTAGACGTTAACCTTGACCAGGCTAAGAATGAGGGCTTGATAGACGTCCACAATTTTGTCCAACAGATGAGGACAATGAGGGTCAACATGGTCCAGACATTGGTAACGTTTGCTTCAAGCTCCACTGCACACTTAGGCTGTTCATTTCATGCTTGCCTGACTCCTAATTATTACAACAACGGTTATCACAGAAGTTAGGAAGGAAGGAATATTGATTAAGATGACAAGTGTATCTCTAACACATGCAAACCTGTACAGTATGTCCTATAAAACAATATTGTTCAGTGAACACACGTACGTCCATATATACGGATATTCAGTGCATTATATAAAACAAATGATCAACCCTTTTAGCAAGTAGATTTGCATATTCTTACGATCTATTCTTCGAACAGTCATTCCGACATTGTGAGATTAATAAGTATATTAAGTTAACATGACGTAACCAGTTTAAATCCACTTTACCAGTCAGAACAAAATTTAGGTTGCTCTATATGTAAACTATTATTTACATTTATTTTAGATACATTGTAAAGTTTGAGATAAAAATCATACAGAATGCCATCTGGCGTATCCAAAAACAAAATTTTCTAACATGTTAAGATGGAGATTGCATGTTTCTGATAAATATTTATGAAAATTACAATTTATTGATATGGTGGCTAAGATTATAAAATAATTTTAAAAAGAAAAATTAAATGATTTTGTATAACCAATACACATGCAGAATCTGTATAAAAAATGGAGGGAGGGGCATATTCCGTTCGTACATTAAGATACAAGATGAAGGAAGCCTTGCTAAGTATTTTCTTACATTAATTTGAAGTATGATCAAAGCTTTCACTTGTAAAATATGTTCTGTTAGTATTAAATGTATATAGACGACTTTTTTTTTACCCCACCTATCTTTTGTTTCAGGAACAATACATGTTTGTTTACGATGTTCTACTGGAAGCCTTAATATGTGGAGACACGTCAATAACTCTCGATTCTTATCCAGACACCTTATCAGAACTGCTGCAATATGAACAGAGTATAGGGAAAACGAAACTAGATGAGCAGTACGAGGTAACTGTTTACGACTATACTCCAAAGAAGTTCCGAATGCATGATTAGAAAAGGCACTTCTGCGAAAGCTTAACTTGCGGTCAAAGTTATTTGTCTTGTTTTCATAAAAATTACACCAGACAGCAAAAGTATAACACGCACGATGACAGCAATCCACACAATTTCGTAACACACTTAATCATTAAGTACAGATAACAAACGCAGACGGAAGAGACACAAGTGGGATAATACGAAATGTAAAACAATATTACGCAAGGCCTGCTATTTAATATACACAGAAATACATTTGCAAAATACGAACTGTGCGTCGCATCTGTACGGGTTGATTATATAATATTTCTGCAATTCACCTACATATAGGTATTTTGATCCAGGTATGCAAACCATCGGAGAAAGCTTAACCGCTATGTGGTAGTTGTCAGTATATATTTATCTATCGGTTAGGCAAGGTGCAGGTGAGTTCCACTCACTTGCAGAGCTCGAATTAAAAATAATTCTTGCTCAGTGATGTAGTTCTTTGTAACAACTGACTGTTATTTATGTATATGGATATAGTTATCCATGAATTATATAAATACTCTGCCACACTACAAAAACTTCTTCATCACTGAATATTAAATTTATCACTTTAAAAAGCAATGGCTTGAGAGGAGAACCTGGAAAATGGCATGCCTGTTTTTACCAGACTATTCTTACTGTCATTGAAATGTATTGCCCTTAACACGCGAGGCTGTTTTTATTCACAGGGTTATTATCAAATAAACTTCATTAGATTGTCTTTAGTAAATATTTTACAGTGTAGACAAAATTATATATCAAAATTACAGACCATTCCGCCTCCATTTAAAGATAGTAACTTCATTCAAACTACATACAGGCACGGCAAGACGTCAATATTCAAAATGATATACTGGAGCATCAAGTAATATCAACAAAAAAGGATAGAATAGAATACACATGGGTCTTGGTAACTGGTCTGTAATTGTTTAATACAGTATCTTAGTCTCTGTGTTTCATCCCACATACTTTGTAATCGCTGGTCACAACCCGCATGTCTCTACAAGAGGGGAGCGGCACGATTTTACATCATATTTATGTATAAAATTCATACAGGTACTGTCATCCCTTAAGACGGTGGTTTATTGTGTTAAAATCGTATCTCACCATATGTTTTTGTTCTGTATTATTTTTGTACCTGATGTTTTAGTATTCTATTATGTGCTTTCGTCTCTGAACCTGGTGTTCATAGTGTCTTGAAAAAAGGAGCATGTTGTTTTTGGCAAGCATGTTTGTTTGCACTGAAGTGTCTTATATACAAGTGCAGTTTACATATTATCAAATACTGTTAAAGTAAACGTATTTCTGAAATACTTGTGCTGACTATTATTATATCAGTTAATTATCGCCATTCATTTACTCTTTTTTATGAATAAAATACATTTATATATCTTTTTTTCATCTTAATTTTACGTAGGTACTTAAATTAGTAACAAATACAATGGAACGGGACGAAACGACGGTTGCTCTTCGTCCCGAGAATATATTCAAGAACAGATGTAAAATGATTGTACCGGGTAAGTCTTTATTCGCACGTACTGAACTTACATATTACGTCATAGATACAACTGATACAGCATAATACCTTATGCAACATTATGCGTTGCCGCATTAACATTTACAATGACTCTTTGTGCTGCTATTTTTATCGATAGCTAACAATAAAATGATATTTCTGAACTCCGTTACCTTAAAGAATCTAAAGCAAACATGGTTGTTAACAAGTGCAACACAACACTAATATTATTTCTTTGTATTTTCTAAAATATTTTTTTTAAACTTTGCTTTAAAGAAAGTTTGATTCTCTCTACATTCCACATAAACGTATCATTTTGTGTGTAGATGAATTAGCAACACAACCTTAAAGTGTCGAAATTATGATTCACAATGATATGTTCAGCTCATTAGCACGAGTTGAACATCTGAGCCTCGATGCATGCTTATGAAGTGCTCAGTAATGGGCTTGATTTGTTTTTCGTTTTTTCAGACTTGATATGATACCGATAGGTTACATATTACGTGTATAATGCTGTTTTTTCATTATCATGTCATTGTCTGTCATACACAGCGAACAGATGTCGACCGTATCTGATGACTCGGGTAGAGGATTACAACGATTACGTCAATGCAAGCTTCCTCAATGTAAGTTCCATCACAGCCATCGCGTGTTAGGATCGATATTGACAGGGCACACCTCTTGATAGAGTAATATGTTGAAATTGATATTAATGAGTGAATCTTTAACCGTAGCTATAATAACTTTCAACTGTCAGTTTCAGTTTCCTAAGCGCACTATTTCGGTTATATGTCAGGGTTATAATCAAAAGTCAATTATATGTTTAATGTCACGAACAGAAATGATGCAATTTGTTTAATGAAAAAGTGACGTTTACTCAGGAAAACTGATATTTACTTCGGTCTATTGCTGCCAAAACCATAATCAAAATACGAATACAAATTTAAAAGAAGCATTTAAATGCTCAAACGATGAGATGTTAGGTTTTGTTAAAAATACCGTATAAAAGTAGTGTTGGTTGGTAGATAAATGTTTTTTTTAAATAGGTCTTACAGAAGTCAAAAATAATAACAAAATTAATTTCGTTGTTACATCTTGCCACCCAATTCCCGACAACAAATGAAACTGCGGGATAGAATATACAACAATGCTCGTACATTTGCCTTCAGGGTTACCGGCGGAAGGACGCGTACATTGCCACCCAGATGCCCATGCCAAACACAGTGGTAGACTTCTGGAGAATGATATACGACCACAACTCCTACTGTATTGTCATGTTGAACGAGGTGGATCCCCATGACGAGGTGACATACATTTTACAATGCTTTCATTCTATGTATATCGTATACATATCCTTCTATTGTGTGACTTCTTCAGTAGTCATTAGTGTTCTTACTTCCATGTTAATTTACTTCCTTAGAAGTTTGATAGAAAGATGTAATTTTTATGACGTCACATTGTATTCGGTAAACAATAAATGAAATGTTGAATGTCGCTGTTGAGCAATTTACATTCCTTTAGTTTGTAAACAAAGAATCTATTATATTATATTTTGTATTTTGTTAACATTTGAATTTGTTCTATTTGAAAATATGAAGAACCATATTTCCAATGTAACATTTATTTATGTACCTGTGTAGATGATGGAGCAGTACTGGACGTTAGACACGTGTGGTGAAAAGTACGGACCATTCATTGTGGAGACCACTGCTGAAATCAAGTCTGACCCCAGCATCACAGTACGGGACTTCACGATCACCAATACCCAAAACGTAAGGATAAATGATCTCAACCAAAGAAGCTTGGATGTTTATCTTGGCCTGGTTACTAGTTCTCGGAGCTTAATTAGCTTAGAGAGAGATTGATTATAACACGAACAGTAGCATGTGTACTTGCGCTTCGGTGTCAAGTGATATATGAGTAAGTCAATTCGTCCTATGAGGGTGTCGGTCGACTTCCACACGTAGGGTTGACATTATTGAATGTAGGTCAAAGTTATTTGGTGGACGTGACTAACGAAACAAAGCATTGCTAGTATGAATGTTTGTGAAAAAGCATGTCACACTAACTTTCAAACCGTATTTAGGATATGTAGAGGATAATTTTCAACGGGTTTTTTGCAGAATCCTCAACTCTTCTATAACTCGTACACCCCTGAAATTTCATAATGAACCATTCCAACTTTTGAACTTGCAGAGTTCACATTTGTCTTCAGGGACGAATATTATAACCATTATGCGTACCACCATAAGAGATGGATTTCAGACATATCGATCGTAGTACAACTCTTTTTCTACGTAGCGACTTTAATCGAATGTGAATTTAGAAACAAAATCTGAACGGAGTTATATCAACTGCATGATCAAATTTCGAATATTTGGTATATTTTATTTTTATTTAAACTAGTTCACTCAGATACAAATGACTTGTTGTCAATTAAAAATTAAAGCTTACATGTCTTTTCGATAAATTCAGCCTCACATTAAAACCAAACCTAGATAAGGTTAGAATTGTTCCTATGCCAACTGTCTGATGTGATATCTTGCCACCGAACTCAACAACTATATAGTCAACTAGAAATGCCAGCATTCTGATGGACTTATCTATGCTAAAGAAATTTTACAATTAAGGAATCATACAATTGATCAAAATTTGGTTTCCAGAGACGAGTTCCCTTGAAATAAGCTCATGTTTAATCTACGAACCGTCTTATTCGTTGTAACAGCCTTCAAGAATAGTGTCTGTTCTTTAAAAAAAAAAAAAAATGAGTTTTATGTTAGTAATACTCGTGTTAGCATTCAATTTTTAGAGAGAAATACAATACACGACAAGAAGCACTTAACAACACTGATAAATATGATATATATAAATTTATAAATAACAATATATAAAGTATCAAAGCTATATATACAGTATCAAAGGAATTTCTATTGCACACATGTTTCATAAAACAATTCCAATTTCAAGTTTTCATTATAGCGAGCTTTTGAAATGAAAACGGATTCAAGATAGTATGCATCCTATTACCAATAAATTATACACATACATTGCAAAATAAACATTTATGTTTTCATCAGCTATTTGATATCGCCAACTTGAAGTTTATAACGAATGAAATCGCGTTAGATCATATTACGATCATAACATGTAGCAGAAATTATACACAATGTAGAAATATAATCATTGCCTTGCACAGAACTAATGTGATAAATATAGCTATGTAAAATCCGTAAAATGCAGTGAAAGTTTTTCAACAGTCTACATATTTTGGCATCCTTTGTTGACCCCTGATAACAGAAATGTATTACCTTGTTCCAAAGACACTCTCCCAACTTGATCTTACCTACTTTTCGACGTCTCTCTGCAGCCCCAAGAGGTACCACGGGTTGTGAGACAGTTTCACTTCCATCGATGGCCCGAAATGAGTGTGATACCTAGCTCGAGAGCTGCCCTGCTTGAACTCCTGGACCAAGTTGAGATTTGGCAGAAGCAGAGTGGCAACAGACCTGTCACCGTCCACTGTTTGTAAGTATCGTTACCATTGCGCTCGCCACACAACTTCTTAAACAAGGACTACTTTGTAATCAGTATTTCATTCTAACAATATTGACAACAGTAAAACTTCGTATTTTGTTGGTTTAATAGTTCGCACATGTACTACAAATTGGAATTCCCAAAATTGCTTTATCGCGGTATAATGTTTGTAATTTAATGAGTTCCTACACAACTACAAAAGTTTTAAGTGTGTAATGTTATGATATCCTACACGAAATCTTCGTTTTATAATTGAAAGCTTGAAGAGCTGCTATACAATTTATTTTGAAAATTAGAAATATTTACATCTGATCTAGAGTCTGCATTTCCCGAAAACATCCGACCGCAAAAACACCTTAAATATAAATACGCAAAACCCGAAGTTTTTACGGTATATATATATATAATTAACGGTTGTTATTTCGTGCTCTGCTCATGTTAGTATGTGCATGCGATTTCCGTTTTCCTCAGTACAGGAATTCAATTTCAACATGCCATTAGTCTAATTCAAGTTCAATGTATAATTTAAATCAGCGATATTTTCAGAATATTCAAAAATTGAAATGCAAATGTTCGGAGATTTAGAAATGGTCACCCTGAAATAACATCAACTGAAATACTCTGCGTTATTGTTTAAAAACGGGGTTCAGATTTGTTAAAATAAATGTGAATTAAAATGTCATTTAGCTATCGGAATGTGATAAAACCTATTCCTGACGTTCCTACTTCTTCATACATTTTTACAACCTGACACTTGGATAAATCTAATCGGGCTCGTTCTCCAAGTAACTAACACTTTGTAAATAGCATCTGTACACCTACCATTCTAGAAGCCTTTTACTTGATTACATACCTACATTGAAAGAGCCGCGATATATGTATGTGTCGGGGCACTATTAAAATGGTCCTATCTGAGTATTTAGAACCCTGGTCAGCCTATCAGCGATATTATAGTCTCGAACGGAAGTTATTAAACCATTTCTTTGTGATCAGAAACAAGATATCTAAAACAAAAATTGATACCATAGAGAGAAGACTTCAAAAATATACTTGTATTGCATTGGTTTATTTAATGACAAATTGTATAAGTGTATCCAGAATAGACCTACATCAATAGAAACGAAGAGTTAATTCATTATGATGAAGTTTTATGATATTGATTTTGTATTAATCAACACTTAAAACGATACATACTGTCTGGCAAACGACACTATACATTATTCCTAGTGTGTGCATTAAATGTTCCTGGAAGATAAATGGCATCGTGACCTGGTGTATGTAGAGATGCCTGCCCTCCGCGGATATAAATGGATATCTAGGACTACCTAGGTGTGTGTTGTAATGGATTAACCACACATAAATCGACGGTAGACCCAATTACTGTCTGTCGATTACATTCCACATTGATTATTGTTTGTACCGAGACGACTGTGTGCCTAATAGAAATTAGACGTTGTCATCGGCCGGTGTACTCAGAGATTAGGGTGAAATAACCGCTTTGTCCAGTTCCAATATAGTCGTCTGCTACACAACCAAGGTACAATTAGACATTAAAGAACACACGTCATTTCAATGTCAATAAAACCGTTGTGCCTGTGCTATCAATGGTGTAAGGTAATGGAAGTGATCAAAAAGATGAAGCAGGGCAAATAATAACTTCCTAGATTGACTTTGATAATTAACTTTGTGTTAACATGGACAGCTTTGTAAACTTAGGTTTTTTCTCTCAATATGTACTTAGCGTGGTATACATTGTGTTTATGTACATAGCGTGGTATACTTTGTGTTAATGTACATAGCGTGGTAGACATTGTGTTTATGTACATAGCGTGGTATACTTTGTGTTTTTGTACATAGCGTGGTATACATTGATGCATTGTGTTTATGTACATAGCGTGGTAGACATTATGTTTATATACATAGCGTGGTATACTTTGTCTTTATGTACATAGCGTGGTATACATTGTGTTTATGTACATAGCGTGATAGACATTGTGTTTATGTACATAGCGCGGTATACTTTGTGTTTTTGTACATAGCGTGGTATACATTGATACATTGTGTGTATGTACATAGCGTGGTAGACATTGTGTTTATGAACATACCGTGGTATACTTTGTGTTTATCTAGAAAGTGTAGTATACCTTGTGTTTATATAGAAAGTGTAGTGTACCTTGTGTTTATATAGAAAGGGTAGTATACCTTGTGTTTATCTAGAAAGTGTAGTATACGTTGTGTTTATCTAGAAAGTGTAGTATACGTTGTGTTTATTTAGAAAGTGTAGTATACTTTAGTGCTTCTATAGAAAGTGTAGTATACGTTGTGTTTATTTAGAAAGTGTAGTATACTTTAGTGCTTCTATAGAAAGTGTAGTATACTTTAGTGCTTCTATAGAAAGTGTAGTATACCGTGTGTTTATATAGAAAATTTACTTTGTGTTTGTATAGAAAGTGTAGTATACTTTGTATTTATATAGAAAGTGTAGTGTACCTTGTGTTTATATAGAAAGCGTAGTATACTTTGTGTTTATATAGAAAGTGTAGTATACCGTGTGTTTATATAGAAAATTTACTTTGTGTTTATATAGAAAGTGTAGTATACTTTGTGTTTATATAGAAAGTGTAGTATACTTTGTGCTTCTATAGATAGGGATTTTCGTCGTATAGATAAGATTTCAAATGTTGTAATCAATGACAGTTGATCAGGGAAATATTTTAAGTCAGTGATTAACGTCTTCTGTGCACGCAAAGATGAAATCCCACGACAATTGCAAATTGACAGCGGAACGGTAGAACTTCAGCCATGTTTTATAAGGTATCGAAATTCACAAGTATTTACATTTGGCGAGACATTTGGAGACATCAACGTTGCGTCTTGATTGTACTTGTAAGTACTCATAGAGATAATTGTTGTCTGCCGCATAGGATTGAGTCTGTGTCGATTTCCTAATCGTAGCTTGAGGTATTCGTCTGTGTTTCTGTCTCAAGATCGCTTGTTTGTTTGACGTCTGTGTACTCGCGCCGACGTACTATTTGCACCGACAGTAGGGACTAAAGTTATTGTGATGTGTATCTCCTACTACACTTTAACAGTTCTAAATAAGTAAATCCTGTTACCCTCTATAGTCTAACCTCGTCTAATTAATTAATTAATTAGCGCATTTACATTATGTGTATGTATTAGTTACAATGAGATAATTATTCACACAATGGACGCAAATCTTACACATTTTGAAAATAAAAACATCTTTAAAGGATGCTGTAGTGTTTGAAATTTGCTGATGTTGCAATCAACAGCAAACATAATGCTGATAAGAAATTCTGAAGAACCGTTGGGTTAACGAAAAGCTGTTGTTAACGGCGCTATAATTTGTTTTGTATTACAAGTAACATTTCATGATATTCTACAAAAAGAAATCAAAAGTATGAAGTAATGAGGCATCTTTTTCAAGTTTTTCGATGCAAAAAAAAAGCCAAATAAAGCATGAAAATTTTTACTACACCATATAGCCATATGTCAACAGTAATTTTATTCTCATACGTCGTTGTTGACAAAGCGATCCATTATATTATTTAGAAAGATAAATTGGTCTAGAAATATTTTTATCGTTAAAAAAGCATGGAAAGCATGTTTCGAAGCCATATTTAAGACAAACGTTTGACCAAACTTAATGACTGAAAATTGTTGGAAAACTTATAGTTGGGGAAGATTTACTTTAAAAAAAAAAAAAAAAAGTGATTTTTTAAACTTTGAACAAAAAATATATATTATAATGGAGTAAGGCAGCATATACCATTAAGGTGTTCGAGGATTCTTTTGATGATATTTGACGCATCTGTTTCACTCTGTATATTTCTTCTTATATCAAAATTTACTTGGTTGGGTACACCATATTTTAACATGTATATGCACGATAAGTTGGAGACGACGTTTTTAAAATAATTTTACTTTGTATCGTAAAACCGGGATGGATTATGATCGACCTACCAGGAAATTGATTCAGTACAAAATTCATTTGACTCTATCAATGGGAATACTTGTCCTATTTCTAAATCTTTTTACGAGAGCTGATTTTCATGGTTTCACTACAATTTGCTGATATATTCCCAAACTCTCTCTACAAGTTTAATTGAATGCTTTTAATGTTAATGCTCTGATGACCAATGATTTGATCAATAACTATCGTCCAAGTACTGGTCTTATCGTATCAAACAGTTTTCTGGTATTATACTTCATCTTCTTATTCAGGAATGCATAAAGGGCTCTACTTAACTCTAGTTTTCTTTCTAAACGGTATCCTGTAGGGAAAATAGCACACTTATATTTAGCTGTTTATCTCATTTTAACCAGATTTCACGTTTGACAGTTTTGAAGATACAGATATATTTGCCTCATAATTAAGCAGTTTCCCTGACGATGACAGTTTTTGAGATATTTTCACTTCACAATTAACTGGTTTCCCCGTTGAAAGTTCTGAAGACACTTTCACGATTTACTGGCTAACCTAACCCATAGCTCATTTTTCTGGTGAGAGCTTTGGAGTACACTTGTATTTACCTCGTTATTTGTCCACGCTGGTGACTTTTCCTGGATATTTCACATCCACCCGATTACACCCTTTTCTCTATTACCAGGGATGGTGCTACCCGCAGTGGGTTGTTCGTGGCCACAAGCTGTGTGTTGGAGAGGATGAAAACAGATCGTGAGGTGGATATTTTCCAGGCTATTAAACAACTGCGGCTGAACAGAACCCAGATCATAGACTGTCTGGTAAGAACTTGTCGTGTCGATAGCGTATTACAATAATTATCTTCATTCCTCTAACCTTCTTGTAGTTCAATTAAAATGTATGCACGATTGCTTCCCCCTCGGATCAGTAATAGTAGTTCTGAACAGTCGATACAATTCTTCCAAATGCCGAGGATTTTAATTTTCTTTGTACGATCTGAATAGACACTGCATGCATCCGAAACCCCGGTTGGATGGAATTGTATCAGTCGTCTTGAAGGGTTTGCATTTATTTTCTGTATTTTCTTTTGAATTTAAAAGTATTTTTAATCTCTGATGTTTTCCTAGTCAAGATGCCGAGTGCCGTCCAAGAAAGTTTCTTTACCCATAATAACGTTTTAAATGAACGTTGTACTAGAATATCATTATTCGATCAATTGTTGTTTCAATACAGACACAATGTGTTCCATACCCAGTGTTTGTAAATCATAAGATGCTTACTCTGCATTTATTTGAATTTCAGGAGCAGTACAGGTTTTGTCACGAGATAGCCCTGGAATACCATGCTACAGTGAGCGCGTTAACGACGTTTTCTTGACACCGTGGATAACGGCAATCACTCTGATAACTGCTGTGTGGTCACTCCGCGTGATGATATTGGTGCTTGGTATCGTGACACGTGTAAACAACAGAGTTACTACACGTAGGAATCGTAGTTACCACACGCGTACATAATGACCTTACGCGAGGGCATCACAAGTGTAACACCTGCAAGCATCATATTTATCACACGTGTAAAGATAAAGTACCACACGTGCAGACATCAAGTTTTCACACGTTAAATCAACAGACAAAGCAGTAGACATCCACCACTTGGAGATATTTTCCCACCCGATGACAACATCCGGTGTTGACGTGAAACACGTTTTACTGTTGATCTGTGTCCTATTGTGATTGAATCGTTTTCGCAATGTATTCCCAAAGGGACTTTGTACAAAGATATATATTATGATTTAAAACAGACGAAGGCTCAATAAATACGTTTGTGAATTTACATAGATTCACAGCCAGTTGCAAATACAGTGTTGTAGACATGCGCAGACAAATTAGTACGGAGAGGGACGTCATCCGAACTTTAGATCTGTATTCAAATTCTATGCATTTTCATTGTGAAAATGAAGAGTTAAAAAGGAAAGATTCCAGTCGGATGACTCTTGTGCTAGCCATTGCGCAAAGAACTGTGAAACTCAACGTGTTGTCAACAGACCCCGTGATGGGATTGTGCTCTCCACCAAACAAGTAACTGTCGTAACAATAGCTACAAAATGATGGTGCTAACATACCTTGTAGTGACGGAGAATCAGAGGTTTTAAACAAAGTATGTGTGTAACTGGTGTTATAGACGGGCCGATGTATCAGATTGAGAGAGACAGGGCACAGTGTAGACGGGTCAAGAGAACAGTCAGTTAAAGATAGGGTATATTAATAGATGAAACCATTTCCCCCCATATTCTCATTGGCTGAATAATAGAAACGTGGAGGCCGATGATTTGAGGGTTTGGCTCTGGTTAACTTTCTTTAGAAACATCAGGTGACAACTCTCTTCATGACGCCACTTCAATAGTGACGACACAATACACTCTGCTAAATGCAGTATTTTTCTCTGGACATTTTCTTACGCTTCATCTTTTTTATTGATAAATAAGGACTTATATTTAGGTAAATATGTGTTATATGGACCTGAAAAGTTATATTGATCTCGATTGTTTTCTCGGTCATTGTCGCATCTTCAGGTCTGTATAACCGTATATTCACCTCAACAACGGTCCATAATTATTATAGACCAGCATATATTACAGACGATGAGAGTATTAGACATTAAACTTGTTCAGAGTTAAAAACGTTAAGTATAACAAGTACAGGAATGCAGGCAAATCTAATAACTTAGGTTATGAACTTCTTTTGCTACAATCAAGTTCAATTATAGAGTTTTATATCTGAAAAGAAAGCAGTTCGAATCTTATACTAATATTTCTCAATGATTCTGAAATAATTGATATCCAAATTCTTAGTTTCTTCCTAAAAATTAAGATTGCTTGTAGAAAGATTGAACAGCCAACAGACAGTCTCGGCCGGCTATCTCCATTGTTATGATTATTACGTCACAATGGTCATGACGTCATATGGTGTTATAAATCACAGCTGTCTTTTGTATGTTTATAAAGTGGCAATGCAGAGCAAATGTGAAAATTATAGAGTGAGGATCTGGTATAAATGGCATTTAGAGGCAAATCAAATTTATTATTCTTTTCAATTATACTATACATCAGCCATAAAAAAGCAGGTCCAATGCATGCATTTACAACATTGTGATATATAACTTAAGAATCTTACTAATCATTGGAATTCAATGGTGAAGCGCATAGTTCTTTGTCATTCATCTTCTCAGATCAAAATTAACTGGGACGAAAACAGATGGTAGCAAGTATAAATGTGATATATAACATAATTTTCAGTATTTTTTCCCCACTGGAATCAGGATTTGTTCTCATACCAATATAGAATGTGTTCGACAACTGTGATACACGTTTATATGTTAAGCCACACACTTGTATATTTAATACAATCCAACTGTGTGACATGCGTATACTATACCAGTATAAAAGAATAAACCTCATTTTTTTCTGTTTTCCCAATAAAGCTACTTACAGAGTCAAAAAAAGTAAAACCATGATTTTTTTCAACTTGCAATTTCCGTGCGTTTTCCTACGAGACAATGTATTCGAATTTCACCAATCATATCAGTTAGTGAGAGCATATATCGCCTTTGTTCGCAGGCGATCTATTTTATGGATATTTTTGCTAATCAAAAGACTTTTTAGAACTAATGAAATCACCACCCGTTTGAACATTTTTAGCTCTGTGGAATAAAATATAACACTGATTCTCCATCAGTACTTCCTTATACAAGGGGACGAGTGTATGTGTATAGAAATGTGAGAATGAGTCTGGCGGTTGTTTTACGACGCGAAAGTGCAATATATAAATAGATTATAAATAATGTCAAAAATCATTGCGTAAAATAATAGTCAAATTATAATGGCCTAGTCGTCATTAATTTAACTTTTCATAGTATATAGTCACATATTGCCATATTTATATGATATGTATTATAAAGTCTAGTCATTATTTATGAAATGTATTGAAATGTCACGATTAATTTCATATGATATATATAATACCCATATGTTGAATCAGTCGTTCCACTTTAGCATTTTTTCCATCAAGAATCATCTATGTTTAATAATTAAAATAAAGTAATTTCGATATACGTGTAGCATATTTAAATATTTTATATTACTTACTACTATTTTATATATACTCTAGTTACCACAAAGTAGACAACGCTGAACAGGATTGTATATAGGCATAGCGGAATATATAATAATGATTATTTTCTGTACATAAATTCATCTACATATAACAACAATACTCAGCGCTATGTGATTATCATTCAGGTGCATTACGTCATATGTTAAAACAACCGTTCAATAAAAAGCAATTTCTTTTCAGAGCAATTTCACAGACGGGGTGGGGTGTCCGTTGTCACCATTATACAGAGTAAGACCAAGAAGTGTTTGGAGAGTAGACCAAAATATGTGTAAATGAGATGTCGTTTCTTTATAATAACTGCGATTCTTGTTGTTCGTGTGGTGTTAAATATGTTTTATTTATTGATAATTACATTAATATGTGTTACAGTGAAATAATCATTTGTTTAAGTCAAGCACATGATGGAAATTGTTGTAGTTACATTCGTTTTTCTTTCTTCTTTCAATTTCTGTGAAATTGTAAGCTTAATGCTATGCACAGAAACAGTTATTTTCCATTACCTTGACTGATCACCGTGACTAAACAATAAACCTCACAAGTTTAGGACGTTAATTTATATGATGTAAAACAAAATCAAAAACAAAAACATTTTTGTAAGACACTTATTAAGATCGGATTAAATAACGTGTATATATTATCAAAACAACATTGATAACACACGAATTAAATGAAACATTCGTAAGTATTTTCTTTTTCAGTTTTACGATTACAAACCAATCTTGGTACAAATACTTATACAGCTAGTTTGACGACATGATTGGGAAGTAAATCTGTTCACTCAATCGCAGTACTTATACTTGCGGTCTTTTGATGAAGTCTTATACCTACAGTGTGTCGATACGTTAAGTTTGAGACAGTTAGCAGCTCTGCTTAAAATCGTACAGTTGGCAGAAACAGTAAGTTTTGAAAAGTACATTTGTTGATTAACTTGGTGATATGTAGAAGTCTACATTTTTTCCGCCGGTAATAACCGAGCCTAAGACAATGTTTTTGTGCACTTGAACATAGCATTTTACAACTCTACTCATACTCGTGGTCTGCCAGTATGATAAGTTAAGAATCGCGGTGGTTACATGGTATCCACGAAAAGAGCGAATTTAAGTTCACCACGAAATAGACTCAAGTTCAACAGTATATCCCTGACGAAGTACAGAATACCGTCATCACCGGCGGTTTTCTCCGATACTAAATTCTTACTTACTTACCCTGTCACGTGTTATATCATTTTACATTGTTACAGTTTAAGTTACGTATGAACAATTCCGCAAACATGTAAGTGGTTACGTGTATTTTGTTAAAAACAAATACCAGAGTAAGTGACATTTAAGCATACATTTTTACGTTTCTTGTTACTTTTGTATGTGCTGGGCGGTGGAACCTCATTAAGTTGTGTTGTTCATTTAGATATGCTGGAGAAGCTTTATGTGCATAGTGGTTATATATATATATATATATAACAAATACGTATATTGTACAAACAATCTCATTAAACAGTTTAATTGATTGTATGATCACTAAATACTATGATAAAACTATTTAAGTGTATTCGTTGTTTTGTTGTTATTGCAGAATGTTTAATATAGACAAAAAATATATAACACTGTGTAATTACGAAGGGCAATATATATGAAAAAAAAAAAACCCATCTCAAACGCCGAAAAAAATGCATCAAAAACTGCGTTGACACAAAAATTAAAAAAATCAACAAAATTAAGGCGACAACAAAACAAAAGACATCATGAACGTCAACAATAAACACTGGAGCAAACAACAAAGGTTCCGGATTGAAAGCGTTCCCTCCACCACTGTGATACAAATGATGATTTCTCCTTAAATCCTGGAAAGTATATCGATCTAAGCCTGGGAACATGCCATCGTTGTTAAATAAACCGCTTATTTAGAATTGAATGACTTTGGAACTTGTGGGGAAACGGCCCACGAAACTGTCATCCGATGCAAAGAAGTACTTTGATGTATACAGTTTTCATTTGATAATACTTTTCATGACAATTAAATTGTATTAAGCTTTATTGGCTTTTGATTATCATTATTAGACAATTTAAAGGTAAGAATAATTACTAAAACAAGACTTTCCTGATTTACGTGCCGTGCGACGCTATTTGTTTTGATATCATTTTCAAGAGTCTATTTTACCAACACTAATGCTAGTTTGGAGAAGAAATTTAATCAGAACCCTCATTAACTCTAACATATTTCAACTATCCATATTTTCTGCCGATATTGATCGTTTATCCTCAAATATTTGCCAAAATACCGGAAGTGATCCTTTCAGGGTACAGTAACGCCGGTTCAAGGGCCTACGTAACGGTGATGGCATTTCGTGTTCTTTTTTAAGAACCACGCGCCTGAAATATCAAATTGTGATGGAAATGAAAAGTGGGTAGTATTTATATGAAAAAATTAGCAAATGTTTTTGGAATTATAGTATGGTATAAAGAGCATTGATATTTATCTAAAAAGTGACCCGATTTGGGTACAGTGACGTTAGATCAATGCTTAACAGCCCTCAGAATGTATTTATTGAAAACATCCGTCTACTGAGTCTTATACTAACAAATCACCTTACATTATCAACTCCGCAGGCATTCGTAAATAAAACATTAAAGACTAGAACACACGTAGAGGTTGTTTATGTGCTACATGCATTATATGTCTTATTTACAAGAATGGGACGGGCTGCATTTTGACCCCTTTCCCAAAGCAAATAGCTTCTTTACTTTCCATACACTTATGCCACCATCTACAATGAAGTTTACTCCCACACATTCCTATGTAATTAGAATAGATTACATCGCAAGCTGCATTCAACTCCTCAAAAACAACCAGAGCACTGTTTGGACTGAGTTTCCGGATCTCTCTGACGGTTCCGAATTTAGAAAAGATGGTGTGGAGCAGCTTGTGGTTAAAGTCGATTGGGTATCGTTTCTGTTGCCACCTCACGACGACGGAAGCCAGAGGGAACTGGAGGCGTTCATTCTCCCGGAAGTGCTTCGTGCTGGATCTCATCCAGCTGATAGTACAAGAAAGAAAATCAGTACATAAGCTAGCATTGATCAAAGACAGATGTTTGGAAATGAAGACAGAATAAATATATAGACGACAAGAGGCCCAATGAAACTGTTATTTAATTTTCTTTAATAAATCAAGAAGGGTTAAGTTCAAATTCAGTTAAATAGGCTAAATCTATTTACTGTACACGTTATGTAACTTTGATGGAAGATTTTATCACTCTACCAAATATCATCGCCCTACGCATCTTAAACTGGGTTATTCTGAAGCTGTTCCAGGGTTTTTAACTATTTAACCCCTGTGACTTTGAAAGTGAGTAGGTGTCCTAATAATCCTTTACCGAAGCTGCTGGTGGATAAATATCATCAACCTTGGCCACTTGGTTATTTAGAAGAAAATCTCCTAAAACCTGACAACAAATCAATGATCTTGGAAGTGGGTAAAAATAATAAGTTTAATTTATATGAACAAAAATCTAAAGCCAATCATCTCAGCATACTAATATTATCATTCTAACTCTCTTGATTATTCATAGGATTAAATCATTTTGAAACCGCCCCCATTGAAAATGAGTTAGGGTCATTTATCTTACAAAAATGAAGCCATTTAATTTGAACAAACATTTTTTGTCAGCGTGTAAATGGCAAAATACACCATGAGCCTCTTAATTATCCAGAAAAACTCGTCAAAGGTTTTTACAAATTTGACCCTGTGACCTGGAAAGAAGTTCAAGGTCATTCAATTGAATAAACCTGACAGCCCTTCACCCGATGATGATTTTAAGAAGTTGTGCAAACGTTTTAACTTATTTGACCTCTGTGCCACTGAAGGTGAGTCAATGTCATATATTTGAACAAACTTGATAACCCTTCATCCGAGTGGACACTTCCTAACCATCATCAAATTGGATCCCTTGTTTATCAGTAGTTGTTTAATTGTATGAACAAATTTGACCCTCATAATTTTGAAAGTGGATCAGGGTCCATTTTTAACCAATATGATAGCCCGGCACTTCACTATGTTCCCGGAAAAAATACCATCACCCTAGGCCTATCAATTATTCAAAGGAATTCGTTTAAAGTAAATGTTGACGCAGGCTCCCTTGGCCCTCCGAGTCTCGTGAGCTGAAAATAGCATCACCAGTAAAATAATAGACGTGAAATTAACATTTTGACAAATTGATCTGATTGTTAGAATGTATCTTAATATAAATGTAAAATTTCATATTTAAGTCGTTAATTTTCTTAGTAGTGTTGTAGTTTAAAAATCACTGGTAGTGTAGTTATGAAATGGCTTTAAATAGGCACTAACATCAGGTTGTGAAGATTGATCTGCTCAAGCAAGATAACGGAAACAGAGTCGTAAAACACATAAATCATAGGGAATATCTGGATCAGTAAAAAACAGAAACGTAAGATTGGGAAACTTCCAACGAGAGACGAGATTCTGGTAAAAAAAATGAACATACCGAAACGTCCATTAACGAAAGAAGACAAGAAACAAATCAGGTTTGAACCGATAACGTTGTGTCTCAGAAATGTTGACGCTGATAAGCAAACGCGTTCAGTTGTACTTGAAGCGAACATATTGATTTGCTATATGTCATAAATGTTATTTATATCAACCTGCATTGTCCTCAAGCTATAGTGCTTCAAACTACAGTGCCCCTAAAATAAAGTGCCCCCAAACATCAATGCCCCCAAACATCAATGCCCCAAAACTACAGTGCCCCAAAACTAAAGTGTCCCCAAAATTACAGTGCACCCAAAATACAGTGCCGCCAAAACTAGTGTCCTCAAACTATAATGCACACAAACTACAGAGCGCATTTCAAACTAAAGTACCCTCAGATAGCAATGCCATCACACTACCGTGTCCTTAAACTATAGAACCCTCAAGCAACACTACCTTTCAAACTTCAGCACATTAAAACAACAGCACCCTCAAGCAACACTACCTTTTAAACTTCAGCACATTAAAACAACAGCACCCTCAAGCAAAAGCTTCAGCACATTAAAACAACAGCACCCTCAAACAACAGCGTCCTGAAACAACAGTACCTTTAAAACGACAGTTCTCTTAAACTTCAATACTCTCGAACAAATAGTACCCTAAAACTACAGTACACTTAAACTGCAATACCCTCAAACAAATAATAACCTCAAACTACAGTACCCTTAAAATTCAATACCATCAAACTACAGTACCTTAAATTCTAATACCCTCAAATAAATAGTACCCTCAAACTAACAATACCCTTTTTCTTCAGTAGCTTACAAACTACAGTGCCCCCAATCTCCTATGCCATCCGAACAACTGATATTGATATACTATACACAATCTTGAGTATCTCCCAAACTACAGTTCCAACAAATTACTGTACCACTCAAACTACAGTACATCTCTGGAAGTCAATATTATATAGTCATTGTATAAACATGAGCTATAGTATCTCCAAAACTGCCAGTACAACCGATCAATCTCACTACGACTTAGTAATTAAACTACAGTACCTCTGAAAGTGATTATTATAAAGTTATAAGATACGCATATTTATTTTACTCGTGAGTTTGTCCTACTTTTTATGCCATGCATGGACCATAAGGTCCTATATAATCTTGAGCATCTTCATGACACAGTATCCTTGCCCATTGAGATTGTGTACATGTATCCTTTCTGCGATGTCGATGAGACATGACAACCGTATAGAAATAGCTTTAGTTTAAAGTTAAAACTCTTTTCAGATAAGAATTCAGTCATAACTCTCAAAACACATTAAGAGATCGTTCATCATCGGCAGGGACATTCAACCATTTCATAACGGTTAATACGCTTAGAGGAAATGTCAACTATGGAAATGTTGGATAACAATTGTAATGCCTTTCAGGCCTTTGCACAAAGACATTTCAATATAATGATAAAAATGCTGTACGGCTAGCGTTAACTAACAATTCTTGTGCAACACTCGAAAGCATTGTCAGAATACTGCAGCGTTTACAGCACTACTCACTTTCGTAACACTTTAATTATCTGACGGAAACGATTACAGATCTCAGTAGTCCTACTAAATGACTGACGTTTTCTATGATAATTGATTTTAAAGATATCCTTTAGAAAAAAGCAAAGAAATTGTATAATGTTTTGTTGTGTTATTTAACATAATTTGAACATTCCATTTTATTATTCACAACCAAACAATATCATATTCAGTAATTCAAATTACCACGCATCCATATCAGAATTCCGAGGAAAGACTGATCATCTTCAAACATGTAAAATAACACGATTCTGTGTGATCTAGTGTTTTAAGACTGTTCTGTTATTGTCATTTGATTATATTGTCTTCATGTAAATGATTAGGTTGCCTTACAAGCGTCAGCTGTAGGGTGAATTTACATTTAGCTCAGCGTTAGAGCATCGGGCTGGAGAAACAATGGCCGCGGGTTCGACACTATCTTTATCACTATTCCTCGTCCTACTAAAAACAGTTGCCATTAACCCTACCCTTTTAAGGTAGGATAACCCTTGGCGGGAGTCAAATAACCTGGGTTGGTGCTTGGAAAAAGGGGGGAATGGTGTAAAAGATGTGTATTGATTAGGTTGCCTTACCAGCGTCAGCTGTAGGGAACTTCCTTTAACTTAGCCGTAGAGTATCTAACTGATGGTATAACACCCTTTGATGGTTATAGTGTTGTTGCTCTGACGTCAATCATTGTTGGTTCTATTATTGTTGCTCTGACGCCAACTTGTGTTGGTTCTATTGTTGCTGCTCTGACGTCAATTATAGCTTGTTCTACTGTTGTTGTTCCTACGCCAAACCATTGTTTGTCCTATTGTTGTTGCTCTGACGCCAAACCATTGTTTGTCCTATTGTTGTTGCTCTGACGCCAAACCATTGTTTGTCCTATTGTTGTTGCTGAGACGCCAACCTTTCTTGGTTCTACTGTTGTTGTTCTGATTACAATCTTTGTTGTTTCTATTGTTATTGCTCTCACGTCAACCTTTGTTGGTTCTATAGCTGTTGCTCTGACGTCTTTCTTGGTTGGTTATGTTGTTGTTGCTGTGAGGCCAACCTTTGTTGGTTCTATTGTTGTTGCTATGACGTCAACCATTGTTGATTCTATTGTTGTTGTTCTGACACCAACATTTGATGGTTTTAATGTTGTTGCTCTGAAGTCAACCATTGTGGTTTATATTGTTGTTGTTCTGACACCAACCTTTGATGGTTTTAATGTTGTTGCTCTGACGTCAACCATTGTTGTTTATATTGTTGTTGTTCTGACACCAACCTTTGATGGTTTTAATTTTGTTGCTATGACGTCAACTTGTGTTGGTTCTATTGTTACTGCTCTGACGTCAATCTTTGTTGGTTCCATTGTTGTTGCTCTTACGCCAAACTTTGTTGGTTCTATTGTTGTTGCTGTGACGTCAACCTTTGTTTGTTCTATTGATGTTGCTATGACGTCAACCATTGTTGGTTCTATTGTTGTTGTTCTGACACCAACCTTTGATGGTTTTATTGCTGTTGCTCTGACGTCAATCATTGTTCGTTCTATCATTGTTGCTCTGACGCCAAATTGTGTTGGTTCTATTGTTGCTGCTCTGACGTCAACCTTTGTTTGTCCTATTGTTGTTGCTCTGGCGTCAACCTTTGATGGTTCTTTTGCTGTTGCTATGAAGTTAACCCTTGATGGTTCTATTGTTGTTCCTCTGAATCAAACCTTTTTGTGTTCTATTGTTGTTGCTATGACGACGATCTTTCTTGGTTCTACTGTTGTTGGTCTGACGCCAAACCTTTGTTTGTCCTATTGTTGTTGATCTGACGTCAACTATACATGTAGCTGGTTCTGTTGTTGCTGCTCTTAGGTCATACTGTGTTGGTTCCATTGTTTTTGCTCTGACGTCAATCTTTGTTGGTTCTATTGTTGTTGCTCTGATGTCAACCTTTGTTGGTCCTATTGTTGTTGCTCTGACGTCATTCTTGGTTGGTTCTCTTGCTGTTGCTCTGAGGTCAACCTTTGTTGGTTCTCTTCCTTTTGCTCTGACGTCATCCTTGGTTGGTTCTCTTGCTGTTGGCCCGACGACAACCTCTGTTGTTTCTATTGATGTTGCTCTGACGCCAACTTTTGTTGGTTCTATTATTGTTGCTCTGACACCAACCTTGGTTTGTTCTATTGTTGTTGCTCTGACGTCAACTTTGGTTGATTCTATTGTTGTTGCTCTAACGCCAACCTTTGTTGGTTCTATAGATGTTGCTCTGACGTCATCCTTGGTTGGTTTTCTTGCTGTTGCTCTGACGTCAATCTTTGTTGGTTCTATTGTTGTTGCTGTGAGGTCAACCTTTGTTGGTTCTTTTATTCTTGCTCTGAAGCCAACCTTTGCTGGTTCTATTATTGTTGCTATGACGTCCAACTTTGTTGGTTCTATTGTTGTTGCCCTAACGACAACTTCTGTTGGTTCTATTATTGTTGCCCTGACGACAACCTCTGTTGGTTCTATTGTTGTTGCCCTGACGACAACCTCTGTTGGTTCTATTGTTGTTGCTCTGACGACAACCTCTGTTGGTTCTATTGTTGCTGCCAGCCCCTGATGACAACCTCTGTTGGTTTTATAATTGTTACCCTGACGACAACCTTTGTTGGTTCTATTGTTGGTGCCTGACGAGAACCTTTGTTGTTTCTATTATTGTTGCTCTGACGACAACCTCTGTTGTTTCTATTGTTGGTGCCAGCCCCTAATGACAGCCTCTGTTGGTTCTGTTGTTGTTGCTCTGACGACAACCTTTGTTGGTTCTATTGTTGGTGTCTGACGACAACCTTTGTTGTTTCTATTATTGTTGCTCTGACGACAACCTCTGTTGGTTCTATTGTTGGTGCCAGCCCCTAATGCCAGCCTCTGTTGGTTCTATTGTTGTTGCTCTGACGACAACCTTTGTTGGTTTTATTGTTGGTGCCTGACGACAACCTTTGTTGTTTCTATTATTGTTGCTCTAACGACAACCTCTGTTGTTTCTATTGTTGGTGCCAGCCTCTAATGACAGCCTCTGTTGGTTCTATTGTTGGTGCCCTGACGATAACCTCTGTTAGTTCTATTGTTGTTGCTATGACGACAACCTCTGTTGGTTCTATTGTTGGTGCCAGCCCCTGATGACAAACTTTGTTGTTTCGATTATTGTTGCTCTGACGACAACCTCTGTTGTTTCTATTGTTGGTGCCCTGACGACAACCTCTGTTGGTTCTATTGTTGGTGCCCTGACGACATCCTCTGTTGATTCAATTGTTGGTGCCTGAAGACAACCTCAGTTGTTTCCATTGTTGTTGCCTTGACGACAACCTCTGTTTGTTCTATTGTTGGTGCCTGACGACAACCTCTGTTTTTTCTATTGTTGGTGCCTGACGACAACCTCTGTTTTTTCTATTGTTGGTGCCTTACGACAACCTCTGTTGGTTCTATTGTTGGTGCCAGCCCCTAATGCCAGCCTCTGTTGGTTCTATTGTTGTTGCTCTGACTACAACCTCTGTTGGTTCTATTGTTGGTGCCTGACGCCAACCTTTGTTGGTTCTATTGTTGGTGCCCTGTCGGCAACCTCTGTTGGGTCTATTGTTGGTGCCCTGACGACAACCTCTGTTGGTTCGCTTGTTGTTGCTCTGACTACAACCTCTGTTGGTTCTATTGTTGTTGCTCTGACTACATCCTCTGTTGGTTCTATTGTTGTTGCTCTGACTACATCCTCTGTTGGTTCTATTGTTGTTGCTCTGACGACAACCTTTGTTGGTTTTATTGTTGGTGCCTGACGACAACCTTTGTTGTTTCTATTGTTGGTGCCCTGACGACAACCTCTGTTGGTTCGCTTGTTGTTGCTCTGACTACAACCTCTGTTGGTTCTATTGTTGTTGCTCTGACTTCAACCTCTGTTGGTTCGATTGTTGTTGCTCTGACTGCAACCTCTGTTGGTTCTATTGTTGGTGCCTGACGCCAACCTTTGTTGGTTCTATTGTTGGTGCCCTGTCGACAACCTCTGTTGGTTCTATTGTTGGTGCCAGCCCCTAATGACAACCTCTGTTTGTTCTTTTGTTGGTGCCTGACGCCAACCTCTGTTGGTTCTATTGTTGGTGCCTGAAGACAACCTTTGTTGGTTCTATTGTTGGTGCCCTGTCGATAACCTCTGTTGGTTCTATTGTTGGTGCCCTGACGATAACCTCTGTTAGTTCTATTGTTGTTGCTATGACGACAACCTCTGTTGGTTCTATTGTTGGGGCCTGACGACAACCTTTGTTGGTTCTATTGTTGGTTCCCTGTCGACAACCTCTGTTGGTTCTATTGTTGGTGCCAGCCCCTAATGACAACCTCTGTTTGTTCTTTTGTTGGTGCCTCACGACAATCTCTGTTGGTTCTATTGTTGGTGCCTGACGACAACCTTTGTTGGTTCGATTGTTGGTGCCAGCCCCTAATGACAACCTTTGTTGGTTCTTTTATTGCTCTGACGACAATCTTTTTTCTTGTCGATGGTATTGCTGAATTTTGTGTATTTATTGTCTCTTCGTTAAAACTTAGCTACTTATGTTACCGGCCTTATAAAGATAAAACTATTTCTGGTCCTTTCAAGGACGGCAGTAAAAATCCTGAATGTGTGACTAAGGCTTGCTCACTGGTTTCCTCATATATGTTATCTCTATCACTTCAGTTAATTGGTATAAATGCCACCATCTTTGCTCGCTCCGTTGCCTCTGTTAATTAGTTTTAGTGCCACTTAATTATTTGTATTCCTCTATCAATTGATATAAGTGGTACAACTGTTGGTGTCACGAGTGCCTCTATTAATTGGCATAAGTGCCACTTAACTGGTATTAGTGGCACCACCGTTAGTTTCTCCACTGCCTCTATTAATTGGCATTAGTGCCACTTAACTGGTATAAGTGGTATCACTGTTAGTTTCTCCATTGCCTCTATTAATTGGCATTAGTGCCGCCTAATTTGTATTTATGCCACGACCTTTGGTGTCTCCATTGCCACTGAACACTTTTAGAGCTGATATTGCCATCTCTTCGAGTTTCATCTTGGTTCTAACTTGCGTTTGTACTCTGTTATATGCCATTCTCTCTGTATCTTTTAATTGGTATCCTGATGGTTAAATACACTAGGTGGTCTGTTTTATTGTCTATATCGTCATGTGGCTTCCGTGGTCGTGCGATTGGTGTACGTATAGAGGGTATTCTATTGTTTTCGTTAAATATCACATACATTGCTTACGGGTTATTTTATTCTTTATGTTCATGAGTAGACACCACGAGTGGAAATAAAAGAAAATTTAACATACGTATTAAATACGTAATATTCAAAGGGTAAACGCCGATTTGTTATTACATTTCCCTAAAGTACCGATAACTAATAAAAAAAAAATAGCACGTGGCGTCTGTGTTTCTGATTGTACGTCGTAATCAGGTGTCAAATTTGTGTTTAGAAAGTTTTAAAATCAGGTTTATATCATCACTAGTTCATTTTTGCATCTCAGAGGCAGTGAAATATCTTTTCATTTTAAGTTTAGTTGGTATCTTCAAAAACGTAACTAGTGGTGACTTACCCGAATATAATACTTTATTTACCTGAAGATGACTTAACTCTAATGTAACTATTGGCGATCTACCGGGTTACGACTATCGATTAGTTTTATATGTATGTTATTGATGATTTACCTCGAAGTTAAGATTGGTGATCTAACTGAAGATTTGACCTGAAGGTGATTTTTGGTGACCTTATTTAAGGTGACGACCGTAAACCTATCGGCAGGAAAGTATTGGTGACATACCTTAAGGATCCCCGTACCACTGCCAATAACTGTACGCATTAGAAACTATTCTTTCAGGCATGACTACAGCGTTGATAAATAGTTTATGAAAAGAAAGCCAAACCTTGCGGTACTTCTGTTAGAAATAATAAAGATAAAATGAACAAAATCTAATAAACAACAGTCTCCTGAGTGTCAAAATTCAGCGGGGGTAGACCCGTACCCTGGACTTCAGATTAATATACTAGGCCTATCGCTCTAACCGATTGAGCTACCTGATGTAGGGAAGCATCCGGGACAAACTGCGCTACATTTATATCCAAACAGAAGTTAAGGGGAGGTTACTGTATCAATCGGGAACCGTCGGCACTTTCCGTAAACGAGAAATATATTTTATTCTCGTTTACGGAAAGGGCCGACGGTTCCCGATCACAGTGCAGTGGGACAGGGACCCTTAAGTCGACAATTGTAACATAAAAGGCGATTATTGCTCACCTTGTTGGCAGTTGTTTCTTTTCCTCTGTTGTGGACAAACGAACGGCACTATTACAGCACACCTGTCTCACAAAGTGAATGACGTTTTCGTAACACATACATCGAACCCCGGGCTTCTTGGCTAGTGTAGACGTGGGAGGATCTACACAGCGGGAAATAGAAATCAGTCAGAAACATTCACCATATTTAATTAGGTGTAACCTTACTAGCAGACCTTTGTGGTGAGATTAATAAGGTGTAACTTTAATTAGGTAGATATGATCAAGCATCACAGCTTTTTAGTTTCTATTTTTTGAAATCATTGCCGATAGAATCCGGTCTTGTACATTGATAGGATACCACTGAAACAATTCAACCAAAATGTGCGCATAACTTGTACAGGTATACATTTTGTAGATGCTATTTTTGATGGCAACTGCCCTGATCATTCACCAATAAAAACTTAAAAGAGTTGAAGAAATGCTTACCAATCGTTATCTTACGGCATTGGCCCGCACTTATAAAGAAACCTTTATCTAAAATTTGGGTTGTTTTATTTTGCTGAACATTCTGTAAAACACATTTAACTTTGATTGTGAGTGGCATAGTGCTCCGTGTTATCTGTTAACTAAAAGTACTGATTGATGGAGCATCTCGACTGATGCTTACTTCACCGCTGGTCTGCCATTAAACTGACACGTGTAAATGGTGGGCGTGTACCTTTTATCGTGCACGCGAATGTGGGTCCGGTTCTGTCCAGATAGTGCTGTCGGATGACGGACACGGGTTGTTTCGGGTCTGCTAGCCGACAGAACACTCGCCATATGTTGTCTGTATCGCTCTGTCGTAGGAGAGAAGAGAGGCGATAAGATGAGTATAGTATATGGGGATTAGGGAATTATTTTACTAGGATTATCTCCACAAGCCGGATGGTTCGCTTTTGTGCCAAGGACAAATGAGTACACATGGTGGCTTTGGATAAGATATACGAAAGATGTTGACATATGGAGAAAAGCATCAAAACATTATATGGTGGCCATTTTGCTTTTCAAAGATGGCCGCCATATATAAACTTATTTGTAACAATATGTTGGCTTCCGAAGAAACACGGGGTCACCTTCTCGGTTCCTTAATATACATTTTACTAACTATTTTCCTGATCATCTCATAAAGAACTGGAGGGAATTTTCACGCATTTCGTATTTAGACCCTTCTTGGTTCTTTGTTGTGCTTTTCCATGGACATGAGATCCCCGGGGGATCTTGGTGTCCACCATTTTAAGGTCTTCATCGTTGCTTTGTTATTGTGATCTTTTCTGCCTCTTTTCTTTTATATGTTAGAGTGATACTTATGTCAACATTAGATGTTTTTTACGGTAGTCATGTATCCAAAATTCATTCTGCCGTGTTTGACATGGTCCTTTCAAATTGATGCTGTCTTTCACTTATAATAGTACATGGATACAGAGGCTATTATAGCTGCTCTACCGTCCGTGTCGTCAGCCAGGTTCATCCACAGCAGAGGCCTGGGGTTTTAATACCTTTCCTGGAAGTCTCCTCTTTTCCTTTCTTTGAATATCATATTCTTCGTCACCCATAATGCATAGCAAATATCGTGCACCTTTCACAAATCCCATTTTCACCTTCTGCCAAAAGGTCACGTAATACTGTTTCGCAAATCGCAAAGGAATTCCTCGAAAGTAGTCGTTTTACCTGTAGACTAAAATAGTTGGGTAAAAAATATGTTCTTCTGATCAATGAAATAAGCAAAAATCCGGAGCAGGATTCTTAAACAGCCACCGAGTCGCCATCTTTTTCCTGTGGTCAGTTCCAAATTTTACCATAACCAACACAGCACCAACGGTAACCTACTTGTGAAGTTTGAGGAAGATTCCTCAAGCCTGTCTGAAAAATATCGATTTACAATTTAACACCCAAAATCTAAGATGGTCGCCGGGCAGTCGAATGACGGGTCAGGGACGAAAGGTGATTTAAACAGTTCACCATGCATCTGATGGTGGCGGACTCAAATGTATGTTCAGGTAAGAAGATGGAGCACCAGTGTGACTTGTAAGCCAAGATATGTGTAATGAAAGGTTTTTGTATAGCGGCCATCTTTGAAATCCAAGATGGCCACCATTCAGTGTCTAAATAAAGTGGCTAATGTGATGGGCAGCACTAGGATTTGTGTGGAATACCAACATTATCTAAATCAGCCACTTTGCTCTGTGGTTATTCCAAATTACACACAAAGAGATTTATTGTGGTATCTCATTGATAATCTTTACTAAATTGCGTGCAAGAAATATCCGTTATATAATTCCCCATCTGTACCCAACGGAGATCTCTACAATATAGACTCTATTAAGGCAGAGTGTACCACTACATAAGGTTATTACAGCGTTCCTATTGTTTTTAATTTCGAATATGTTTCCTTTATATAGGAGATGAAGCAACCAAAAGGATTTTTTCGAGTTTTTCATATGCTTTAAAGGTCAAAAAACTCATGTATACGCTACTGGTAGCATTGGTAACGTGTACGCCTTGCAATAAACACGTGCCGAGATTGAACGTTTAAGTTTCTTGTTGGCTTTTTTTTTAGGGGGGTGGGTGGGGGGGTATCATTATTTCTATAAGATACTCAGTTTTCAAACAACTACAATGCTGTAAAATGCAACCATGTGTTTTTTCAGAATACTTTTTTTGGAAAAGCACTTAAAGGATTATTTCAAAGTAGTGCTACGGTAATAAAACCGTTTAATGTGTTGGTACCATTTACATTCAGACATTCGACCAATACAATCGCGGAATTCGGATATAAGAAAAGTGATTCAGCATAAACGACATTTATATATCTTGTTTAAACATTAGGTGCATCGAAAAGGACTCTGAGTGCAGTACATGGGAAAAGTGTACCTTATTCCCCAATTGGTATTTTGTCGAGTTTGCTCCCATTTTAAAACTTCTTGAAATTGCCCCCAGGTTCATTGATGACGTCGTACATTTTTTTCTTTAAAAGCACAATAGTTATCGAAGAAAATAACTATGTTTAAGAGTAAAATACTGGCGTTACATTTTTTTCTTGAATATTTATTGTGCATTGTCCTCCATTGAATCGATAAACATCCTAAATTTCCGTTATACAGAACGCATCTGGTTGTTATTAGACACTTTTGGAATGCCCTCGATTATAGCTGATGACGTCATAATAACATTGGAGGGTTTTGTTTATAGTTACGTGTGAAATAACATCCTTCCTTAATTGTATTTGGTTTCTAATTCACTTTTTGTTATTTATTTATGATGGAATGTTCGCACCGTCCATCCGGTAAAAGGTATAAACAATTGTCTAATCTACAGCCGGGTCACCGAATAGTGTGATGCGAATTCTCTGTTTGCGTTCCTATGCAATGGTCATTCTATTGTAGCGGAACTGGACTAGGTCGATCGTCGGCGATCAAGTAGATTGGTAAAGCGTCCATCTAGAGATCGGGGGGTCCCCGGTTCGAACCCCGGTCTGGCCGTTACATTTTCTCTTTCTCCTGTTACACTTTCATAGTTCTTTATCATTTTAATTTATTTGATTTGGTTTATTGCAAACATTCCATATTAAACTATTCTATTACATTCTTTCATATGCAGGAATGGTTTTACGGCAAAATCACGCTTGATATTTTTACTTTTGACAAATAACACATTTAGAATGCAGGGTAAAAAATAACTATGGGCATTGTCATTAGTGACGTCACAAAAGCATTGAGTCTTTCTGATTGTAAAGTTACAATACAGCGTCCCCGGTGTCATGTTTTTCTGTGAGAGATGGATCAACAGCGCTAATGTTGACGAGCGTAGTGACTATCTTGGTATTTTGCAAGAAGAGAGGAATAGGGAATGGGTAGTTAGCGTGGGAAGGAAGGGGCAGGGAGGGATGAGGGGAGGTTTCGTAAAAATAAAAATGGTTCCAGAAATAGTACAAAGGCATTTTATATGGCTAACCAATTGGACAGATTATGTAGCGTTTAGAAAAAGTACAGCTAACGCAGGTGTTGAATGTGGCTTAAACCTAACGGCACAGCTTGGTACAATGTGTATAGATGTTCCTACCCCCAATTAAAGACATGGAAACGACATCGTAGCTAGTTGTCGACATGGTTTCAGGCTAATTCTATTAAAATGTGTAGGTAGGGTTTCCGTACCTTCAATTAAGATAAATCCTTCGATAAGATCATAACAAAACGTTAAAAATTGGAAAGTGTCATATTGACGCTCGCTCGTTATCGAATAGAAGTAGACCATAGGCGGTTCATGGAGCGTAATTAGGCGCGAGGGATGGTAGATATATGGAGAGGAATCTCACTAAAGTCATTAGCCCACAGAGCCGTGACATTTCCTGTGTAACACAATTAAAAATCATACGTCACGTTACACACACTCTTACCATATATTTGGGAGTTTAATAGGTCGGCAGTAGGTAGTTCTAGGAATGGGACTACCAGGCGAAGATGTATGCCCGACACGGCAGTGCCAGGTCTGCGACTCCGTACTGGGTTTCTGATAAATGGCGGCCCTCGACACGAGATGTACGGGCGACAGAGTGCGCTATGTTATGAGCACAGATGGCAAACACAGACTCATCGTCCGAGTAGCAACTCTGTATATGTCATTCTATCCCCACTGGGAACGGCATGTTCACCAACATCAACGAATATTTATTGACAAGTGAACGATATTCCACTGCTTCTAATCAATGGTATAGTTCAATATTGTCGAATATAGTCTCTGATTGTTTTTATTCTAACAAGTGCAGATGATATTGTAACACAAAGTAATGCAGATAATATTGTAAAACAATACCTTCTTCGAGAGTCAGCCAGACTGTGCTCGCATTAAAACCGGTAATTTGTTATGTGAGATCCGACACACACACCCGACCCCACCCCACCAATGGGAGGGGAAGAGTATTTACTCCCGGGGCAGTAGTCCGAGTTTCCTCTGGCCCGGGCACCAGACTTTTAGACATTTTGACAGATAGATATCTGGCCAGACATCTATCTGTCAAATGTGTCAGGGCCAGAGGTAACTCGGGCTACCGGGGCAGTAACCTGTGGTCTTGCCTCGGGCCGATCCGGAGTCGGAATATGCTCGAGTAGTTGCACATCAGTCTCCGGCCTGGAATTGTTACTTTGTATGCCAGTATCAAACCCATGAGTACTTAGCCTAGTGTTCCAGTCTCCGTAACCCGTCGCCAGACCTGGTACTAGTACAGCTGTATGTCAACTTTGGTCCCGGGAGTAGAACTTTGACTACTGGTAGTAATCTTGCATGTCAGTCTATTGCGCTTGAGAAGTAAAAAGTAATAATCGAATATATGGTTATTAGTTACCTTGTACGGCAGTGTCCGGTCCTGGACCAGATTGGAAGAATAACTGTTCAAAGAGAATGAATTATATGGCGCTAGCGGTACAGACGACGCGAAACTTTCCGCCATCTCCACTAGCTACGCCATGACAACCATACTATGTCACGTGATAGCATTGTTTCATTCTCTGCCGTTCGATATTTATATCACGTGGTTTGTACCTAGTTGTTACCACCACGTGGTGTGATTGTTCCTCCTAGTTTCTTAGATAGAGTGTTTGTTTACTTATAATGGTTTCCGACCTTATGGACCTTTTGTGCTAACTTGGTAGGTCAAAACCCGGGGTAGGGATTACAAGCTGTTGATAGTATTCTTAATCCTTGTTATCAGTAACAGCATGAAGATGGATTCTACATTGATGCCAACAATAAGTTATTAAGTCTGGACAACATCAACTGCCGAGTTTAAATTTTGTTGTTCAACTTCGAGAAGAGTTCCATTTTATCTTAAGTAAAATTGCCATAAATAAACGCTACTGTTTGTTGAAAAATTCTTCTTGATATCGCGCGGATCTTCTCTGGACCTGTTATTCTGCGCATGTTGGCTCCATACTTCAGAATCTACTCAAGGAGATGGTAAATGGTTTAACAGTTTGGCTTCACACCTGATAGACATTTCGCGAAATTTTGAAATTTAACTAGATAACAGCATTTTTTATTGAAATGGCTCCGTTACAGGCTGTCTCTCTTTACGTTCCAAAAAACCGCAGTCCAAGTTATATGCGGCAGTCGTCAGTAAATAATTTATCAAGACCAGGAAGAAAAGGGAGCCGAGGACTCGCCAACACGGCTGACGGTAGCCTTCAATTGCTATCGTTCTTATCCACAGAAATATTCGTTGCGATGGAGTAGCAGTCTCTTACGGTGGCTGGTTTGCGCCATCTCGTCCCTTCGTTATTTCGCGTTATGAGACGAAGGTTGCAGGTGGCGAAGTAACGATAATAACCATCCCATCGTTTCGTCGCCTCTCCAGAGAGCGAAGGCGAAAGAACAAAGGGGTGATGAACGAGAAGACCGCCAGACTGTGCTCGCGTTAAAACCGGTAATTTGTTATGCGAGAAATCCCCCACACCCGACCCGACCCCACCAATGGGAGGGGAATAGTCTTTACTCCCGGGGCAGTAGTCCGAGTTTTCTCTGGCCCGGACACCAGACTTTTAGACATTTTGACAGATAGATATCTGGCCAGACGTCTATCTGTCAAATGTGTCAGGGCCAGAGGAAACTCGGGCTACCGGGGCAGTAACCTGTGGTCTTGCCTCGGGCCGATCCGGAGTCGGAAGAAGCTCGAGTAGTTGCACATCAGTCTCCGGCCTGGAATAGCTACTTTGTATGCCAGTATCAAACCCATGAGTACTTAGCCTAGTGTTCCAGTCTCCGTAACCCGTCGCTAGACCTGGTACTAGTACAGCTGTATGTCAACTTTGGTCCCGGGAGTAGAACTTTGACTACTGGTAGTAATCTTGCATGCCAGTCTATTGCGCTTGAGAAGTAAAAAGTAATAATCGAATATATGATTAGTAGTTACCTTGTACGGCAGTGTCCGGTCCTGGACCAGATTGGAAGAATAACTGTTCAAAGAGAATGAATTATATGGCGCTATTGGTACAGACGACGCGAAACTTTCCGCCATCTCCACTAGCTACGGCCATGACAACCATACTATGTCACGTGATAGCATTGTTTCATTCTCTGCTGTTCGATATTTGTATCACGTGGTTTGTACCTAGTTGTTACCACCACGTGGTGTGATTGTTCCTCCTAGTTTCTTAGATAGAGTGTTTGTTTACTTATAATGGTTTCCGACCTTGTGCACCTTTTGTGCTTGGTAGGTCAAAACCCGGGGTAGGGATTACAAGCTGTTGATAGTATTCTTAATCCTTGTTATCAATAACAGCATGAAGATGGATTCTACATTGATGCCAACAATAAGTTATTAAGTCTGGACAACATCAACTGCCGAGTTTAAATTTTGTTGTTCAACTTCGAGAAGAGTTTCATTTTATCTTAAGTAAAATTGCCATAAATAAACGCTACTGTTTGTTGAAAAAGTCTTCTTGATATCGCGCGGATCTTCTCTGGACCTGTTATTCTGCGCATGTTGGCTCCATACTTCAGAAATTTACTCAATGAGATGGTAAATGGTTTAACAGTTTGGCTTCACACCTTATAGACATTTCGCGAAATTTTGAAATTTATCTATATAACAGCATTTTTTATTGAAATGGCTCCGTTACAGGCTGTCTCTCTTTACGTTCCAAAAAACCGCAGTCCAAGTTATATGCGGCAGTCGTCAGTAAATAATTTATCAAGACCAGGAAGAAAATGGAGCCAAGGACTCGCCAACACGGCTGACGGTAGCCGTCAATTGCTATCGTTCTTATCCACAGAAATATTCGTTGCGATGGAGTAGCAGTCTCTTACGGTGGCTGGTTTGCGCCATCTCGTCCCTTCGTTATTTCGCGTTATGAGACGAAGGTTGCAGGTGGCGAAGTAACGATAATAAGCGTCCCATCGTTTCGTCGCCTCTCCAGAGAGCGAAGGCGAAAGAACAAAGGGGTGATGGACGAAAGAACAAATGGATGAAGATAACTTCGTTTCGTTGCCTCCATTTTTCCCGTTCCTTCGCCTTCGTCTTTCGAGAGACGATGGAACGAAGTAACGCTATTTACCGCCCAATCGCTGAAGAGAACGTAAGTGTGCGTAACCCCTGGGTATCGAGGAAGTCTTGAGCGCACTTTGTAGTGCACACGTGGTGAACAAAGTCAATCTGATTAAAACCATACCTTGATCTACGGAGGCACCGTTCACTCCGTACACTCTGCTACGTCAGGTGGACAAAGTAGTGCTTGGAATTCAGATTGTTATACCATCGCTCTAACCGACTGACATACCTTGTCAACCGGAATCTTCATGTTCATCTGAGTGACTTCCTCCGTCGATACCGACGATTACGGAAGTAGGGTCGTTGTGCTTATTGTGCGTTAATTATGTACAGTGATGATTTTTTTTTTTTTTTTTTTTTTTTTTTTGCTATAGGATAAAAACAGGTTAAAAGCAGTGAGTGAGTGTTAGGTATGTAGTAGTTTTTGTATATGTTCGATTATGTTGTATGTGGTGCATGTCCTGAATTCTGCTAGTGTATTTGATTGAATTATTGCTGTGGGAAGGTGGTTCCATTGTATTATGGTGTATGGAAAGAATGAGTGTCTGTATGTGTCTTTGGATGTGTAGATATGTCTGTAACTAAGGTCGTGTCCTTGACGTGTTCTGGTGTCTGCCGGGATGATATTGTTAGTGTGTGAATGCAAGCAATCAACAACGCTACGGTTATAGCATAAGCGAATTTAGGGGAAGTTATTGTATGTACGAAATCGTTAAAATATATAAAATTATATGTGTATAGGGATTACCTCCCTTCGTCTATAGTTAAATTGATTTTGATTTCAAACATTAGATCCGAGTTTCATCAAAAATAATCAAACGACCCTTGAACAAGTTATCTTGTGGAAGCCAAAGTATGGAGGAAGAGACAGACATCAAAATATGGCCTGTGGTATTTTTCGTATGCATATATATAAAAAAACAACATAACATGTTTTCATATGCTTTTATTTAATACAATATTTCCCCGTAAAACATATATTTGAAACATCTATTGTGAAGCTCTACACAAGCCAAGTATACCACACTGCCTACTTGGTATAGATTTTATACTTTATGGCTTGCCATTCCAAAGATTCTGCAATAAAAAATTCTCAATCGAATTTGACATATACTGTGAAAAATTCACAAAATTCACAAAAGTATTTCACTTAGTGTAACATATTCCCAAGAAATATATGTGTGTGTTCACTGAACAAAAGCTTCATACAGTTACTTTAAAAAAATCTTGAAATACATAACAAACAACAGGTAAAAATGTTCTGCAGCAAATAACAATTTAAAATAAAAACTTATAAAAATTTCAATGAAATTTAAAATTAACAAAAAGATATGTTTTATCACAGTTTTCACAAAATATTACTGAAGAGTAAATTTCAAGGTGGAATGATATTCAGTTTTATCTTCCTAAGACATAATGTATTATCTGTTGAAAGACAATAAAAGTTTCCGAACATTAGCAGACAGACACATACCACCAAGTGATATTAACTTACATCCACTTAAATACAAGTGACACTGAATCCAGGTCTACAATCACGTGCTGGTCTTTTTCCCACTTCTTAATTCAATGCTTATATGTTGAATGCTGGATTGTTATATTTATGAAAAATTAATTAATTTTAATATTATTACTCATTCACAAAGGCACATATCGCTCAAGTTGATTTCAAGAAAAAATATAGATAATCACTACAAAAAGTAGCCCACTATTAGAAGAATAAATTATGACAAATGCTCAAGTTTAATACTGGATATATATGTGGACGGATACATATTGCCTTTCTTATCACATGTCAGAAATATCACACTGTTAGTCCGATCCTAAAACAATGTATGGTCATTCTCAAATGACCAATCAGGGCAAACTGTGGACATGTCTTGAAAAGCACTAAATTGGAATGTAGATACAAAAAGTTATCAGCAGAATTTTACCAATATTAATACTCCAATGTCTCCCACTAAAACCCACTGTGTGTGTGAAGTACTGACACAAAGTACCTACTGACAACACGGGGTGACGTGACGGACTCACAGACCTCTCCTTGTTATACAAACAGGAAGGTGAAGAAACACAAACCTGACACTCCCACTGGTATTTGACACAGACTGTGTTGAAACAACATTGTATTGATTGTAAATTTTCTTGCACAACAAGTAACATATAGCTCACACCCTGTTATGATGTCCAACAAAGCTCGTAAATGTTCTGTTTCTTCTGCTTACAAACGAAAAGTGACAAACTAGCTCCAAACTCAAGAAATTTTGAATTTCATAAAGACGTGTCTAATCACATAATTTTGAAAAAAATATTTGATAACTGCAAATGGGCAGAGATTATATCAAATATGCAGTAAGTCGTCAGATAGCTCCGGGATCCCTCGACACAGGAAAGCTAGACCTGCACAGGCTGTTGGCGGATGGGAGGAATGACGGGGGAGGCTCCTCGTAACTTAATCCCTATCCTTCTCTCATTCTCCTCCTCTCTTTCCTGGTGTTTATTGATCATATCCCAAGCGACACGCCGGGCCGATTTTCCATCCATCTGTGTCTCCATGAAGCTTGTGATACTTTTCAGTGCAACCTCCATCTGAGTCTGAAGATCAGCCACACAAATACCATTCATCTGGGACTCGCTCTGCATACGACGCAGCTCCGACTTGTTGTATAGTTCTCTATACTTGAAATACTCCAGCATGGCTCCGTGCATCCTCTGCTGCAAAGCTTGTAGCTGAAATAAAGACAGCAGATGTTAAAAGTGCACCATGAAATTAATAAAACATGGACAACATTGTCATGCTACTATTATACTATTATACAATGTATCTACATACTAGACAAACATCATTATACTTTTTCAAAGGAGGGGGGGGGATGGATATTTATGATGAAATATGATATGTCTAAGAAGTGCTCAAAATGACCTCTATTCGACAAAACAATTATGCAAAATATCATGCAGATATATGTAGTTTAAGCTGTTTTATGCAATGACTTAATTTAATTTAAGCAAAGGACAAGATGTATGGAAATCTGGTGATTTCAACAGTTAAACTTATTCAAAGAGATGGGGGGGGATGTGTTTTGACAGGGATAGTCAAAACAATACTAGCTACATCCAATCAAATATAAATCATAATTGTTATTAATGTAAAGAAAGCCAACTTTATCAAGAAAAATAAATGGCGGGATCATCTCAGGTGAGATACAAGATTTCTGGCCTACCTGTTTACAGTCCTTGATGGCCTCCTCGAGCTTGACCCGCTCCTCATAAGTGTTCAGTAACAGATCCTTCATTACAATAAACTTATTCTGCATCTGTCTGTACTGAGAAGCTAGCTGTTTGTTCTGGTCCAGTCGACGTAATCGGTCAACCTTAACAATAAGAAAAGAAGTTAATTTGTGTAATTTTATATTCTGATGAAAATGTATTGCTAAATAAAAAAATCTCTGATACAAAATTCCCCTAAATTTTACACTAAAATAAGCTAGAGAAATATAAAATACTAAAATATTTAAAAAAAAAATATGTACTTAAATTGTTTTTAAAGATTATATGTTATGTGATTTTTTTTTAGTAAACTACGTGTGTCAGTAAAGGTGAAGGTGAAGTGATTTCGTAACAAACACCATCCTTGATACTCCAGGGATTACACTCGCTTACACGCTATCTACACTGACAGTAAGTGCGTGTAAGTGAGCGTAACCCATGGAGTATTGAGGATGGTCAAACAAATATGCAATGCAAGACCCTCATCATTAGATATATAGAAAAGAGGTTCTTGGTTACTTTGTCTGCCTCTGGACTTTTAGATAATTCAGCAGGTGTGCATGGATTGAAAATGAAGTCTATTGAATGCCTGATATAAAATGACAACAGACCTCTGAGTCTTCCAAAAATCTTTGCCGGTCTTCCATGAAGTCCCTGTGGTTTTTATCATTACCGTGGACTCGAGCTGTAACATTGAAGTGTAAACTGTGTTACTGAGGTACATACAGTTCTACTGCCAACAACACTACACTCCTCTCCTCTGGACACCGTATATGTAGCTGAGGAGGGGAGGGTGCATACCTGGTACCAATTTGTATTGCTGTTTTAGAACTTCATCTTTTTTTTCTCAGGAATATCAAAAGATGAATAATAAAAAATATTCAAAACAAATAAGATTGCGTTTGGCAGACATCATCTGTATTCTAAATTTCATGAAGAAGTGTTCAAATTCTATACTTAATATAGTTACATATTTTAGATAGGATTCTGACAACTTCAAATAGTGATGTTTTGGAATAATTTTAGAATACTCTGTGTTACCTAAGAGATTTTCATGGTCCAATTTCAAATCTTCATCCAGTTTCCTGCTGGTTTTCAATTGGATATTGACCTCTTCCAAGCGCTCCCTACAACAAAAAATAAAATGTGTGATAACTTTGACTACGTGTAAACATTTCAGGCAAGCTGGGGCCTAATGTGTATTGATGACCAATGAAAGATTGCTTAAAGCAAATCTTCATTTGCCTCAGATGTCAATATGATGTTGACAGAAGTAAAACTGTCTTAAAGTCTGTGATGACATTCTATTTTTAACAGACTAAAGTATTCATTCTTGAAGCAATGTTACACTTAGTCAAAACTGATGCTGGCCTGTTTTGTATTGTACACCAATGAAGATTTATTTGAAGTGACTGATGGCCTGTTTTGTGTTGTACACCAATGAAGATTTATCTGAAGTGATTGATGACCTGTTTTGTGTTGTACACTAATGAAGATTTATGTAAAGTGACTGATGGCCTGTTTTGTATTGTACACCAATGAAGATTTATTTGAAGTGACTGATGGCCTGTTTTGTGGTGTACACCAATGAAGATTTATCTGAAGTGACTAATGGCCTGTTTTGTGTTGTAAACCAATGAAGATTTATCTGATGTGACTGATGGCCTGTTTTGTGTTGTAAACCTTGTATTGTACACCAATGAAGATTTATTTGAAGTGACTGATGTCCTGTTTTGTGTTGTACACCAATGGAGATTTATTTGAAGTGACTGATGGCCTGTTTTGTATTGTACACCAATGAAGATTTATCTGAAGTGACTGATGGCCTGTTTTGTGTTGTAAACCAATGAAGATTTATCTAACGTGACTGATGGCCTGTTTTGTGTTGTAAACCAATGAAAACTAATTTGAAGTGACTGATGGCCTGATTTATGTTGTACACCAATGAAAACTAATTTGAAGTGACTGATTGCCTGATTGATGTTGTACACCAATGAAAACTAATTTGAAGTGGCTGATGGCCTGTTTTGTGTTGTACACCAATGAAGATTTATCTAAAGTGACTTATGGCCTGTTTTGTGTTGTACACCAATGAAGATGTATCTGAAGTGACGGATGGCCTGTTTTGTGTTGTACACCAATGAAGATTTATCTGATGTGACTGTCATTACTTGAAGCAATGTTACACTTAGTCAAAACTCATGCTGGCCTGTTTTGTATTGGACACCAATGAAGATTTATTTGAAGTGACTGATGACCTGTTTTGTGTTGTACACCAATGAAGATTTATCTGAAGTGATTGATGACCTGTTTTGTGTTGTCCACTAATGAAGATTTATGTAAAGTGACTGATGGCCTGTTTTGTATTGTACACCAATGAAGATTTATTTGAAGTGACTAATGGCCTGTTTTGTGTTGTACACCAATGAAGACTTATCTGAAGTGACTGATGGCCTGTTTTGTGTTGTACCCCAATGAAGATTTATTTGAAGTGACTGATGGCCTGTTTTGTATTGTAAACCAATGAAGATTTATCTGATGTGACTGATGGCCTGTTTTGTGTTGTGAACCAATGAAGATTTATCTAACGTGACTGATGGCCTGTTTTGTGTAGTACACATATGAAGATTTATCTGATGTGACTGATGGCCTGTTTTGTGTTGTAAACCTTGTATTGTACACCAATGAAGATTTATTTGAAGTGACTGAAGGCCTGTTTTGTGTTGTACACCAATGAAGATTTATCTGATGTGACTGTCATTACTTGAAGCAATGTTACACTTAGTCAAAACTCATGCTGGCCTGTTTTGTATTGGACACCAATGAAGATTTATTTGAAGTGACTGATGACCTGTTTTGTGTTGTACACCAATGAAGATTTATCTGATGTGACTGTCATTACTTGAAGCAATGTTACACTTAGTCAAAACTCATGCTGGCCTGTTTTGTATTGTACACCAATGAAGATTTAGTTGAAGTGACTGATGGTCTGTTTTGTGTTGTACACAATGAAGATTTATCTGAAGTGATTGATGACCTGTTTTTTGTTGTACACTAATGAAGATTTATGTAAAGTGACTGATGGCCTGTTTTGTATTGTACGCCAATGAAGATTTATTTGAAGTGACTGATGGCCTGTTTTATGTTGTACACCAATGAAAACTAATTTGAAGTGGCTGATGGCCTCTTTTGTGTTGTACACCAATGAAGATTTATTTGAAGTGACTGACGGCCTGTTTTGTGTTGTACACCAATGAAGATTTATCTGATGTGACTGTCATTACTTGAAGCAATGTTACACTTAGTCAAAACTCATGCTGGCCTGTTTTGTATTGTACACCAATGAAGATTTATTTGAAGTGACTGATGACCTGTTTTGTGTTGTACACCAATGAAGATTTATCTGAAGTGATTGTTGACCTGTTTTGTGTTGTACACTAATGAAGATTTATGTAGAGTGACTGATGGCCTGTTTTGTATTGTACACCAATGAAGATTTATTTGAAGTGACTGAAGGCCTGTTTTGTGTTGTACACCAATGAAGATTTATTTGAAGTGACTGATGTCCTGTTTTGTGTTGTACACCAATGGAGATTTATTTGAAGTGACTGATGGCCTGTTTTGTATTGTAAACCAATGAAGATTTATCTGATGTGACTGATGGCCTGTTTTGTGTTGTAAACCAATGAAAACTAATTTGAAGTGACTGATGGCCTGTTTTATGTTGTACACCAATGAAGATTTATCTGAAGTGATTGATGACCTGTTTTGTGTTGTCCACTAATGAAGATTTATGTAAAGTGACTGATGGCCTGTTTTGTATTGTACACCAATCAAGATTTATTTGAAGTGACTGATGGCCTGTTTTGTGGTGTACACCAATGAAGATTTATCTGAAGTGACTAATGGCCTGTTTTGTGTTGTAAACCAATGAAGATTTATCTAACGTGACTGATGGCCTGTTTTGTGTTGTACACATATGAAGATTTATCTGATGTGACTGATGGCCTGTTTTGTGTTGTAAACTAATAAAGATTTATTTGAAGTGACTGATGACCTGTTTTGTGTTGTAAACCAATGAAGTTTTATCTGAAGTGACTGATGGCCTGTTTTGTGTTGTACATATATGAAGATTTATTTGAAGTGGCTGATGGCCTGTTTTGTGTTGTACACCAATGAAGATTTATTTGAAGTGACTGATGGCCTGTTTTGTGTTGTACACCAATGTAGATTTATTTGAAGTGACTGATGGCCTGTTTAGTGTTGTACACATATGGAGATTTATTTGAAGTGACTGATGGCCTTTTTTGTGTTGTACACCAATGGAGATTTATTTGAAGTGACTGATGGCCTGTTTTGTGTTGTACACCAATGTAGATTTATTTGAAGTGACTGATGGCCTGTTTAGTGTTGTACACATATGAAGATTTATTTGAAGTGACTGATGGCCTGTTTTGTGTTGTACACCAATGAAGACTTATTTGAAGTGACTGATGGCCTGTTTTGTATCGTACACCAATGAAGATTTATTTGAATTGACTAATGGCCTGTTTTGTGTTGTAAACCAATGAAATTGTGTTGTACACCAATGACGACTTATTTGAAGTGACTGATGGCCTGTCTTGTGTTGTTCTCCAATGAAGATTTATTTGAAGTGACTAATGGCCTGTTTTGTGTTGTACACCAATGAAATTGTGTTGTACACCAATGACGACTTATTTGAAGTGACTGATGACCTGTTCTGTGCATTGCAGACCACTATAATTTTCATCTCTTTAGTACTTGAAGTCAGTGATTACCTTCTGTGTGTTGCAGACTAGTGTATACCTACTCTAAGCCAGCAATTGCCTTCTGTGTGTTGCTGACTAGTGTTACTTACTCAAAGTCAGCGATTGCCTTCTGTGTGTTGCTGACAAGCCTGTCCATGGTATGCTGTTCCCTGTCCCAATCATCCATCTGCTTGTTCATCAATTCGGTTTTCCAAGACATGTGGTCTAGTCTTTTGTCTAATGCAAGCACCTCATTCTACAAATGAAACAAAAAAGAATAAATAAAAAATAAAAAATACTTCAAATAATCAGATTTTTTGAAGATTTTTCATTTCATGTGTATTTCTCTCGTTTGAAATTCAATTGAAAATTCACTATTTTATGGAATTCAGATACAAATGTATAAAATAAAACAGAATTCTTACTTTAAGGTAAGCGTGATGGGGCTCTATTCCACCGATCTTTGACCTGAATGCTTTCTGGGACTCCTCATGCTGTTTCTTTGTTTGTTCTAGTTGTGAAGTCAAATTTTCCTTTTTCTGAAACAAAATATGATGATCAATATTAAAAATCTGTTCCCAAATAGCCACATTAATTGAATGCCCTTCAGGCTTTTATTTTTTTTCTCAGCTTCTATCCCTGACAACTCGGTGTACCAGCAACGACAAAGATCACTTATTGTATTACCTAAATATAAGTATCAGTCTCCCATATAACACCGTCAATGAGGTCCATTACAGCCTAATTAGTTTGTGGGAAAAAATAACTAGACACAAATTAAAGAGCCCGCATAGAAAGCAAAGTTTGCAACCTTAAGCATTAAACTAGTGGTACTTTCTATTTTACTATATTTACAGTTCTACTGTAACAATAAGTACAGCATCCTAGTAAATTCCTTGGTTTTATCCAAACATTGAAGAGTAAATTGTTAAATACCTTTATGATACATTTTTTTTTCCATTTTTCTCTAAATGAATTAAAACAATAAATATACATAGACCGTGATATATTAGCCCAAAAATTGTTTGTCACAGTGCTGCGCTGGTTATCACTGTACCTGATTTACAAAGTTTAATCTAATGTGTTGAAAGACAATGCAAAAAGCAAAAAAATAAAAATAATGAATGAGATTCCATATAAGGAAAGTGGTGGCGCTAGTGTCAAAAGTGCAATTCCATCTTAAGCAAACACTGTAGTGTACTCGATCCCCTAGACACCTGCATTACCTAAGACATGTGTCAAAAACAAAAATAGGGTTCATTTCGTTTAAAAAAAACAATGATAGAATATCAATATAATGACTTGTTAGCAAACTTCAAACATAACATTATAAATACAAAAAAAATACAAAATGATATTGTTTATCAAACAACAGACAACTCATCAATCAATACAACAATCACAATTTTGTGGAGTAAAATCCAGCAATGTTAAAAATGCCAGCTTCAGGTTATTACAGCAAGCAAGGATAAATGGTAAACTTTCTGTAGAAAATAACACGCGTATAATACATAGGCACAGCCTGATACTGAAGCAAGATATATTAGTTCATGCAGCATGCAATATTTTTATCTAAGATGATAATCACCAAGGGTCACAGTACAATGTATGTGTGACTGATCGACCAATCAAACACTAGATTATACAAGGTTCCGAAAACACTGACTCCTCAAACGTAAAAGTTCTGTTAAAAGACCTTTGTAAATATGATGGAACACCGACACTAGTGTGATCTATTTTGTAGACCAGAGTGAGGGCAGACGGACCTAATTATCCCTGCTGTATAAGGGTTAGGACGACCAGATAATTGCCACATATTACCTGCATTTATGTTCTGTGACCTCCTGCCTACTGTACCATTGTCTAGACACCAAGTACAGATTGTGCAGGTAATAGACATGGACATTTCAAGGATTATCAGCTGGCATTTAGAAAATACATAATCAGGATCAATCTGTTCACGGAGCACAAAAGGTACATTTTGTAGTCTGGTTTCACAAGAGCTAAACCACAGTAAATGAACATATTTTAGAGGTGATCTTATTCTAGTGCTCCTTATAATTTAACAAGCCATTTGGATTGATATGTCTCGCCTCTGCCCCGCATTTACCATCAATGCACATGTCAAGTTATTGGTTAGTCTAGCACTTATAGTTTCAGAGAAAGTAACTTAAATGCAAAAACTTAATGTTGATGGAGATGCTGACAAAGTCAATGGACCATGAAAAGTAGGTCACATCCAACATTTCAATTTGATGCATGGGTTGAGATTACTCCCATAACATGAGAGGCCGCTGGTCGGCCTTTTTTCAATCAGATATGATTTTGCCGACTGCGACCTCTCATTTCCGAAGCACTAATTCTTTGATGCAGCTTCTGTCCGAAATCCGGGCGGAACAAAATCGGCTTGAAAAACTCACATAAGTGGTTAACAGTTCATGACAACGATGTCTACTCACGGTTTATATAATATAGATCTCATATATATGTCACAGACACAAATATATAGTATATTACGGAATAGAACACTCAAAATACATGTCCATGTCGTTGTAGCACATCTCTGACCTACATTTAAAACATGGCTTCTGGATTAATACAAAATAT